TTGAATCCGACTTTCGGTATCAACGTCAGCTGAAAGGTAACCTGTCGAGGGACATCAGAGACTACTATAACGCGATGGAGCTAGCTCGCCTAAAACTCTCTGCATTACCGGCCGGTTTGGACAGTTTCTGTAGCTCTTAGGGGAAAGAGAAAACAACCTCGGTCTAACGTACATGATAAGCGAGTGGATCAGATAAGCGAGCGGATCATCCCACTTTTCACCTTAAAGGCTAATTTTAAAAAATCTATATAAAATTCAGACTAAGCCTAAAATAGCTATAATTATAATATAAGACACTTAAGTATATGAACTTTTTATAACCTTAACATTAAAATTTTAATTAAATTCCTCAGGGTTTTATTAAAGAAAGTTTATTTACACTGTGTATATTAAAGCTTTCTAAACCAAAAAAACAGCTAAAATTCCTATATAAATATATGAAGATAAAGCTAAGTATACTATTATTAAATGTCATTATTTTACGTTTTTAGCTATTTTATTTAAGCTTTAAAGTGTTATAGGGTAAGCTATTTTTAGCTGCACAGTATGCTGATCCACTCGCTTGTCTGATCCACTCGCTTATCATGTACGTTATTGCAGTTTTCGGTTTTGATCCAAGCCCTGTCGAAGGCTTAAATACAGCTTGCTTGACCCAACAGCCCTCTCGATGGGGTAAGCAAGGCAGACTTCGACACATGCGCTTCCGTACACAAGGCTTAATAGCGGGCAGCTGACCACGTAGCTAATGCACAGGGCCATCGGGCGTGCAATGGCACTTGTCACAAACTAACTAACAAATACAGGCGGGCAATTCGAAAACAGGGGCTTGAATGGGCAATCATTGGCTGGCAAGTTCCAGGCTGGCGATCAATTCAATTCAATCACACATCTGGTGGACAAAAGATGCACCAGTGAACCGTGCGAGCGTGCACGTCCCATAAAACACACCGTGCCACCCCTGCTTCAACTCAATCAACACCCCAGATTGAGTTGATCGCCACCCTGGTCAATGGCTCAAGTCGTTGTTGGGCAAACCGGCCCGCTCCGCGGAGATCGGTGAGTCCTGACTAGGTGATCTGTATTACCGATTCGCCTTCAAAGAAGAAACGTCCTGCTGAATTACAGGTGTTGGCCGTAACCGAGCTTTCTCTCTCGCCTTATGATAAATACCGACGAGTCGCTTTAAGTATGGCGACAGATAAGGTGGATGAAACCGGCAAGATACGGCAGTTTTTTAACTTAGATTTCTCAAAGGTTATTAAACTATTGCTGCCTGGAACTTAAAACTGCGGCAACGCTAACGCAGCTATGCACTTTGCCAGCCATATTGCGCATTGCCTCTGTCGAGCTGAGGTGGCTAACTGCAAGTTTGCAGGGGCATCCCAACAATTGCCATACGCTCGAAGGAGGCCCGAGCGTTGATCGTTGACCAAATGATCTTCTTTATGTTTCAAGAGACATAATCCGACGTGACGTTGGGTCCGGGGAAGGGAGGTGATTCCGTCGTTACAGCCTGATGGATCTTGACATTGTTGATCAGACCATTGCTAAGTGGGACTCTGATCGCAACAGCGTGTCCGCGATTACTATCTCCTAAGAGCTCAAGGGGCTCCAATCCGTACCCCGCCCCACCTTATCCCTGTCATCACAGAAGTACAAGCGGGGTACCAAAAGCTTCAATTTCCAACCTTTCACAGCTAAATTACTATACAATCTATGGCAATTCAAACAATGAATATATCTTCAGATCCCGATCAAATACAAGAGGTCGATTCCTATGATGACAAGAGCTTCTATAAGCAACACAAGGGACCCCGCATGGGCTCCAAGGAGCCGGTCGGAGCTAATGATTTTCCGGCCGATGAATCTCGCGGCTTCAATTTCAGCCCTTTCATCGTGCAACCTCGCAATTATCACATTAGTTATTTACCCAATACACCACTTGATTTTTTCCAGCTTTTTGTGCCTAAATCATTGCTTTGGCGATGGATTGAATACACCAATAGCTGGGTTTATTACCTACTTGAAAATAGCGTGGTTGACAGCTGGAATAACCCTCTTCACGAACGGTCACAGCTCCTAGCATGGAAAGGGGTCTCCACTGCACAGATCTATATATGGCTTGGTATGCTGATTTATATAGGAATTCATAAGGAAAGGAAGCTCAGAAGCCATTGGAAGACCCCCCGGCTAGGAGAACAAGCCCCTCTACACTCAGTTATTAAGTTCATGCCCTACTGGAGGTTTCAGTTAATCCATGGCTACCTTCGTCCCTTTGACCATACCAAGATTGATGAGAATGCCCCCCTGCCGAAGGTATTCCAAGCTGCTGAAGAGTGGTCTAACCACATACAGAGAGTGTCAGCTGCACTCTTTCAACCAGGCTCTCATCTCGCTGTAGATGAGTGTATGGTCCGCTATACAGGCAGATCAACAGCGACAACCGTTGTCAAAGGAAAGCCAACCCCGCTAGGCTTCGAAATCTGGGTTATCGCCCAAGAAGGCTTCTTTATTCGGTGGCTTTGGCATTTTAAAGGCTCAAATTATGATGCCCTAAGAACGGGGCCAAGGCGAAAGAGAGGTCGCCCTAGCACACAAGAGAGAGAGGCAGCTAGCAAAGAGGCAGCTGCTCTCACACAACTAGGTAATACGCAGGGCGTCGTTATTTCCCTATGTAATATGCTGCCAAAGCAGACATATCACGTCTTTGTGGATAACCTCTTCTCAACACCACCTCTTTTCCGCAAGCTTCGTGATCACGGCTACGGGGCTACAGGCACAGCCCGCCCTAACTGCGGCATACATAAGGACCTAAAGAGGGATAAGGCACTTGATAAATTAGGGCGCTGTGGCTATGCCGTCAATGAAGTCAGGGCTATCCCGACGAGGGATAATAAGGTGAGAAGCTATGACACTTTTCTATATATTTCCTTTACTAATCTGTCTTCTCCTCTCCTTCCTAGGTCAATCAAATAGCTTGGAAGGATAACAGCCTTGTGCTCTTTATTACGACTGTCTTCCGAGGCGATGAGCGTACTGAGAAGAAGAGGAAAAAGCCGTCCGTAGAGCACCCACGGGCCCGGCCAATACAGCAGTTTTTTGGTGACGAGACCGCTAAAGTCGTTCCAATACCGACAGCAGCTGCTGCTTATAACGATGAAATGAACCACGTAGACCGAGGTGACCAATTGAGGTCATATACAAGCTATGATCACCCCTTTCGCCGGGGGGCTTGGCAGGCTCTGACCTGGACCTTCCTTCTTGATGTTGCACTTACTAATAGCTATATCCTTCAACTACATGATCCCCAGCCAAATTGGGAGAGATATAAGTCACAGGAGGATTGGCGGAAGTGTATTTCAAACGCCCTATTCAACACATATCATCAAGAAAGTCAAGCAACAAAGCTCTATCAGTCAGGGGCTGAAGAGGACATCAATGATCAAGAAACACGGCAAAAACACATAGACAGGAGCATCAACCATGTCTATCGTGGCCGTTATTCAAGGTGCCTAGCTTGTCAGGGTTTTCGGCAAGGGCAGATAAGGTCAAAAGGCCCAAATAGGCATGCTTTCGCTGAAATCAGCGGTAACGCAAGAGGAAGGCATCACAGCCGGCAGACTAGGTACGTGTTACGATTCGTGCCCGTAACAGCGCTGTAAGGCTTCTATAAGGCAGCTGTAGCACACCCATAATTGCTTGCATAGCGATTATGGCCCGATCTTTTGCCCTGTGGCTTAACGGCTTGTGCAACCGTTACATATCTGACCTATGGGAAAGAGCCGATATCCTTATAAAGGAAGCTATTATGACCTTAGTGGCTAGGAGCCCAGCTGAGCATCCTGAAGAGCCTGATCCCTATCTCTTATCTCTTCCTGTAAGGGAAGGAGGTCTAGGGCTTCCTTTGCATAAGGAATTAGCCCAAGGCCTATATCAGGCAGCTAAGGAAACAGCTAAGAAGATCCTAAAGGATATTACTAGCTATTTTACTTCTTATCCCTCTCTACATACCTCTCAAGTCCAAATCCCTAGTCAAGACCAAGGGAAATCAGCTAAAGACGTTTTTAAAGAGGTAAATGAAGCTAAGCTGGAAACCTTCCTCCAAGACCTCCCTATAGCCTATAAGCAAGCTAGGCTAGAAAATGCTAGCTATTTAGGCCGAAAGTGGCTTAGAGTCTTACCTACACAAAAACCTCTCTCTTTTACAGACTCTGAGACTACTGAAGCCCTTAGAAGCAGGCTTTTCTATCCTATCAAGCCTCTAGACCTGCCTTGTAGCGCCTGTGGAGCTATAGCCAGCCTAGGTCATGAGGATACCTGTAAGGGAGCTAGCAGAAGGTGGATTGCAAGGCATAACGCTGTTAATAGGGCCTTTGTGAAAGCCCTTGGCAGCCGGCCTGACTTAGAGGTTGAGATTGAACCCCTAGTCCAGCAAGACTCCTCCCTCCGGGCCGACTTTGCAGTCACTATTGGAAACAGCCGCTACTTCTATGACATCCAAATCGTAGCTATCTCCAAGGACTCTGCAAGAGATGACCCTTATAGCACCCTAAAGGAAGCTGCTGATGAGAAACGGCGGAAATATCAGTCTCTTGGAGCCTTTTTCCACTCTCTTATCTTCTCAGCAGGTGGCCTTATGGATCAGGAGACCTCTCAGACCTATAAGAAGCTCCAAGAGCTCTTAGGTCCCTTTGCAGCCTCACAGCTAGACTCAACTATAGGCCTAGCCCTAACTAAGACTAGGGCCATCTCAGCAGCTTCTATAGCCCGAGATCTGCCTAGGAGAACTCATTCCTAGATAGCCTCTTCCTATCCTCTCTATCTCTCTTCTATTCTTATCTCTCTTTTATCTCTATCCCTTCCTTATCCCTATCTCTTTCTTTTATATCTATCTCTTTCCTATCTCTCTCCTTCTATCTATCTTTTATCTCTTTTTATTTCTCTATCTTTTTTCCTTATTATCTCTCCTATCTCTTTCCTATTTCCTTTATCTATCTCTCCTTTATAGTCTTCGTAAATCCTTATATAGATAGCATTCGAGCAAGATAGCTTTCCATAGCTTAATATAACCCTATCCTAACCCTAACCCTTGCCTTTACGGCTAAACGGCACGCCGCTCGGGGTCATTGATGTAATGCTGCCAAGCCACTGCAACGTCTCGGTCGGCACGCTATCGAGCCGCCAGCAGCAACGGTCCACCTCACGATCAAAGCTCTGTCCGAGTCGGCTAAGCAATAGTCGTTCACGGGCTGCTTCCTCGTCTTCTTGCTTCCCAGCTAACCTGCCTGTTGCTGCCCTCGCCCGTAGCCACTCGGCTGCGTCGTGAATACTGATCAAGTCCCGGGAGCCAAAGTGTCGTACCCAGCCTAGCCTCTTGACCCACGGCGAATCACGGTCGATATCTTCCTTCAAGTCACCCTTCCGTAGTCGTGCGGCATCTTCCTCTTTCAATCGAGCCTGACTCGCAGCAATAACCTCATCCATAGCGCTCTGACTGCTAGTATTAGCTGCATCAGACAGACCGTTACTATCGCTATCATCCCGAATAATCCAGTAGCGCGCGTGACTCCTTCCTCGCATCCACGTCTGTAGCCGCACTTTAGTCCATCGTTCCTCTACTGCACCATGCCCTGCCTCTCGCCAATGACGGACAATATTATCCCGTGCAATAGTAAGATATCGGCATGCATAACAGCTATATCCATCTGAAATAGCAAGATGTTCAATTGCCGGGCTGTTATCTTCGGGTACTGCAATGAGTTTCGGGTCAGCTAGTTCCAATATGCCAAAATAGTCCTTGATATCCTTAAGCACTTGGCCCTTCAGCTGATGCTCATGTCGGAAGTGTGACTCGATGCCAGCGCCCGGCCGAACGGCTGCTTGACATAGCCTGCAGATCAGTATCTGATAGTCGTGATTAAGCTGTATGATGTCCTCCATTGCTGCTTGATATTGCCTCTTTCTTCGGTAATAGAAAGAGAAGAGATTTGTTTTTTCTGTTAATTGAAGTCCCCTTTCCTCTGCATTACTCTAACCCCAAGCTCACGCTAGCTAACCCCAAGTGTGGAGTTGGGGTTATTTTTAACCAATCAGCGACTCGGCTTCGCTCCAAACGATATGACTCCAAAACGCAAGCGAAATGACCTATTTTGGTGGCCGATTTGAGTCAAATCGCCTCTTAATAGTACCTAGGCTCGGGTAGGTTTTCTGCTGCGTCTCCTCTAGCCACCATGCAAGGGCGCTTGTAAAGCCATAAACCCGTTCAGAATTGCAATATCGCTCGTATCCGTCCATGGCGAGTGACGGCTGCAGATGCTTGTTCCTCCAATTCAAGAACTCGTTCGTGGTTGTCGATGGGACCTCGCAGAGAGGAAGCGGTGATTCCGCAGGTTTATATTCGTTCCACAGCGTCTGAATCAACTTCTTTGATGACTCAGCCCACTCCTTTCTCCAGTTCTCTTGGATGCAGTGCCATTTGTGCGAAGGGTGGAGCACAATGGCTGCAACATACGCAGGCGATTCTTCAGTAAGGCGATAGTACTTATCCAACTTGGCCCAGCCCGAGTTATACATCGGTGCCATCACCGGATCGTCGATAGCTGCCTCCTTGCCGGCTTCGAATTGTGCCAATACGAAATCCATCGCCAAGAGGACATTATCGAGTGTTGCAAACGATGACTCGGGAGCCTTGGTCGTCATCTTCAGCTTCTCCAAGAAGGACTTGATCTTCTCCAAGATGATCCAGTCCTCTAGAGAGAGCTCGTCTCCAGCGCAATCTGCGTCCATCCATTTATTAAAATAGCCGTCAATTGCATCTCTAAGATTCAATGCCGCCCTCAACATAGTATACCACGAGCTCCATCTTGTGTCATTGTCTCGCGCAAGCCTACGGTTGTGGCTGATAGCAAGAAACTTTTGGCTGCGCTGAACACTCCGTTGGATGTAAATGACGAAGTTGTGAAGCCTGCCAAGAGGACCCTTCTTCCGCCACGCTTCAATATGCTTTAGTGCCACATTATGCAGGCCAGCATCGTCGCGTTCGAGCTTCTCATTGTCGGTGACGAAGAGGAAAGCTTTGGCGGCGAGGTTGATGATATGACCTTGGCAGCGGAGTCGGTGAACTTTGGGATCGTATTGAATGTCATATCGGCGTAGGAGGCCTGTGGGATGTTAGGGACAACCATTAGAAATAGTAAGTTGTACTGACCAAGCGAAAGGGATCTCATCATTGTATCGTTATTGCCAGCATTGTCCATCACGAAATACCCAAGCTTCGAAGCAAAGCCCCATTCGTCAACCACTTCCAAAATTGCCGCAGCGAGGTGAGAACCGCCATGCTCACTGTCGATGTCTTTCAACGCCAAAATATGGTGCTCCAGCTGACCATCTTCCGTGATATAGTGGCCAACTACGCCTAGCATGGCCAAAGAGTTGGGAGAAGTCCAGAGGTCGCAGCTGATGTGAATTCTTGACTTCGCCGACTGTATGCGCTGCTTGACCTTCTCCTTCTGATCTTCATACTGCCGCATGATCCATTTCCTGATGGTCTCGTGCGTGGCTGGAAGCCAAGTATCGATATCGTTATTGATGACGCCAAGAGTGCTCGGAACTCTGGATATTCCACGAGCTGAAAGGAGAGAGAACAGGCCGTAATAAACCTCACATATAACACTTCGAGCTGGTCAGGGTCGATCGAATGTCCGGATTGATCGTTGAGCCGACGGCGTTTGCGGGGATTTTCTTCTGCTGCAGCACGAGCTTGTTCGAGAATCGTTCGTATCGTTGCCACTTTAGCTGTGCGCGGGGCTCCTTTTGGCAGACCATGGCCGTCAGGAGGAGGGTCCATAAGATGTTTTGCGGGAGCTGCAGTACCCCCGGAACAGGCATATGCTCTGTCACAATGTTTGCAGCGCCACTCTTCTTTTCCGGTCCGCTGATTGTAGTACCTCGTCTCTATCTCCTCGTTTGGCATATGAGAGAAGACCCATGATGTTCTGGGCTTGGTGGAGGAGGTTGTAGAGGCTGTGCAAGGTCGAGATTTGGACGTTTGGCCTTCGTCTAAGCCATGTAACTGCTGGCTGGAAAACTCCGAAAAGTCGACTGAAATTGACGACTCTCTTCGTTGTGACGATTTTACAAACGGGAGGCGTTGTTGAGGCATGACGATACGGTTAGTCAGTAGGCTCGATAGTGATAAAGAAAATGGGCAGAGGTGACGATGGCCAATATCGACAGGCAACCACTGGTAGGCCCAGCCCAACATGGTCCGTACCAATCGTACCTCCCCTGACGCGTGAAGGAAACGCGTGGTCGCATGTTAGTAGTATTTATTATGCCCGGGAGAACGGACCTCATAGGGCCTGTGGCTACGCTAAGCTATTCACGTATTCCCCACTTTTCGTCCATTCTACACAAAAGAAAGCCCTACTGCTCTTCCTGTTCTTACTTTTCTAGCCCCGTTTGCTTGACACTGCTTGACAGACCTGCTTGAAGGCCAACCAATACCATCTCCAAGTGTTCAGCATCCTATCTTCAGCAGCTGAAGCATGGTCTGTCAACTTGAGGCTGTTTGTTGTTAGTAATCAGCTGTGATGTTAATATTAGTAGTCATTTGTTTTCTCCTTCTCAAACTCCTTCCTGGCTCAATCTTCCTGTCGCCATCGCAAATTTGACTGTCGCTCGCACCGCCTCCAGGTTAGGTCTCCACTTTGCTCCGTCTGACGCCGACTTTCCACCTAGAAAGAAGGAAAGGTTGCCCATCATGTTTTGTCCTACTCGACGCATGGCATCACGCTCTGCTTCCCATCTTGTGCATCGGAACAGAAAATGCTCCATTGTCTCTGGTCCACATCCACATTCACACATGTCCGACTCTGCGGCCCCGATCTTGTTGAGGTAGCTGTTGGTCTTCGCCATTCCCGTGCGGAGCTGCGAGAGCACTCCGGCTTCTCGTCTCTTGCAAATGTCGTATAGTGCTTGCGTATGTTTGCCTGGTAGGGCCCGATCTATCCGTTTGGAGTAGTTGCCTACATTGTTGGGTAGTTTCCGTTGCTGATGCAGCTGCGACACTGCCAGCCTGAGCCGCGTGGAGCGGGCCTGGTACGGTAGCGATTGCGGCGTGCATCCCGCTCTGGTAGCCTTCTTGGCTTGTCTCTTTGCTTCACGACTCATGCTGAGGTCATCGTCTCTGGATGGTACCCAGATCATCTTGACTCTATTGTTTCCCTTTCTCAGTCGCTCGATGTGCTCGTAGATCTGACGGATGGAGGTCTGGCCTGATTGCTGTTGCGGTCGGGCAATCGCCTTGAGTGACGACTGGCTACTTGACAGCACCGTAAGCTCTCGACATTGTAGACCATCCGGCATGCATCGCAATGCCATCGCTATCGCCTCCAGCTCGGCGGTGTACGGGTTCTGATCGTCTCGTGACCCGAGCGTGGCCGAGTACCTGGCCACTATCCTGTCTGTTTGACCAGGCGATCTTTGGGCCACGATGCCGCCCATACCCACTAGACCTCCCCTGTCGGAAGCACTGGTCGCGATGACAATGTCGTTGACGTTCTTTGCAGCTATTTTCGCCGCTTCACGATCGGCCTCGCGTACAAGCGGCACCCGGTTGTACCACGGTGGTACCGCATAGGCCTCAATCGTTTCCATCCGCTCCGTTCCGCTGCCTTCATACGCAAGCGCCAGCTTCTTCAACGGTGACATGTATCTTCGACTCGCCGACACCTTGAGGGCTGCTAGCGGGTGCGTCTTTGGCACCGTCTTGATGTTGATGTACATCCGCATGCCTGCTTGAGCATGTCGCTCGCATACCGTCTGTATGTTGGCTTCTGCCTCCATCACTGCTGTCGCGACTGTCCGGAAAGCACCCGTGATGGCTCGTGCTCCTATCTTCTGAGCCCTGTTGAACCAGCTCAGTGCTCTTTCGTTTCGTGCATGCGACCACACGACCGAAGCGTAGTCCATCGCCGGAGCGACGGTCGCCGTAAACAGCTGCCTAGCCGTGCGTGGAGATAGCATCCTCAGGGTCGCATGTTATGTCTGGTTGTCAATAAAGACGCGTGTTGAGGTGAACGCTCGCCAATAAAATGCCAAGCATCCTTGTCGCTGGTGTAGGGTAAAGCGTGCCTGGCTACTGTCAAGAGGCAATTTCGCCCCAGGACCAACAACCCAATAAAGTAATATATTGACAATATGGACACCCTCATATTATATTGTCACAATATCGAAATCTTCATATCATATTGTCACGATATGAGAGAGCCCATACCATATGGGTTATATTGTAATATACTACTTTATTGCCATATTATTAGCAACACTGACCGTGGTTTCAATCGTGGAGGAAGGAGGGCGTCTTCGGGGCTTATTGATATTGCGGGCATCTCTGTTAACGCGAGGCAGAATGTCTTGGGAAAACATACCAACTAAGAATAAGTTTGTGATCCATCTGAGGAGTCGTAGTGTTCGGACTAGAGCAAATAAGAAAAGCCATGTACGGCGGGGTCGACGCCATGTTTTAACTCCGCCGAATATAGGGGATGTCCAAGTCCATCTCGACCGCACACGGCATCCACACATTAATGTCCTCATACTTAAGAGGAGTCAAGGAATTTGTACTACTCAAACACGCCCGGGATACGATGCGTCTTCTTTTTTTTCCGGCCAAGATTGGCTGACGTGGCACGCTGTGATTGTCATGTCTCAGCCCCCAAGAGTGTTATCTTAAGACAAAAGGAGCACATGAGCTGAACAGCCCACTACAGCCAATCGCAAACGCCAGTTGAGTATTGAGGAACAGTCTGGGCCCTGCAGTGGCTTCGAGACTTACGCCAGCACTAACCACAAAGTGCGATTTTGTGATGGAAGGGGCTTGAGCGGAGCTGTGCGGCCAGCCACCTGGGAAAAATTCCCCCTTTTATTGAACTGGCTGGATAGAGGAGCTGAATTGCCTCATATTAAACGGGCAAACCTTTCCCTTGAAAATTATTTCACTCATGTCGCTTGAGGAGACGGTCTTAAAGTCAGACGTAACACAGGCATTGCCATTGCCGTTTCGAAATGAAGTTATACGCAAGACTCGCTGTCGCGCTTACGGTTATACGTTTTGTAAAACCTAAACTCGTATTACCCTCTTGTGCAGTAAGTCATTTAGCATCCATCGTTCGAGACAGTACATTGGCTAGAACACTCTAACCACTTCTTCTAGCAAGCATGTTTAACAACCAACGCAGACGTCTTCACCGATGGTACGAGTGTGTGCAGCCTTCTTGATAGAGACTGTCAATGTACCAACGAGGAGTACCTCAGCACCGCGCACTGCTGTTTGCACGAGCAGTGCTCCGACTCGGACCGCAAAAAGGCAGAAGAGTACTCAAGGTCGTATTGTAGGCATGCTGGCCACTCAATGCCATCCGGCATCGTGTGCTCCACTGTTGCCAGCTCGTCTGCCGACCTGCAGTCTTCTGAGACGTCTGCTCCCGAACAAAGCAGCATGACGGAAATTGGCAGCATTGCGACAGCGGAGAGCACAACTGAAGAGAATAGCGGCTCAGAGACGGCGACCAAGTCTGCCTCAGAGCCTTCAAGTTTGCCAACATCTGACGGAACCGCTGGCTCTTCGAGTACCTCCTCGGAAACGACCAAGGACAACCACGCCCTGACTCTTCAGCTTGGACTGGGTCTGGGCATCGGCCTGGGAGTGCCACTGGTTATCGCAGTCATCTATCTCGCGCTTCTCCAGAGGAAGAAGCTCAAACAGCAGGGAACACTAAACAACCAGGAACCTCAAGTATCTTTTTACCAAGCCCCTCCGCCTCAGGGATTCTCTCCTCTTGGCTATCCACCCTCAAGCCATCTACCACAGGGTTCTCAAGTCTCGAGTCCTCAGGTCCAGGCCCATCAAGAGCAATTCGAGCCTCACAAGTACGAGCATGAAAGTAGCGGAGGTGTCGAAGGTTTAAACAGGAATCAATATGAAATGATGGGAAATATACCCCCGCCAAGGCATGAACTGCCTTCTAACAACCCAGAGACATGTGGCGAGCTTCCTCCAGATACTCGGCCACACAATGAGCTTCCTTAGGTCGTTGGTAGAATTAAGAAATCACTTCATGGAGTCGTTACAACGTATATTACTGGAGCATGAAAAAGCTGTATAATACAATACAATACAATACAATTTATTACGCCCGGCGGCCTGTTCTGACCGAAAGGGCACTAGTCGCTAATGCTTACATACAACGCCTGCTTTTCGTCCTCGTTTCCCCAAGCCCATGCTGTGCCACACATTGCTTAATTTGTATCCGCATTTTCCTAAAGCCCATACTGAACCTTGGTTTTACACCATCAATCTGAAATTCGTGTCCTCAAGCCCATACAGCGCCTGCTCCTTGATTGTTCTTTTCCTTCTACCCTGTTGCTCCCTGCGTTTTCCCCTGATTTACTAGCATAGCCAGCGAACTAGCTTGAAGGCTATTCTTCAAGTGTTCAACGTCCTATCTACGGCGGCTGAAGCGACGTCCGCTTTTATAAGACGGGGTATTTGGTGTTTAGTGTAAGTAGGTTAGTAAGAGTAAGTAGGTGTGATTCTTGCAATCTGGTTTCAGTATTGTGTGTCAAGTCGGCCTGTGGCCATTGCAAATCGTATAGTTGCATAGACTGCCTGCATGTTTGGCGTCCACTTTGCGTCATCTGATGGTGATTTTCCTCCTAGGTAGAACGAGAGGTTTCCTCTCAATGTCTCCGTGCACTGCAACATTTCAGTCCTATACGCTGTCCATTTCGTGCATCGAAAGAGAAAGTGCTCTACTGTCCCTATCGCTTGCCCGCATACGCATTGCTATGATGCTGCTACTCTGATCCGGAAGAGGTACCCGTTCAGTCTGGCCATGCCTATCCTAAGCTGTGATAGCACGCTGGCTTCTCTCCTTGATAAGTCATCATAGAGCAGTCGGGTGTGCTTGCCTGGGAGTGCAGCATCGACCTTCTTTGAAAACCTCCCGACGTTATCTGGTAGCTGTTTCCTAGTACGCTGACTCGATCGGGCTATGTTCAGGGTCGTCGATCGCATTCGGGGAAACTTCCGAGCCGGGACGGCACCGTCGCGGCTCGCACTTCGCGCCTCTTTCTTAGCCATCTCCAGGAGCCTGTGTTCAGCACTGGTGGGTATCCATATGATGGCCACCACGTTTCCTTTGTTCCTCAATGCATTGATGGAATCATATATGCACCCAACATACTCTTGGCCGGACTGCTGGCGAGGGTTTCGGACCGTAAGCACGGCGGCTTTGTTGCTCGCCAATAGTGCCATACTTCGGTATTCGAGGTCAGGCAAGTGCCTCAAAGCATATGCCATCGCCGCCAGTTGCCCAGAGAACGGATTCTGCTCCGTTCTCATGCCGAGTGTGAAGGAGAAGCGCTCAAGCTTCGGCCCTCCTCGCACCGATGCAGGAATCTCGATGACCCCGCCGACTCCGACCACCCCGTTCCGCGCCGAACTGCTCACTGCGGTACGTACCGCCCATCCTAGATCTGCTTGTGTCACTGCCGAATTGTCCCCATCATCCACTATAGTCTGCACTCGTTCTACCCAAGGTGCCAATGTGAAAGGGTTGATCGTTTCTAGTTCCTCTATCGGAAACTCATTGAGTGCCACTGCTACCTCGTAAAATGGAGAGCGATTGTATCTTCTGAACTTTCGGATGCGAGACGTGGCACTTCGGAGTGGGTTAGTTGTTGGCAGGGTGTGTAGATCAGTCCACATCTTGATGGCCCGTCTCCAGAACCGCTCATGTGCACTGGCGATGTGTGCCTCTGCTTCTGCTACGCTTGTTGCCATTGTGAGGAACGTCCCCACGATTGCATTTGCCCCAATCCTCTGAACCCGGTTGATAGGGCTGGCTCTTCTATACCTGCATGCGTGCATCCATACGTTTGAGGCGTAATCCACGACCGGGGCCACCGTGGCTGTGAATAGCTGCCTCGCTGTCCTCGGAGTAAGACCCCTGAGCCTCTGCAGCTCCATTGCAGCCTTCAAACCTTTTGTCGCTGCCCGTGCAATGTGCTCTTTGTATTTGAGGCCAGCATCCATAATCATGCCGAGAACCTTGACCTGGGTCTTGGGCCGAACAAGCTGTCCCCTGATTGCAAAAGGCTCTGAGTCGGACTTGTATGCCTTCCGGGTGAAGTGTATAATCGCCGTCTTTTCTGCCTCGAAGGTCGCGCCACTTCTCCTTTCCCAGTCCAGCGCCTTTTTGATAATCTCATTGATTCCATCGCGGTTGCTCTCTGCCATCGGACCTGTCACCCACGCCGTGAAATCATCCACGAACGCTATCGCTCCTCCGTAACAGTCAATGTGCTGCTGCACAAGGTCTGCATTGAAGAAGAGAAACAGAATCGGAGACAGAGGTGAGCCTTGTGGGAGCCCAGCTTGTGGTAGACTTCGCATCTCGGATGTCTGTCCGTTGATCTGAATAGTCGCTGTGCGATCCGAGCAAAAGGCTTCGATCCAGCGAAGCAGGTCCTCTGGTATACCCCTTGCTCTCAGTCTTTGGATGAGCCTCTCCTTACATACTCCGTTGTAGGCTCCTTTGACGTCAAAGCTTACCAAGCTAAGGATCCGTCGGCCTCGCCAAGCAGCGAAGATCTGCTCCTGCAGCAACATCAAGGCCTGCTCGGCGGACCGCTGTTTGCGAGCTCCGAAGTGGTTTGTTGGCAGCAATCCGTATGTCTCAACCGCGTGTGAGATCCGTTCTGCGACGACTGCCTCTAGTATTTTGCCTAGGGTAGATAGGAGCGATATGGGCCTCCACGCCTTTGCGATCGAGTAGTTTTCTTTATTTGGCTTCTTCAGTGGAACAATCTTGGCATGCCTCCATTGATTCGGCAGCATTCCTTCTTCTAGCGATGCACGAAACAGCGAGAAGACTCGGTGCTTAACAGAGGGCCAGATCTCTTTCCAGACTACGGCGGGTAGTCCGTCCTCGCCAGGTGCTTTCCACGACTTTGCGGCGAAAAGCTGTCGTTCTACCTCCTCCATAGTAATGTCCGGCATGACGATGGCGGCTCCGCGCTGAGGTCGCTCCCCTTCCTCTTCGATGTGCTCCGGCAATGGGGTGAAAAAGGTGGCCAGCGTCTCATCAGCCTGTTCGATGTTGTTGGTTGTGCATGTGCCGTCGGCCCTTGCAAGTTGGGGTACTTTGCTAAATGCTGTATCATCTCCAGATTTGAGGTACTTTGCTGCCTTCCAGATGTTGTCGTTGTCAGCTAGAAACTCATTCCAGTGCGTCTTCTTCTGCTGTCTGATGGCATCGTGGTATTGCTTTGCTGCTCCTCTGGCCGTCTCCTCAAGCTCTTGACATGCCCATCCTGCTCGCCTCAATGCTCTAGCGCGATTTCTCCAGTGTGTGTATATGTGCCGGAGTTGCGTGAGGTCTGAGGTCCACCAGCGTTTTGCATAAGGTGACGGCTTAGCTCTGGGTGTCAGAGCGCGAACCGCCTCTAGCACCACTGTCATAAGCCTGTCAGTCTTCTGCTGTACAGTACCTTCCTCCAGGGTAGACTCTAATGCTGCGGCAATTCGAACGTTGATTTCCTTCCATGGTGCGTTTTTGAGCAAGAGCCGTTCTTGAGCTTGCGGTACCGGGACCGAGACGTCGAACTCTGTCTCAATGGCACAATGATCAGATCCGTGCTCTGTACCGTGTATCATACACTTGATATTCGAGGATGCTAGGTCCGCGGAAGCAAGGACCAGGTCGACTGTTGTCTCAAAATCCCCACCACTCCATGTCTTCGTTCCTCTCGGGAGCAGGCTTATAAGGTCAAACTCATTCATAAGGTTGATCATCTGATCTGCTTCGCCTTGCCTCGTCAAGGATATGTCGTCTCCTCCCCATAGCTGGTCGTGCCGGTTAAAGTCTCCGACAACTACCACGTCCACCAGTCTACCAGCCTGTCCTCTTACATCTGAGATGACCTGGTGCAAAGCGTTGCAAGTGCCTTGTAAAGCTTGGGTGTCTCCTCCTGGCACATAAACCGAAACAACCAGAACCAGCCGCTCAGGGAGTCGCAAGATGGCTGCCGTCATATCCGCTGTCTCAATCGGTATCTGCTCTGCCTCCACATCCTTGTTTACCCATAACATGCTTCGGATCGGCCATCGGCCCTCTCTCCAAATCGTGGGGGCTATCTTAACCCATCTCGGGTGCCCCATAGGGACCGTTAGTAGCTTGCCGTCCTTTTGGTGTGCCTGGGGCTCTTGGATTGCTATTGCTTTGTATTCTTGTAGTTGCTCATCGTTCATGAGGCTCTCATGTACCATATCCTGCTTTCTCACATTCAGTTGAATCACCTGCAGCGGCTTACTCATGCCGCCTAGGGTGAAGTTTTAGGCAATTTCTGCTGAATGACTCATGCGGACCGCTACAGAGAGCGCACTTGAGTATCAGTGCCTGGCACTCACTGTGATGGTGGCCTATGGTAGCGCACCTTGCACATACTCGAGTCTTGCTGCACGAGAAAGCCTTGTGACCAAGCTGTTGGCAGTTATAGCATTGTTCCGGTCCAGTAGTCTGCTCAAATACACTCGTATATGCCGATTCACCTGCGACGAGAAAGTAGTGTTCCTGCAGTAGCCTCTTGGCATCGCTGCTCTTAGTTAAGTAGACTACCATGGATCCACATGACTTGGGGTTGACCTTCCGGCTCAGCCAGGCTACCTTGGCAATCTGGACTTCATTCTCCTGGTTTAAGGCTTCTATTGCTCCGGGGATGATGTTAAACTCCTGGTCAAAGACGGCCATACGATTCATGCTATCAACTTTGATAGGATATAGTTGGTCCCGAAGGACTCTTGCACCTGGAGCTTTCCTGGTTTCGAGGATGGTCTTGATCTTTTGTATTTCTTCTTCGTTCCTACCTATAATCCTAAGGCGGTTGGCATTCCCACCATCTCTGGTCACTGCGACGCATCGCCAGTGAGGTTGGTCACTCGACTGTCGCATCTCCTGCTCCACGGTCTTACGAATCATTGTTGGTGTAGCCTCTCTAAGATGGTCTTCAGGAACTCTGGATGTGTCGACTGTGCAGAACACCGGTTCTGGAGTTGCCGATCGGGCTGCAGACGAAGATTGACTGGACATGCTGGTGGATGTCATCCTGGCTGCGTCTGCATACGATTGAACCGACGACCGTGGTGTTTCAGACTTATTCAGCATGTCTAGCTGTAGCCGAGTCTGCTCCAGCTCGCCGCAAACCTGGGTGAGCTGGTCTCGGACTTGCGATAATTCTTGTGCCATCTGGGCCATGGCCCTGGCGACTTCCTCGGCTATGCGATCACTGAGCTTGGTGAACTCGAGCTGAAATTCGGCCTTCATCGCTTCGATTTTCTTGTTTAAGTCCTGCTCTAGTAGTTGCTTCAAGCGCTGGACTGCGCCTGCCTCGACCATACCGCCAGCTGACTTGGGGGCAGCTTGCTTCCGAGCTCGGTTTTGTCCCAGAGCTCCCTCACTGGTCTCACCTTCCTCCTGCCATTCCATATCGCCATTTTGCTGCTCCATCTCCAATACCTTCGTCGTCCTGACCCTCTTTCGCTGAGGGCGATGATATCCCCCGCCCGAACCATCCGGATCGTCTCCCATGACGATGATGACGTCTGATGCGGGGTTCGCAACACCAGACATCCACCAAGGGCCTGAATCTCCGCCAGGCAGTCCTCAGGATTTTTGAAAGTGATAAATAGGATAAATAAAAGTTATTTTAAAAAGAAGATTGTTTTTTTTTTCCGAAATGCTCTCAGATTCAATATCTGTTCACAGGTCTTTACAAATGTGGTCTCGTCGTCCGGTGATGGATACAGCGTTGGCCATGGTTATCGTGATCAGAAACTAACCCAGTCAGGACCACGCGACTTGAGAGATAAGATTAGATCACGTTGGACTGGACAGCGGAATTACCACAGCTTCGGAACCATTCCGCTTCGGCTATCGCCGCTAAGCCTTCTCTTGACCCCGTTGACGATGTTGCAAATATCAATGTTGGCAAATTTGTGGTCGTTGGAAAAGGATGCGGATAGCATCGATATGCAGCCTTAAAAGACAAAAGGATTTGTGCTGTTGTGTTTACGGTCGTGATGAAATGGGGGTTGTTTGCTGATGGTGATTTTACCGTTAATCAACGATCGAATTGCGGAGTGCAACTATTGGACTGGTTCGTTGATCTGACGACAAGTCGGTAGAACTATTAGCGTACTAACAGCTTTGCCGGTTGTGACAAGTGGATACAGATATCAATCTAACTCGTCCCGGAAACGGATTAGCCAATGTTTCAATGGTAACTGACGCCAAACCTGTTTGGTCCTCACGACCAACTACCCAGTCCAATTCCCTATTGCCAGAGGTTTTGCTGCTACCCGACACTAAATAAACCGCATCCTGGTACTGCTAATGATGGTAGCTCTTTTATTATCAAAGTCTTCCCCATATTTCGCGCAACATGTCCCATCCACAAACCATTTCATTTGAGTCCAAAAGCTCGTCACTCCCGTTGCCGGACCTTTCCTTCCGACTACAATAACAATCTCAGAACGTCCATATATCTACCATCCTGGATCGCCGTGGCACTTTATCAGGTTTAAAGAACTTGATTAGGTCTATCATGTCCAGATCCCACCATTGCCAAAGAAAGTTCTTTGAAAGAAGAACTCAAACACGCCGTAGGGCGCTCGCACAATGCAGCTCTTTCGAGACACTGCGCTAAGTGAGATTTCAACAGCGAGGTCGCTAGGTTTTGGGAGGCCACGCGTCGAGTAATCCTCCAGGAAGGACTGAAGGAAAAGGCTGACACTGTGGAACCCGGATGTGCAGAGCCAATCCGGGAATTGAGGGTAGAGTTTCAAACGCTATCTATGAATAAGGACTCAACCCACTTAGATCACATCAATTTCAGACGATCCACAGAGCTTTTAACTCGTTAATTAAGTCATATTCTCGCAGTATACACCCTCGCCACATTCGAAGAACACCTTCCGTGGTCCAAAGTGGATTGTTCAGCATGATAAGAGCCTCTCTTGCATAACCCAAGCTCGTTTGCTGAGCGTAACATGTTCCACTTCCTTATCGAAATCAGTTTATCCATAGACACATAGATATGTTGCCCTGAACCTTTTTAAACGTAGACATTGATGGCGCCTGGCTTGACAAATCTCGCATTCGAATCGACACTCGATGCTGCAGTGAGGGTGCAGTAGCCTCCGTCCGATCCTTGCTAGATACAGAGCCAGTCCAGAGGTAATGAACCTTCGACTCTCTGACCTTAATCAGGAGTGCTGTAATCAAATTCTGAAATGCTTTGAGGCGTAAGCAAAGGTGTTTGACCAGAAGGTCTCTGGTAACGAGGATCTTCGATATACGATAACCAATAGCTGAGTGAACAGTTCATGTCCGATGGCAAGCTGCCGTTCGGAAGGCATTGTATCCTGAGAATTTGACCTTCCGGATGACCACGCACTAGTATCCTGTGAACGGTGGTAGATATCTCTTCCAACTCCTTCTTCCAATCTGCATAGCACCATCCGACATCCTGTACGAACTGGTTGAGGTGTTTCAAGTCAATTTTGGTGATGCTGTAGACCTTCAGTAACTAGATGACAAGGCAAGGTTTAAATCTCAAACGTACTCATCATTCGTCAACTGAAATCCAGGGACGAGCATCGCCCCCCAGCCCATTTCTTTCACCAATGCCAGGATCAGTCGGCCCGCATGAATCCAACATTCTATTTGCTTTTTCTTTCTGTCCTGTGGATTAAACTTGTAATGTGTATCAAGAGCGTGTAACTCCCGCGTCATTTCATCAATAATCATGTCCTTGAGAGGCCAGTGTGATTGACCATCTTCTTGTGCAACATCAAGATGCATCCAAGCACTTGTTGTACTTGGGGCGTGTCCTGTGCTGTGGCTGGCAATACGTTTCTCGTATTCCTCAGCTAATGCAACCATATGGCCACGACTGAGGAAGTTCCGTGAGTCGAGCCGACCCTGATCACATTGCATGGCGCCGTGAATAGTTTCCAGATCCCATACAAGTGGTTTCTGAGCCCTAAATGGACTGCAATAATCAACCCCGCTGGGTTCTAAACCACTTATGGCAAGCGACCAATTCCATACCCTCTGGAATACAGCTGCTCGATCTGGCTGCAAGCTTGTTTTCAATAGGAGTGTGTGATAAGGTGGTAACTCTGGACTGCGTGCTAGGCTCTCATCAATGCTGTATGAATGTAGCTGTTGATATGGGAAATCTGATGGCAGTTGAGCCGAAGACGCGACAGACGGTTCATAGCCGGTTGGTGAATTGGAATGGTAGAGCGGCGTGACGACCCAAGTCCCGCAGGCTTGCTCTGATCCATCAGAGGAAGGCCCAACGGAGAAGAACTGGTGCTGATGAGACCCGAGTCAGCGATGTGATCTGAGGCAGGCGAATATGTTTTCCAAGGATTGAAAAGAGTGCGATCAGGCACTTAACCCAGATGAATGTAAATCAGGTCCTGGAACCTTATAGGTAGGAGAAGCATACCTCTCCCGGACTGCCTAGATCAGATTTGATAGTATGGAGATATGATCCTTCGTTATCCATGGCTAGCGGCCCCCCGTGAGTAGTCATACATCTAAGTAAATGCCCTGACAGACTCAATAGCGTGAGAACATAATAGTTGTTATTACACCTATATATGTGAAATTGGCTCTCAGATAGCTTCTTGAGTACCAGGGTTCATATAATTAGAGGGCCGCATAGTGAACCCTGTAAACCTAATGCAACACTATCATCAGGCCATATGTCAGTTATAAACCTTAAAGTTCTTATTACAATTTCCTATCCTAACTGTAAGTAGTATTTAAGTAACGTGGGTAAGTAATGTAACAGCAGTGAGTTATAATCTGCATTTATGTAATAAAGCTAAAATAATACTAACTACTTACAATGTCACTACTTTGCTTACGTCTCCTGTGTTTTATACAACATCTACGCCACGGCTTTCAACTTCTTCCTGTCAAAGTATCTGAAACAAAACAAGGGTCTGTTCTCTTATTCACGGCCCGTCCACAAACATCCCAAGAGCAGTAAATCCGCTCTCGCTTCTATCAAGTAGTTAACTGACCAGTTTAACGTAGAAGCAAGCAACATACCAAATTGGCTCTACTTCTTCTTACAGCTAAATACAATCGTAACATCAGACAGTTCACAGCTATTTAACGCTGTATCATCATACGGGTAGCTATATGCATCAGGGCATGCCTCTTTGAACCATGTGCTGCTGGCAGGACACTTCTTCGGATCATTCCACGAGTTCTGACAACAATATTCGTCTGTGCCATAAAGAGAGCAGTCCGAAAGACAACCATCAACTTGGTCCAGGCTCTTGAAGGGTTCGTCAGGATTTGACAATTTGAGGTTGGTTGCGGGGCAGAGCGTGTTGGAGAGTCCATGGCCTCCTAAGAATGGGGGCACATCACAGGTCAGGCCTTTACAGCCCTTCTTGTCCGGAACTACAGATATGCCCATAGTATAACCGTCCACTGATGATTGTAAGAACTTGAAGGCACGTCTTCTTGAAAATTCCTACTTACCAAGACTTAGATTATACCATAGTTTATCTGGCTCTGCTGTAACCTCAAACAGAGTAACAGCCTTGGTTGACTTGCCCCAACAGCTAGAAGCCCCGCAATCGCCTAAACGACAGTTAGTTCCATCGCCCTTACAGTGTTGACGAGCCCAAATTCTGCCTGACCAGGGTACTGGAAAGGGTGAAGTTGTAAAGGATTTAAATGGTTCCAAAGCCAAGCCAGCAGGAATCGGGTCATTAATTGTATTTCCATTAACCTCCAGGCTGCCCTGTATAGCAGGCCAAATAATTTGGTTACTGCATTGATTGTTTAATGTAAAGGTTATTGTGTTTAATGGCATAATAGCTATAATTTAAATTCAGTAATAATATATATATATACTTACTAATATTTTATTTTATATATATTTAATTAATTAATATCTATAAATATATTTTCTAATAATATATAATAATAATTATTTATATAATTAATAAAAAGGTTTATATATATATATAAAAGGAAGTCTTTTCCTCTTTTATATTAATAAATTATTAATGCCAAAGTTCTGTAATTGGCAGAGACTATTAAAGTTCTCTGCTCAGCATGGGTACTGGCGTAAACTCCCCTCACAAAAACACGACTTAAGTTTCGCAGAGTCTTACCAACAAGATTACAACTGGTACCTCAGAGACCTTGCTCATTGCTGGAAAACTGACCTCCGGGAGCAGTTTGAAGACAAGTTTAAATTTGATTCAGAGATTGTGAGAAATTCAATTAAATGCCGCTATGAGAGCCATTCTAGCAAGCAAAAGACAAAGGGAAAGAGCAAAGCACGGCCTGCAAAGGCACCTACCAAGAAACAAATAGAGTCGCATATTAGGACCTTTAAATACACAACTGGGAAAGTCACATGCACTACAGAAGATCTTCAAGAGGTGTTTAATGCAAATGGCATTGAGAGATGTTTATCGGATAAGTTCGAGGATATGGTAATCCATTTCTATAATAATTTATATCCTATACTTAATAATACAACAAAGAAACAACAGAAACAAGGTAGACAATATCAGCTTAGATCTAAAAAGAAATAATAATATAAAAATAATTGTTTTCTAATTTTATTATCAAATTAAGGCAATTGATAGGGACGCATCAAGAATTGATAGGGGCGCATCTGCCTTAGGGACGCTCCAGCTTTTATAGCATCTGATTGGACCAAACTTTCCAGACCCATAAATACTTCCCCATGAAGGCGGTGAAGCCAGCTCTCTTAACAAGCCTAGTTCTTCTCAGCCCAGAAGCAACTACGTCGGGCCAATCCTCTCTTAAAACAGGTTGCGTAAAGGTGTCAACACGGTATTATTTACTATATAGAATCAGAACGATTCAGTTTAGAACAGTTATCTAAGTTTTCTCTTACCGTGATTGAAGGAAGAATCTCTTCGTCGCTGTTTCGTAGCTCCATTGACTTCTTCGTCTCCGAATACTCGGTTGCGTCTTCCGTCCACTAGCACGTACTCCTGTCGTTCTCCCCACTCCAAGAACAGACAACTGGCTGCGTATCTGATGCCGATTTGGGGTACTGGCTTGTCGACTGTGTCGCTGTCGTTTTCGGGAACTCGATTCGCAGCCAGGACTGGGGCTTTGAGCGCGATATCTTGAATTGCTCTCTGAGCTAGATGATGACTCCGACTGGAGCATGACGAGAGACCTAATGATTAATGGTTGAGAGACTGATGTTGGATTATCCGCTCATTTAGATTAAAGAGAGTCAAGCTCAGGTACTTCGGGAGCGTGGGCAGAATTCTGCCTGCACTAACAAAAAAGTGGGTAACGAATCAGAGGCTGCAAAACTGGAGCGTCCCTAAGGCAGATGCGCCCCTATCAATTCTTGATGCGTCCCTATCAATTGCCCAAATTAAATATAAAAAGAAATAATAATATAAAAATAATTATTTTCTAATTTTATTATTAAATTAAGTATAAATATAAATCCTATTTATAAAATAAATTAAATTTAAAATACTTTTTATTTAATAATTATTAATTTATATTATATAATATATAAAATATATAAAGTAATAAATTATAAGCTTAATAATATGCAATTCATTCTTTTATTATATTTTATTACTTCTTTTCTTATAACAAGTACAAAACAGTACTGCACTAAACTATGTTGTCAAAACCAGACTCCTCTAGGTACGAGCTCTGCTCCACTAACTACATGGACTTCAGAGCCTTCATCAAATACTCAGCATAGTCCTGTCATTCCAAGCGCAACCAAGGGCACATTTACCGAGAACCAGGAGGGCCCGCCTAGGAGCACAGATCATCACTATGGAGACTTAACCTTCTTTAATCTTGGGTTAGGTGCTTGTGGAAAGGATTATAGTGGCCAGGATGAAACTGCAAGCGTTGTCGCCTTGTCTCACCTCTTAATGGGAGATCTAAGTAATAATAATCTCTTTTGTGGGAAAGGTGTTGTTATTAAAGTAGGTGGGCGTGAAGTTAAGGCAGTAGTACAAGATAAATGTATGGGCTGTGAGATTAACGATATTGATGTTAGTAAGAAAGTATTTCAGGAGGTGTTTGGATCCCTAACAGTAGGCCGAGAGAAGGTTGAGTGGTGGCTAGAGGCCTGAGTTCTTGTATTTCTCGATCTGATAATAGCTTTAAAAAATACTTAGTTAACTGTATTATAGAAAGACAATAAGTGTTATGGGATAAATGTCTTGCCTGCTGTTTCAAGGCACAACGTTATGGTTGTATTCTCTGGTTAGGTGTAAATGCAACTCTTGGGAACAGATAACTTAAAGCTCACTTCAAGGTTTTTCCTACATCACGACAAGATGAGATCAAGATCATATAATGCAATGAGCAGATCGTCATTTTGTGCCTGTCCACCGTAATAATGGGCAGCCAATTAATACTGAAGCAGGCCCTGCCAAGGAAATCGCGCTGTTAGCAAGAATTAAGCCGCAAGACATAAATTGAACAGTACTGTCAAGATTGTCTGACTTTTGAAACATGCATGCATGAGTGGACCGCAGACACTTTTCGGTAGACAGAAAACTGAACACGTTATTACATACAAGCTCGGGGTCAGCACCGGTCAACTTTTCTGACCGTAGTTGGCTCGCTTACGACCAAGTTTAGTGCATGTTTCAAAACGTCAGGCGAAACTCAATTGAACTGGTGGCTGTTACAGAGCAATTGGGGGGCATTCTTTTTATGGGTCTCGTCACGGAGTCTTCAGATACCGAAGTAGCGCTTGTTTTAGTGCGATTGTCGCTTTTCCCTCCCTTTTTGGGCTATGGAAGAAACTGGTTCCGCTGTGAAGATAAGATAAGATAACGGGTCTGTCTGTTTTTAACCGGTTCTACGGCGGGTCATTAGTCCGGGCCGCTGACGGGAGAGCCCACCATATTCTAGCGCCATTACAAGGTACCAGCGTCTTCAATCAGACTAGCCCATCCTGAACAGCAGTAGAGTTCCCATCCCTTGTCATTCTCAGAATGGCTTTCAGAACAACAATGAATCTCAACGAAGTAGATTTTCTACTCTCATAATTGAATTCTTATCGGCCATCTCAGACCTCGTTGAAACTCCCCCCCGCATTCTAATTCCCCCACTTGCCCTTTGTCGTTTTGTTGGCTGGTTTTCACGAGTAGGCTCGTTGCTTATCGTGCGGCTCCAATCGTGTCAGTTGAATGGGGCTCGATAGGAGAGACATTGCTTACTTCGTACCGCGCGGTAATATCAACCCAAGACCTGGGGGAGTCGGTGCACATTGTGGAAGGAAGCTCTCAGTGATGAAAGGCGGGTTGCCTGCAACTGGGAGTTGCGAGAGAGTAGGTAACGGCACTGGAGGCGAAAGGAACCTTGGGCAGTAGTCGCCAGGCGGAGTAAAGATGCAGTCTTTCTTTCTTTCCCAGCATCTCTGGCATTTACCATGGAGACTGAACATTGATGTCTGACATCGGACCTGTATATGTATTAGAATCTAGACGAGATCCCCAACACAAGGTGTCTCACTAACCTTCCGCTTGCGACATTCAGTACAGGCAATAATTGCACGATGTCTCGTATTGTTCTCGAATATTAGAGCGCTCAGGCAAGTCTGGTAGAACTGGACCTGAATCATGGGGTCCCAATTGCCTGAGGTAACATTGCTGCCACCTGGTACCATAGCCGATGGGTATGAGACTGTTGACAGCGGACTGGTCACAAGCGGCTCCGATGGAGGAGAAACTGGGTCAGTTTGCTCTATCAGTCGTGGGTGATTTGACGACATCAACACCGGTTCCCTGGGTACCGGTACCATCTGAGGGTAGATCGCAACCTACACGCATGTAAGAAGATGAGTCCATGCCGCGCTGACAAGCAATATGGGGGATACCTCTTCGTGCTTTGCCTTAGGCAAGAGGGCGCCTTCATTTTGCTTGTCCATGCTTCAGAAGAGCCCGACGGCCGACGCGACAGACAGACAAATTGTGACAGATAGATGCTTGAGGCTAGCGCAGAAACACAAACCCTTCATACAGAAATTGGGAAGAATAACCCCTCGGATTTGAGGAAAGTGAACAGATATCGTGTTATCGATGGGATCTGGCAAGTGCAGACCTCAATGGGCTTGCGGATCGGCCGCTGAAATAACCCTAGTCCTTTGATGTTGACAGGCATGATATTACAGGAATTCTCTGTATTCCATCTCTGATCTGTAATTGAGCCATGCATATTACATGACAGGGGCAACTATGACGAAAACCAACAAGTGTTTGTGAGACGATCGCTGGTACAATAGCGTAACACTCATTGCTTCCCTCCCCCAGGCAACGCACTGGCCTCTAGTCTCGGGACATCGTCCGGTCCCAGCGGAGTGGTTATGGTGGAGTGGACTGCTTGATCATTGGGTCAAGTAGACGGCGGCCCACTAATGGTAACGGTGTTGAGAAACTTTGTTTCTTCCCAACCCCTCAACTCTTGATCATATGAAGCCCCAGGTTTCGGATCCTGCAAGAATTGTTATCCTAAAGGTGTTGGTGATTCGTAACAACCAACTGCAGGAGGCCAATTTCCTGCCAGGACGTATGTTATACGAGGTACGTTTGATTCCTTATCGGACGAAGGGAGTCATAAGACGTAATACCTGGGAAGAGTCCTCCTTCGCTACTCAGGATTCCGACATTGGCAGGTTAGATGAGGTGTTAATGGGAGTAGTACAAGCACAAGAACTTACAGAACTTTGCTCAGGCACATCTTTCTTCATAGTTAAACATGAAAACATAAGTATTGCTATCCCTAAGAGTTCTGATTGTAATTTTCGGCGCCATAAATGGCACCGTGCGAGTCCACACTTGATATACCATGGTTTCCGTGATCCGAGTAACATTTGATGGGCATACTAGAGCTCTCGTTATTAAACAGTTCTTGGACATTCGGGTTGGTTGATCGAAGCCTCGAAAGGCGCATTTTCAACGCCATCTTGGTCACATCCCCAAATATACACTTGAAATCCGTGTGAATCGTGTCCCAAGGCTGGCGCTCCATTCTGCGGCTGATGAGGAATTTGAGCTCATTTGGCAATTCATCCAACGTTTTCACTCTCTTGCTGTTTGAATGGTCATGCTGATTGTTCCGAGGCATAGAAAGTGTCAACGGGACCCTGTTATCGTTCATGAAAGGGGAACAGGTGCTGTTCAGACTCGGCATGGTTGCCTCAGATCCAGATGATGAAGGACCGTTGAGCAATTGCTGATCAAGCGATTGAATGATGGTAGACGTATCGAGCCAAGGCGTCGCATAATCTGCGGGAGAAGGCACCGTACTGCTGAGAATGGAGTATTCCGTCAAGAAGTCGGCTTCCGGATCTGCGATGAATCGTTGATCATCAGCAAAGGGGATCCAGGGATTGTTCTCAACGCCAGTTTGGCTAAGTTGGAGACTAGAGTCGGGGTCACCTGTGGTGTCCCACTCGAATCCAATGCGTGCGTCGGATTCTGGAAATAGCAGGTAGTCAACGTCGACTACCTCAGAATAGTTCATTTCGCTATTTGCTTCTGGCATCGTTGTAAGAACAAGTTCAGATCAGGTGGGAAGAGACACTGTCGATGAGTCTAGTTGATGGATGTTGGTCACGGGAAAGTAATTAGCATATTACAGCATGATGTTTGGAAAGACGCAGCTCTGATGCGACTGCTCTTTTGGATCAGTTAAGAGACCAAGCACTGGTAAAGCTAACCCTGCTCGATCCTGATGCAGACGTTCGTCTTTTGCGCAATGGCATCCAATTTTGGCGCCTAAGCGCGCTCTGATTCTGCGAAAGGCTCTTGGCGGCGCTTGGGCCGCCATCACTACAGATAAAACCCCTGTACAAGTAGGAAAAAGAATGCCGAGTAAGTATGCACATCATGGCAGAATTTAGCAGCTTGCCTGCCGAGCTTAGGCGCCTGATTTGGAACTTGAGTCTGCCGCGGCGCGCTTTGACCCTAGATGTTCTGCTTGAATCTCAGTCTCATAGTTGGGATACTGGACTTCCCATCAGAGCGCTTGTTTACTTCGAGCGCTCGCGCCAACCAGAGGTCTTTAATGCACAGCAACAGCAGGTAGAACTTGTCAGTGCCATATGTACAGACTCTCGATCAGTAGTTTTGTCGCGTTATGTGAACCAGATACAGCTATATGACAGAACGCAGCCAGGTGCCCAGCGATCGAAATGGATTAGATGCAATTTGAAACATGATACATTTATTGCTGGCCAGTTTTCAAGCACATCACACCGGAACTTCAGTCATTACACAATACCACAGGGGTCACTGGGATCGATGACAAGTGACTTGGCCCAACAGCTGCAATGTATCAGAACCCTGGTAATTGATCAGAACCAACAAGAGACAGATATCATCGGAATGGTTAGAGCCGATGGCGACACCCTGGGCAAGATTGCTCCGGAGTTGGCCGGTTGCATCCATGTGATGAAGAATCTCCGCGTGTTGGTTGTTACAGAAGGACTTTGTAGCATGCTTCGTATAACAAAAGTAAAAACAAAAGCATTGAGTGTCGCTACAAGAAGAGCAATAATGACTGAAAAGGTCAGGCAGAGTCTGGGTTTACGATATAATCATGGTCTATTCATAGTCTGCTTGGACACATGATCCGTAATGACAAAATTCTAATAATCATTAAGTTATCACCCGATGACCATTACTCTGTTGCCTGACAAATTGTTATTCATGATGCAGGAGTGTTGGTGATCACTGGGAAGGTTAGGGTACGAAATTGCTTAAGGTACGGAGTACTTCTGTTGTAAATGCCGAGGACCTTTATGACAAATGAGAGCCTGGTGTTGTTGTAAGCGGCTTGAGCGGCTAATCGAAAGCGCTTAAGGTGGAACCAGGATTAGACTTATTGTAAGGGGGATGGCAGAGAAAAGAGGGGTCACCGGGGGCAAGGGATTTCAATTCCGGAGTAACCTGGGTAGGATTTAATTCGGAATCATGTCATGTGGTACCAACTTACGATACACCCCTTGAATGTTTGTCAGTGGAGCAGCTAGTAGGGATGGTGAGAGGCTCTCTAAGCCAATCAGATAGCCTAAATTCTGAGGCTTTATAGTATTTAATTGGCCGGTGTTGTTATTGATAAGATCGAGCGAATAGCCAATAAGGATCAGGCATAGCAGGGATTAAGTATCCACTGACAAACATTCAGGGGTTGTATTGTACAACCAACAGAGTCAAAGCAATGTCGGACAAGCAATGTCGGACACCCTCAATATGCCCGGAGACTTCGGAGTCTTGAATCAACGACCAACAAACATTATTCTACTCTGTACGGAGTACACACCATGGCATCAGGGGTGCAGGGGCCAAAAACTCTCTAAGTGAGGTACTCCCATGTTTATGTTGAAATCGAGCCTGTTGCACGGCGTAAGCACTGGGGATCGAAATCCTTTGGGAGACGGGGTAATTGATCGACAACGATTTACCTACTCGATTGAGAGGAGATCTTGGCATTGTAAGATCCAGGAAGACGAACTGTTCCCCAAAATAAATTGGAAAGCTAACTTGTTCCAGCGAGCGGTTCACGGGGTAAGTTTCTCGATTTGCAGGGATAACGATAACGGTGATCTATCGCTTATGCATGCACAATTCGATCGTACAGCCCAAGTGCATTAATGCACGTCAGGCACAGAGAATCTTTTGTCAGTATTTCCAGGTGCAGTTCGCCAGAAATAGCATACAACGGTGTAAGCATTATTAACGAAATATACCATCAAGTAGCAGTAGGGAAGAACTTATTATATTGGTGACCTAAAAGTATAAATTCCTCAATCGCAAAACTTCAGCATAGGCCATCTATATTGTATTAGCATTTCAAGATCATGACGGATAATGCAGAGACTCCCGCCTTATGCCTCCCGGGTAAAGAAACACGCGCAGTTATGGATCCAAACCCAACTTCTGCATCACGTGAGAGTCATCAGCAATTTCCAATCATATTCCCGAGTAAGTTAGTTAACATAAGCCGAGTCATAAATACTTCTGTCCACTCCTCAACCTCATCGCCCTACTGTGGCTAACATGTCGAAGGCAAGGAATGCGCGACATGTGCTTGCGCGCAGTTTGGAGATCAGCTGACTTATTCCAATGTTTCGGCTCACTGCAAGTTTTTAGGAGAAGACGGCGATATCATCTTCCCCACCAGAGAAGAACTTGATGATATGTCGAAAGAGGACTGGGAGCACTTCAAATACGTTCTGGAGCATACCGATGAAGGACTATGGGATATTTGAAGCGAACATGTAGCTTTTTCAATTTTTCTTCCACTTACCCTGGCTGTTGAATGAATGAATAAATGAATTCATTACGGATTGCGTCCGGGAGAACGATTCTCCGACCAGTGGCTACGCTTAAATGTGTACACTCTCCCGGTGCCATCCAGACCACCTAAGAAGCTCCACTTCTTTGCACGCATCATTTCCTTTCTAGCCTCGCTTGGCTCTCTTTGGCGGGCCCGCTTAAAGGCCAAGTTAATTCTCCAAGTATTCAGCATCCTATTTTCAGCAGCTGAAGCATGGTCTGTCAACATAGGGCTGTTTTCTGTTAATGTGTTATGTGTCATGCTTTCCCCTCTCCATGCTCCTTTCAATTTCCCTCTCGACTTAATCTTCCTGTCGCCATTGCAGATCAGACTGCTGCTTGCACCGCCTCTAGGTTAGGTGCCTATTTTGGTCTATCCGACGCCGCTTTTCTACCTAGAAAGAAGGAAGGATGACATATCATGCCTTGTCCTGCTTGTCGCATAGCTTGATGTTCCGTCTCCTATGTCGCAAACCAGAAGAGGAAATGCTCTATCGTCTCTGGCGCACGTCTATAGTCACAAATGTCCGACTCTGCAGCCCTTGTCTTGGTGAAATAGCATCGCCATTCCAGTCCGAAGATGTAATAGCACGTCGGCTTCTTGTCTCTTGAGTTTATAGTACAACGTTTGTGTGTGCTTGCTAGGCAAGGCTTGATTGATCCGCTTGGAGTAGCCACTAGCTCTGTCGGGCAGCCTCCATTACTAACATAATTGCACTGCCGCCAGTCTGATCTGAGTGGATTGAGCCTGATATGGTAATGATTGTGGCATGCATTCTGCTCTGGTGGCTCTCTAGGCTTGCCTCTTCGCTTTGCGACCTAAGGTGAAGTTATTATCTTAGGATGGTATCTATATTATCTTATCCCTGTTATTTCCTCTTCCTAGCTGCTCGATGTGTTTATGATCTATCGGATAGTGACTTGGCCTGACTGCTGTTGCGGTCGTGCAGTCGCTTTGAGTGCCAACTGACTGCTCGACAAGACTGTAAGTTTGCGACCTTGGAGACCATCGGGAATGCATCGCAACGCCATCGCAATCGCCTCCAGCTCGACCGTGTATGGGTTCTGGTCATGCCGCGACCTGAGAGTGACCGAATATCGGGCCACTGCCTTGTCTCTCTGACCAGGAGGCCTGTGAACTTCGACGTCGCCGATGCTGACGAGCCCTCGTCTGTCGGATGCGCTAGTTGCAATAATAATATCGTTGGCATCTTTGGCCGCTGCTGTCGCTACCTTCTTCAGCCTCACAGACCGTCGACATCTGGCTGTACCATGGTGGTACCGCGTAGGCCTGGATCGTCTCCATTCCCTCAATCCCGCCCCCTTTGTGTGCAAGCGCCAACTTCCTCAACGGTGACATGTATCTTGGGCTCCTCGACACCTTGAGTGCTATCAGTGGATGTTTCTTAGGCAGTGTCTTGATGTTGACGTATAGTCTCAAGCCCGCCTGAGCATGTCGCTCGCATACCGTCTAAATGCTAGCTTCCGCTTCTGCCACTGCCGTCGCAATGGTCCGAAAGGCGCCCGTGATAGCTCCTGTCCCCATCTTCTGAGCTCTGTTAAACTAGGTCGGTTCCCGTTCACCGCGTGCATGCGACTATACGACAGAGGCGTAGTCTATTATCGGCGCCACCGTCGCCATGAAGAGCTGTCTGGCGGTACGTTGAGACAGCATCTTGAGGCCCCTCAGACACATGGCCGCCGAGAGACCTGTGGCGGCAGCCTCAGTCATGTGCTTCTTGGACTTTAGCTTCGCATCTATGATCACTCCTAAGAGCTTGACCTTTTGTTTCGGCTTGACCACTTTTCCCTTTACCGTAATGGTCGCTGTGCGGTTCGCGCAAAAAGTATCAATCTACTTGACTAGCCTCTTAGGGATGCCTCTCGCTCAAGTCTCTATAGCAGCCTATCCTTAGATATACCATTATAGGCGCCCTTAACATTAAAGCTAACTAGATTAACCACTTTATAGTTATACTATATTTTATAGACCTATTCTTAGAAGAGTAGTAAAGCCTACTATATCAGCTGCCGCTTTATCGCTTTAAAGTGATTTATAGGTAAGAGTATATATCTTAATAGTATATAAGATATAATCTGCTACTACTACTTCTAGAGTCTTACTTAGTATTAATAGAAGTAAGATAGGCTTTTATACTTTAGCTTTCTTATAGTTATCTTTACCTAGCTTCTTAAGCAGGATAACCTTAGCTATCCTCTACTAGTCTGGTAGTTATCCTTTGCTTAGTAATACATAGAACAGATGCAGCATCTGCTCTTTCACCACCAGCCACAGCTGTTTCCTACCATAGCTGGAAGCCCGTCTTGTCCATCGTGGCCCTTCATCTTCAATATCTGCCGGTAATGGCGGGAAGGAAGGTGGCAAGCAGTCCATTTACTTACTCGGTCTTGTCCTGCGTTATTGTCCTATCTGCTCTTTTTAGCAGAGGCACCTTATTACTATTTATATCATCCCCGGGTTTAAGGTACTTAGCAGCTTGCCAGATGTTAGTCTTATTAAAGGGAAGGTCTTTCTAATTAGCTTTCTTTTGCCTTTTAATGGCATTATAATACACTTTGGTTACTTCCTTGGCTTAATCTTCCAGGTTATTAACTAATTAGCCCGCTAAATACTAAGCCCTTAGTAGGTTTTACTAAAATATATATATTTTATAAACCTTAGTAAGATCTATTATTTATTATCTCTTAATATAAGGTAATAGTTTTATTTATTAGACTAGCTTATAAATTATTTGAAGAACTATTTTTATTACCTTATTTATTTATATTTATATATAATAATACTATAATAATAATATAAGTTTATTTCTTACTCTTATCCTAATTATATTTTATAGTATACTCTTAAATAATAGCCCTAAGACTACTATTCTCTTAGGAGTTATAAGATTAAGCTTATTTTAGATTATAAAGTAATCTAATTTATACTTAATAAGATAAATGCCGCAGTAGATTATCTCTTTAGCCAGTTTAGATAATACTAGCATAAGGTCGAAAGGACTCTTGCTGCCTAGTCCTTCCTATATCTTCGTCCCTCGCAGGAGCAGACTGATTAGGTTATTCTAGTCTATCGGGTTAATAATCAGGCTTGCCTTGCCTTGTCTCCTGCCTGTCATATTATTACCCCCGCGCCCGACAGTTTCGACTAAGCGACTAATGCGGTCCTCCGCATAGGATTTACTTGGGCTTGGCCGCCCGACAGTCTCGGTAACAATGCCCAATCTCTGCACAATTGCTACATCGTTGAGCTTTGCTGCAAGCGAAACCCTTATGCCCTATCTCCCAGCAGTCGTAGCACTGAGCGGGGCCTAGATGTCCCTCGAAAATGTTGGTGCTGGCCGACTGTCCGGCTAGGTGGAAGTACCTCTCCTCAAGTAGTCGTTGCGCATCGCTCGCCTTGGTGAGGTAGATCAACATCGAGCCATACCGTTCTCTTTGTTGCTGGTCCAGTGCATTCTGGCGATGGTCACTTTGTTCTCTCTTCCTAGTACCTTTGCTGCATCTGCCAGCACGTTGCCGGATGAGTCCAGAACGGCCGCCCTGTCTGCGCCGTTGATCTTGACGAGATACAGCTGGACCCTAGCACTCTCGCACCCTTGACTGCTGTTTCCAAGCCGCCTCTCGGATAAGCTGCATCTTCGCCTCATCTCGGCACAACACTTTGATGCGGTCTGGGTTGCTCGCATCTTTCACCACCGACTGCGCATCGCCAGCTTTGTTGGCCATCTTCAGTCGCCCGTACCTTCTCTTCAATTGCCTGACGCACTCCTCCGACTTGCGCCTTGTCTCTGTCCTCTCGGCTAACCCGCGAGGTGTCGATGGTGCAGAACAATGCGTCTGTGAATGAGGACGGCGTCGTGCGCAGGGAGGAGAGTGTGCGGACGTTACTTGGCTGGCTTGCGGCCTTCGTCTGCATACGATGGCTGCGGGCTCGTCTGTGGACTGCTGGAGGCAGTACTGGCTACCATATCCAGTTATACCTTCACCCGTTGGATCTCCTCTTTCGACTTTCTTATCTACTCTTCCGTTTAGATGCGCGTTCTTTCCAGCTCCATTGCGACTTGATGTCGCATGTGCTCAAAATCCCTCGCAGCCCGTTCATGCATGTTCGTGAGCTGTTCGTTGGTCTGGTCCTGCATGTTTCTAATCTGCTCGCTTGTCTGCTCCTGCATGCTACTAATCCGTTCATTCACCTGTCCTCGCATCACCCTTAGCTGCCTTGTGGTCTGTTCGTGCAGGCGTCTGAGCTCATCCACCTTCTTCGACTCCTCGGCCGCCTGGACTTCCTGCTGGAGTTGTCAGAACATCTCGAGCTGTTCGCCCATCATCCGCGTTGCTGTTTGCTGGTTTCCCACCAACGCGTCCCAGAATCTCTCGAGCATCAGCTTCTGCTCGTTTATGAAATGGCCTAAAGGCCTCAGACCATTACCGTCGGCGATCGGGAAACCTGATAGTCCGGATTAAGATCGTCTTCGCTTGATTTACAAAGCACTGTTATAAAGCAATAAGCAAGTAAAGAAAATAAACAACATATCAGACTAGCAGCTTAAATATAACTACATTCATCCTAACTGTAACTATTATAGAACTTATATAGCAACTACATATAGCTTATTTGCAGAACTACCCCTTGAGACTTATATATCTTTGGCTTTAATTACTTTCTATTTTATTACACATAACTGCTCTTTCTCTAAGCTTGAGCAAGACCTGTACAGCTTTGTACTTGCCATGTCTCCAAGGTATATTGATTTGCTCAACTGGAAAATGTCTGAAAGTCATCAAAGCAATGATGACCTTCAGTTGCTCTTCCAAGAGTTGCGCAAGAAGACAAAGATCGTCATTGTTGCTGGAGCTGGGATATCGGAGGCTGCTGGGATTCCAGAATTTCGTACCCGCCTAAATGCCGCTGAGGGTAAAGACAATCTAGAGAGATGCAAGTACATTACCAAGGATATGCTCGATGCCTTCGCCTTCTCAGATGACCAAAAGACAAAGCAGTTCATGGTAATGACTCGGGAATTATCTCAAACATTCTCTTCTGCCAGGCCTACAGCCTTTCATCACTTCATAGCCCATCTCGCAAAGCGAGGGCAAATCCGGCGACTTTATATACAGAATATCGACGACATTGACATCAAAATCCATCCCCTGGCTACGGAAGTTCCACTGAGTCTCAAAGGCCCCTGGCCAAATACAATACAGCTTCACGGTAGTCTGAGTAAAGTGTGCTGTAGTAAATGCTCACATATTGATGACTTCAGACAAACAGACTTTCAAGGGCATCAAATGCCCTCCTGCAATCAATGCCAAGCGTATAGCGAGGCGCGATCGTCCAGAGGGATGCGAAGCCTTAGTATCGGTAAGCTCCGGCCACGGATATCACTCTACTCAGAGCAACCTTGGGATGCAGATGCTGTTGGGCGGGTCTCTGTGGCCGATGTCAGGGCCTCCCCAGATGCTGTGGTAGTCGTCGGAACAGCTTTGAAAGTACATGGAACGGCTAAGCTTGTTCAGGAGTTATGTAGAGCGACCCATAGCCGCCGACAGGGCATTTGCATATGGCTCAACATTGACTGCCCACCGACTGGAAGTAATATGAAGAAATGCTGGGACTTTGTTGTACTTTCCAGATGTGATACCTTTGCTCGTCTCTATGGTATTAAAGAGGAACCAGTAATAACTTTCTAAAAGTAAAGCCTTGGTATTAAACCTAATAATAAGATAAATAAACTATTTATAAAAGACGATATTATTAATAAAATGCCTAGAATTAAAAGTATTATAATCCTCCCCTCTTAAGATATTTTTATAATGAAAATTCCTAATGCTATAAAGTACTCCCTTTATGGGATCCTCTTTCTCTTTGAGATTGCGACTCTCCTCATTGTCTTCGTTGGGTTTCCAGCAGTCCCTATTGCCTTTACATGGGTTATACAGAAGAAGATTATAGAAACTGCGGACAAGGCATTCTTGCCCCATTTAACCATAGTGCAAGTATGCCTTGGTCTTCACACGCCCTTCCTCCTTATTGTTCTCTGGGGATTGTTGCCCTACTATAGTATACGAAACGAGTTACCCTCATTAGTTAGAGGGGTGATATTTACTGTCTTCTGCTTTGTTATGGAAGCTTTGACTATTTATTCTATTTATACAGCCTATATTGTCTGGGACTGGTCCTTTAGTCTCTATGGCTTAGGATATCTCAGTCTTTCGGCATATTGTCGTGCTCTGGTTATATTTCTAGGGGTTACTTGGTCATTGGGCTGGGCTGCCTTCTTGACATTAGTTGGTTGTGCTTTAGAGTTTGGAATGCCAGTTGTTATCCAACAAATGGTCTTGGAGATGAGAATACTGTTAGCAATATGCAAGGTTGCATCATTCCCTAATAAGGAAAGTAAATGTAATTCGAGTTGCTAAGTACTTTAAAGTATAATAAAAAATATTATATTAATTATAAACTTATTAAAACTTAACCTTTAAGTAATATTAACTAGTCAGAAGTATATATAAGACAACAGAGATTTTCATACATTGGCAACCCACTATCTCCATTTTACAAACAACAAACCCTTCACCATGCCTCAACAACCAGTCCACCACACATGCTCCATTTGCCTACGGAGGCGGTCTCGAGACTTTCGACGTCGTCATCCAGTCAACTCAGACAGCCAGCAACTGCCAGGAATATGTCGACGCTGCGCTCCCTCAAAGCATCTTGAAGTAGTGCATATTCACCACCACTACTATTACTATTGTCCTTGGACTGGTAGAATGAACGGGACAATACACGAGCTCCCAGGGTCATCTGCTGAGATGCCTGAGGAACCACCTGTCGTCGGGCCCAAGCCGAGTTGGTTCCAACGATGAGGAATCATTGTTATCTTGTTGGGAACTAAATAAAACAATAAATGATCGCTCGCTTGCAGAATTAGATTTGACCTTAACCCTCTGCACCTAATTACTGTCGCTGTACTATTTAGAGCAGACACCTCAACTATGGACACGTAAACCCGAAGTTCGAAAGGCCCAATGGCTCAATGGATGCTCCCTTACCCAAACGAGTGATTGCTCGCCTCGTCGGCGTTGTCACGCTCACGAGTCACGACATCTAGTTATGCTTTGAGATAGAGATCATCTGACGAAGTGCGATTCGTTCGAGTGTAATAGCGTATGCCCAGAAATTGATAGACAGCTTGTGTAAGGTACCACGTTGCTGTTGTCAAGGGCATGAAAGCATGCGCTCATGTCGATCAACACTCATTCTATGTTTAGGGACAATGGTTTTGGTTGACAGCATCCAATAGTTAGTCACAGAGTGTTACGACCATTGTAAAAGCGTTATTAAAATGCCTTATCAGTCCCAGATTTGGGAGCAATAGTCAACTGAGGTAGTTGCATCTGTTATTCATGGGAAGAAGACGAATTGAGATCAAGAAGATCATTGACCAGCGGGCCCGCAGAGCTACATTTGGCAAGCGAAAGTCAGGTCTCTTTAAGAAAGCGTGGGAGTTTGGAGTTCTTACTGGAAGCAAAGTATTTGTGGTCATCGAAGATGAAAGAAAGACACAGTACTCATTCACGACAAATAAGGAGGATCTATATCTAAAATATCACGATATCGATCCTGAAAATCGAATGGTGCCTCAAGACTTTGGGCAGTCAGCTGAATCCCCAAAGATGCTCTCACCAGCAGCTGGAGAGGCTGTATGTGCTACACGAGGGCACCCGCAGACGCAAGTGAGCAACATTAGCGACGTCGAAGAGTTGCCTGACGTGTTCCCATCAGACAGCCTTGTAATGGATGTTAGGAAACTTTACACGCCATTGGCTGACGCTTTGGCACCTGAGAGCTTTCCATCCACCTGTTTTTCACCAACAGACATGCAATGTTACATGCCGACTTCGAGTTCATTCATCGACCCAAACATGCTTAGTATTGGTGGAGATGCGCTCGATGGAGACCAAGTGGACATTTTTTCACTCAACGTTCCAGGGTTAGTCTCCCCAGTAATCTCTGGTTTGGGTTTTCAGCCATTGTCTGATTCAATATTTTCGCACGATTACAGTACTAGCTTGGGATGTATAGAAGGGTTACCGTCCTTGGCAATGTCACCGAGATCAATTCCCCCACGCAATTGGCTGATGTAATAATTATACCAACAATGAGTTCGTGGATACTAAATATCCAAAGTACCCTGGACTACATATAACAGGTTACGAGAAAATACAAGACAGTATACCAATTAAAAGAATGCTTTGTGGTGTGAGCTCTTTTTAGGCATAGTCCTAACCCTCAATGCGGTTAGTTGTCTAACAACCCTTTACTTACCGAACCTTAACATAACATAAGTACGCCGCTGCGTGGTCTCAAAATGGGGGGACGCCGCACTATCTTGGATGACTATATTTGAATCACTTGCATTCATATGAAGATTAGATAATCTGCTCTCATCTCATCGCAGTATGGACAATCTCCTTAGAACATCCCTTGTTCTTATATGTGTCACCCCTCTGTTTACTAAACATGAGACACCATACAATATGCTATCTATAGCAGAACACTGTGAGAATACCGATTGGGCAACTCTTTATCCTGTTCATTACGTTAGTAACAGAATGATCACGGATTATAATGCAATATCTTCTACCCATCACAAGCAAATGTCACCAGCCCAAGCAACAGTCCTCGGCACAGATGATTACAAAGCTGGGCTGATTGCTGATTCGGAGCTGGTGACAATCACTAAGCGGGGAACGGCTTTCGACCACTTTTCTCGCTGCTATCAAGCCTGCAACTGGGTTTCTGGCACTGAGTACCTTTCCACAGACTTGAGATTCTTTCCTCTGCTGTGGGAAGTCTCAGGAGATGGCACAACGAACTGGGCCTTAAATATGCCCAAGGCGCTTTCAGGAAGCTTCAAAGAGAGGATTAGCTTCAACAAGCCAGACAACGCGGGCCAGGCCAACATGACACCAGAAGATGCAGTCTTGGGCCATATTCAATATCTCAACGCTTACAGTGGGGAAATCAACATTGGCGCACCAAGCGTCTCAAACATTATCCTGGAAGGCGAGGGCTTATGGTGGTCATCTGACTTTTTTGAAGTCTACTCTCGACTAAATCCAATTTGCAAGGTCAACTCCTGTCCTGCTCACTGGTACTCATCGAATGTCCAGTGCAGATATCAGTGGCTGTCTGACCTACTGGACTATTTTCAGAAAGCTTATGAGGCTTGCGGAGGGTCCTCAATGTGGCTTCTCGAGTTCGCGGTTCTGGGAAATGATGAAATCACTCAATCATTCCTAAGATAGTTCCTAAGCGAGAGGAATTGGGATATATTGGTACATTATTTCACTTCTATGTAACAATTGGGAATCTTGTGCTCAGTGACGCATCTCTCTGCCCTGCTTGTGAGACATGTGCATATCTTGTTTGAGCCAGAATTTCCTAAGGCTGGAGGAACACGGAGTATGGTAATAACAGAATGGATAACAAGACGAGAACATCACGAACATGTTGCACTGTACCTAAAACATAGCCTGCTACATTGAACCTATTATAGCTGAAACGTGCCCTTTCCCTTTCTTTGACCTTTGTTTCTTCTTCGTTGATTGAACCCTCTTCTGCGACTGTTCACAGGCCCTCACGTGATGCGCGAAAAGTCCCGCGACGGCCTTGTTTCGCTGTTTGAGTCTTTGAAATCTTACGGTTAGTGTCGCTTTCTGAACGTCGTCACCCATTTTGTTGACCTCTTTCGTGATATCTTGCCAGGTCCAATCTTGCAGCTTGAGACGAACAACACAGCGCTCTATTTCTGTCAGCGAATCCAATCCATCTCCCCCAACTGCCTCATCAGAATCTGGAAGCGTCTGCAAGGTGTCTCCCGATGATGCTGCAGACACTGGTTTCGGGTATGTCTCATCCTCTTGAATATCACTTTTACTTTGAGTCGGGGAATGGCTTTGCGATATAGAGGCTGGGCTTGGGATCTCCTGATTAGCGCTTACGGGCCAATCAGCTTGTGGTTGTATTGGCAAATCGCCCATGTCCGGAACATTGTTTGGCATGACCGGATAGGGCATATATGGCGTCTGAATGGGGTCGCCTGCCGACAAAGAGGGGGTGTTGAAAAACTGAGCGAGGTCGCCCATAGGTTCAAGAACTTCATTGAGAGGTTGGAAAACCCCAGTTTGTTGACTGGATTGCAGAGGCTGAATGACTTCGTTGTTTGGTTGGCCGAAATTCAAGGGTTGAAGGACTTCGCTAAGGGGCGGAAACATAAAATCTGAGTAGCCAGAGTCTAGTTGACTTGGCATATACGTCGTTGGGCGAAACAGATTGGGGGATGGCACAACAGGGACAACCCTCCATGCACCACAAAAGGAACAGCATACTGCGACCCCGGGTGCATTACTCGAGCTGGCAATTCCCCATTGGTCTCGGGGAATGGTCAGTGGTGAAGGTTGACCAGGGTTGGTCATGCCGCTGGAGTAGTAGTTCATTGGTAGCGTGACTTGGCTTGTAACGCCACTGATCTAGCCACTTAGGTTATTCGCAACCAAAGAGATCCATTGTTGCAGAAATGGACAAATTCGGGGCGGATTACCATCTGCTTTATCCTCATGTTATCTATTACTTGTTGGTTTTCCCTTCCATCAAGCTCCCATTTTTGGCACAGAAACTCAAATCCGGCATCTTAAGAAGCGAAAGGTCTTCTACCCCGCTTCCGTCTTGGCAGTTACCCTCTAACTGAATTCGGCAAAAGAGTAACAGTACCAGGGTTTCTGACTGTTGGCTGCAGGTTCATCACATGCGGGGTTAATGGAGCCATTGTTACTTTGTTGTTACATTACAGAGAAGCTAAACCTTGAAGAGCGAGCCCATGGCGGCAGACTTCACCTTGATTTACATTGCATGCAGCTGGCAAAGGGGTTTGAGAATTGTTCCAGCTTTGAAAGCCTAAATCACAAGGGCTAACATTTGTCTTATCGCTGCAGGATCCTAGGGGGGGGGCGCATGACGGGAGAGTGGTCTGAGTTGACGAAAGGGGTGATGGGTGACCAACAGCTGCTCATCGACATCGAAGGTTCTTTAACACGGTGGTGATCGTCGCGCGCTTTGTGAGTTGATAACAAAGTCTCGAGCAGTTGGAGCCAGTGGCTGTACTACCAGGATGTACTAACAATTCTTGGGGTCAATGCTGGAAACAGTGATTTATTGGTGGAATAAATAACAGTTAGGTTTGTGGCTGCTGACGCCACAACTGGCTTATCTAATTGAAGTCAGACCAGACTCAGAGGCCCCAATGAAATTAAGAAGTGACCTCTTCTAATTCGCATCACAATTCAAGGCACCATTGAGACTTTTCATCTGTTGTTATGTCTAGCTGGCGAGTTCTGGCGGATCTATGGAACGAAACTTTGCGGAGTTTCGACCCGTGGCTGATATAGATATTCAGTTTTGTTGACCTGGTTAAGCCCGTAGCTAGGTGTTTGGCATCGTTTGTCGCTCGTCTTATCGGGGTGCAATCGCCTCTCAGATGGATGCCTTGGAGGCAACCCAAGCGGAACTTGATGCTTTCCTGATGGTGTGTAGGTTAGATTCAGAGTCCGTTGTAATATTTTGCTCGAACAAATAAGAAGCTTACAGATAGCTTGACCCTCTGGTACCGTCTGAAGTGCGGGTTACCAAGGTGTACTGGGAGGCCCAGAAATTCCAACGAGGGACACGCTTGGACAATACCTTCCAACTCACGAATGCCAAGCTTGAATGCCGTTTCAGGTACTGCGATGTTCTGTCTTACGTCTATGACTAGAACCCGTAATGACGGAGAATACTTGAAGTAAGGAGCTAGATTAATAGGTCGGTATATGTTGCCTACTCGCAAGCACATCTCCTGTAAGAATGGAGCTTTGGACAGATGAAAGAGTAGGATTTGCAGAAGTTCAGGCGTTAGATGCCCAGCTAAACGGAAGACCTGAAGATGCCTGAATTGTTTATTCAACATCATCTGCTTGACAAACCCGCTGGATCCTGGACATAGTCTCAAATCCAGAAGTTGAAGCCTCCACTTCGGTTGCTTTATCCAATTATAAAGAGGAACACAATCGAGTGAAAGCTTTCTTACATGACTGAGAGTAGTGATGTCGAAGCAATCATTGGCGGGCCTTGGACCGTATGGAGGAAAGCTAAGACGTAACTCTGTGAGGCGTGAACAGTTCTGGAGATGCCAACGGACCCACGCAGCCTCAGTATCTGTGTGTATTCCCAGATAGGTTAGCGAGGTGAGGTTTCGAAACACAGTTTCACGAGGAACCCAGTGAACCGCCGTTGAGAATGAGAGAATATTGCTTGGATACTGCATGACGCTTGAAAGAGCGATGTCTAACAAGTTGGACTGTCCGTCTGACCACGATCCATACTCCTGATCTATGATTTCTATGTTTCTGATGAGTGACATTAAGTACGGTCTTTGGTGCATGACTCTCAGTATATGAAGGCTCTTCTTATTTTCGACGCCATGTCGAAAGTTGATTTGCAAGTGACGATATAAAAATGGAAGTACTTTAAAGTGCAGAGACTTGCAGGTTGCTGAGAGTCTGGAGATATCGCAAGAAGAGAGTGAGTCGAGTAGAAGCCATAGAACTTCGAGAGGCAGGCTGTCCATGAAGTGAATTAATTTGTGCCCTCGATGTGGTATAAAGTATACAATCTCTAAACACTCCAGGGTATACATTGGCTTGATATCTCCATGTTTGTATGACAATTATTAAGAGTTCGGTGTAAGCAGTCTTACTCAAACATGAGCAATGAGTCCAGTTCTATGTTTACTTTAAGATTAGTTTAGGCTATATATGGGATACTTTCGGTACTGCCAGAGATTTAAAGTATAAATTTGTTACAGTAATTACCTCATTGTAGACCAGAGCTTAGACTAATTATAATTCAAGATGCTCTTCTAAATTCAGCCTTTTTCAGTGATGCTGTAGAGTACTTAAAGCTATCATTCTCACAAGGATATTCCTCCCACTGTAATAATGCTTAAACTCTCAGTTGCTTTCGTCACACAATTACTCTTGCTGTTAGTCGTAGCCATTGAAACCAGAGATGTCCAATGTTTATGGGTTGTGCAGCCAACAGAGAAGCCTCGGGACGTGATGAGCGCTTTGAACTGCGACCCGATAGACATGCTTATTGTTTACCCAGAGCTAAATGTTAACGAGGAACCGAATTGGAAAACAATAAAAGTTCCATGTGTATCACGCCTAAAGGCGCCGGCAGAGTGGGTGCCTGCTTCGGCGCATACATATTACCTCCGATTAAATGGATACAAAGCCCCTAAATACCATTGGTGGGAACCAAACCCAAGCAGTCCAGCCTCAGTTGTCCCAACTCCAGTTGTAACACCATCAAAGAAATAGAATAGTATATATAATATTAGATAGAATTTAAATCTTTAGACTAAAGTTAATTATTAACCTTTTATACCATAATGCGATGCCAAATATAAAAAGCAATTGAAATATAAGTAAGAAGAAAGATTAACATTAAGTAAAAAGCAAGTTTCCCATTACTGACGTAAAACAACGAGACCTTCTTTAGTCCTTTATTAATAAAGTAAATTGCCACTAAGCTTATAATTTGCGAGATAAAATTTATAATAAATACCATTGCTTCAGTAACTAATAAATACAGTGAGTACTTCTGAAAGAGCTTAGAAGGGCAAAGAAAAACAAGTACAATTAGTATGCAGTAAAACGAAAGGCTGATAATTGTGGCAATTATGCAAGATTGGATCTTTATTTGAATCCAACTCCGAGAAATATTAGGCTTGTCTGAAAGATGTGAGATTAATTGCATGACTGGCCTTGGAAACCACGAATTGAAGTCTGATGGTATTGGCCGACACTGGACGTCTCTGTATTGTATACACAGCTTCTGAGAACCTAGGGTTATTTCCTTTGGCAGTTCTTCTAATAAGCCGGTTATTGATGTCGCTTTCGAAGCAGCCTCGGAAACAACTTTGGTAGCTACATCCTTTACTGTCGAAAGTACCTCTGACGCTTTGCCTTTGACGTCGGAAAGGTCAAGCCTTGGTTGGAGACGTGGCTTCACAAACTGTATCTTGGCGATGCCTTCTTGCTTAATTGCCATATTTTTGGCAATGTATATTGCCAAACACATTGCAGGGATGAAGACTATCATTGCGCAAATCAGACGTTTGGATTGTTGACAGTGAGCATGAAGTGTCATTGTTGTCACCCAGAATCAGCAATGTTTAAAGCAGTGCTTTAAGAAGTAGCTGTTGTTATAAGAGACTGATTTTAAAAGACAATTTAGCAATGTACTCAGAATAGTGCATTCTATATTCGTGCTGCATGTAAATCCTTTTACATAATATATTTATATGGACCATCCCACTCTGCTCTCTAATTACCTACCTACAGGCCTTGCCCCCAAAGTGCCTGGGCATGAACTCTAGACCTGCAACCCCGCGCTATAACAATCTCATCCGTGCACAGGGTTGTATATTAACATGGTTTATTCTAATTATCATTGTTTCTCTCTTAGTTCCGCCAAATCATTTTGATAGCCAGCATTGCTCATTTTTAAATGTAAGCATAAGGCCCTAATCTCAGTGAATCCATAACCAAGGCTTGTGGTACCTTCGCAAGCTACATCAAGCTAACACAATGAAAATTCCCGACTAATTAAGTCTTTATCACTGAATGTTCTCATATCTACAGATCACTGCAAACACAAATCAACTGGCAAAGTCCAACAACGGGTCGGCGACTTCAGAGCCAGGGAACGCGTGGGGCTTGTGTATCCATACTGACGCTACTTGCATCTACATTGACAAAAACACAACGTCGCACGTTTCACTATCCGACATGTCGTCGTCTCAGATCTTGACAAGCTCTGATTTTGGGCGCACTGCAACGCGGACTCTCGTGTCAAAATGGCTGTTTGTTGCGTTGATCACGACAGCCACGATCTGGTGGCATATTTGGTGGATCACGTCCTGGACTGCCATTGCTTGGGCCATTTGGCTTCTCGCAATAGCGGAAACAGCTGGTATAATTATTATAATTGCTACTACACGCTCTGAAATTAAGGGGTTCTCGGATATAGACAAAGAAACGCTAATATCCTATGGTACAACCTTTTTTACATGCCTCTTAATGTTATCTCTTTTTTTTAGTACAGCATTTTATCACCTCTTTTATTATCATTATAAAGAGTATTGGGCTTATTTTAAGTCCATACCGTATATATCATATAAATAGTTTATTATTCTTTAATAAAGTAAATATGTCTCTCGTAAAACCTAAGCATCTTGTGGATATTAGCTGTAAATGTAATACTACTAAAAACAAGAATGTCTTACCTTCTGTGGACATTTCTGATAAATCCGCTCAATATCAAAAGTCTCCTCCTGATCAGTGCTTCGTGACACAATTGTCACAATTAGCTTTCTTGAGTTAGAACCGTCTATGTATGATACGCCAACAATATCAACTTCGTTTTCCCAATCCCCACTGCGAGAATTCTCGTGAAGCCCAGTATTGGGCAATGCGCTTGTGTCAAAGTCGGGTGGATATTGTGTGGTGTTAGAAGTAGCCTCCCTTCGCTGAGATCTGGTTAAGACCATGATTTAACGCAGACTGGGAGTTTCGCCCGATAATACTGGTGCCGTGCAAAGCAGCTGGGAAGCTAGACCCAGTCCTTGGTGGACAGATGTAGCACTTATAATTATATCAGGGCAACAAGAGGTGTCTATCAACGAATCAAGTATAAACATGTTATAATGGGGATGCAGGAAAAGGTCATACAATGTGCTGTCCTTTCCTCCTCGCCCGACCTGGATACAACGGCTGCCAGCTGCTACCAAATCATTCTATTAAAAGGTAATAAATAAATACTTTATTGTAATTAGTAAGGTTGTTGTGCTATGGACGAAAGGGGTGGCTAGCCTAACATACTACAAATACCACAGTAGAAACACAACAAAAGTAATAGAGATATACATATAGTTCCTAGCTACTTCAAGCCCATTACATATGCCATACAGGGAGCCTTGGTGTTAATTATGTCTCCGTTCATATCTATTCAATGTTTCTTGTTCCGGAGTAGATTCAACCAAGTCTTGACTGAACTCTTCACCGGCCTTCGCATCGGCCCTTTTCAACGCCGGCGGTTCATAATTGGTGCGCATCAGAGAGAAAATGCGGTTCCGTGAATCAACGGTTTCTCCAAAATTGGCCTTGAGCACATTGAACTGTAACTCTGACACATTTAAATCCCAATCTAGTGCCTTCATTAGGAAGAATTCGCAACTATCAAGGTCCTGTGTAGTAATATGAAAGGCTCGAGACAGAATAGTAAACAGATGCATCCGAGCGTAAGAGAAATCGCAAACAAATTTGTGAGCAACCCTCAAGGTCGCAAGAAACACTAAAGGCTTAGTGTAGCCGTGGAGGGCTGTTGGAGCGCCTTGGAGACATATTAATAGTCTCTGCAGATATACGACAGCAACATGGATGTCAACAGAGTCTAGCGCAAGTCTGCGGATAATCTCAAATATCATCCCCTCTACCATTGGTGTTGGTTCTGGGTAAAGGTAAGAGTCTAGTCGTTGTAGTAAATAAGTAAGATGTTGTAAGAGGCCAAATGTGAGCATCCTGAGATACCAAGGAGGAGAAAGTCCCACAGTCAAAGCGAAAGCTTTATCCATTTCAAGACGGTGATTTAGTTCATTTTATTAAGTTTTAAACGTTCTATAAAATCATTCTCTTATGTCCTTTGAGTTCACCATTGTGTCACATTAATTTAGCGTTCTGATGTTGAGGTTGAGTATAAGTAATGGCATTCCCAAAATACTACATTAGCTCTATATAGCGAGCACCTTGTTAGATTTGTGAACCAAGGGACAGGGATCTCTCGCTCTATATCACTGAACCTTGACATCACTTTCCAGCGCAATCCGCCAAGAAGTCATGGTAGTCCATCAGTTCATCTGATAACTGCTCCCTAGTGCAGGTCACTCGATTGGACACTCCAATCCCCTGGGCAGGTGGTCCGAAGTCTGTAGAGTGACCCCTTCCACCATTAACTATAGTGGTGGTGCCTGGATACAGTCTTAATCGAATAGGTGACATGCTGGGTCGCCTTGCTTTTCGATTTACACTCATCCTGACAGCCAGGGCTAAGCTGGCAGCCGAGCCGCCAAAAATACCAAGGCAAGGCTCCACGATTGAAAGAATAGCCAAGTTACTATGATCTTCAATGTTAATACAAAGATAAAGGGTCGTGGGAGTTGAGTAGCTCCTGTGAGTTCATGACTAACATGCTCGAGTATAAAAAGTCACTGGTCAAGGCCACTGACTTAATTTGAGGGATACGAACAATCATTGCTATCCCGGCGCTAAGGGATAGATATATGAGCGAATGCCATACAGGCTTAGGAGGAATACTACTTACAAAATACCAAGGCTGATTAGACCAGTACCTGTTATCTTTGAGCTCGTTGCAGTTCGAGTTTTCCAGAGACATGTTGCGGGTAACAATGTCATGATCCAGTCGCTCAACGCGGCAACGATACTATGAGCAATCGCTGTGGTACGTACAAGTTGAGTATTTGAACAGGTTCCATGGTTATCAGATGATGAGAACCGTCCCCAGTAGAAGCGAACTGGGGAACACTGGAAAATAGTTGCCAATAAGAAGCATAGGGTTGTAATAAGAACAACTGCTAAACAGCCAGAAAGGACCCATATGTGGCTCGGTTGTCTCAGAAGTTGGAAGAGGAAAAGGGTAATTGAAAGACGGATGCACAGAGACAAGAGTCCATAAAGGATTTCTCCAAAGTACCAGGTTTGTAAACCGGTAGATATTTTCTGCAAAGTCAATTGGCTAGCATCCTGCCCAATTCCTCCCAGAGCAATGCCACGCATAATAAGCGCACTCATTGTAGTAAACAGAGCCTTGGACCGTTAGCTTGAGCTCCTATATAGAGTCTTGATATCGTTTACTAACAGCTGCAGTAAACATCCAAGTGTCGTCCCAGGTTCGTTGCCGTTTCAGTGCCAGCTTTATTCCAAACCGGACAAGTGTTACGGCCCATACAACGACTAGACAGGTGATTTGAGTAGCGAATAGGGCCCTCACTCTTGGGTTACCATTCAAATCCATCTTCAATTATAAATCACAGGCTCATTAGTGGGAGTGAGATAATATAAATCTAATAACTAGGTTTAAAGTGTAAAGGGAGGAAGGAAGTTTATATAAATACTATAGTTTATTACAGATAGCTTTACTATTTAATATTCTAGCAAGAGCTATTACAGTAATGCTTTGTGTATGACTGTTACAATATTAATAATCTCTTATATATCTTACTTCATGTAGTCGTCACTCTCACGCCGAGCTTCCCAAGAAGGTTAAGCGCAAGTACATCCGGTATCTGCGGATGCTTTGTCCGAGCCCTGAGCAGGTGCTTGTGTTCCGGTAGTTAAGGCCGCATTTTCCGGACTGGGAGTCACTGTGGGATTGGTGATATCTGTCTCTGTTGGCTGTGTTGTTCCCGTGTCCTGATCCACGGGCTGTGAAGGCTGACTCGTGTCAGATGGAACAGCATCTGTCGCAACCCCTGTTGGATCAATCTGAGTGACCTCTCCAGTATAGAGCTCAGTGCCAGACTGTGTGGGTTCTGGCATACTCACCCCATTCACAGGTGTATTACTGTTCATGTACGGAGTAGCGGTTGATGCATGTCCATCTGGTCGAGTTCCAGGAGAGTCTCCCGTTGCTGATGGCCCTGGCTGCTGGTCTTGGGATAATAACGAAGTTGACCCCGAACCATCGGCGGTATCAGTTTGAGGGAAGATACCATTTCCGGAAGAGGGACACTCCAGAGTCATGGCAATGTCTGACACTGAAGCCTTTGCAGCTGGAGATGCAGGCTGAACAAACATCAGTTGGCATGGGTTAGGCTTCTCATTATCGCACAGCCAGGTTATCTTGGCGGTGCCAACCGGCGTATCAGTTGGAATTGAGATATGTATTAGTGGATAAGCCTCACAGGTTGCATCACCTTGTTGCACAGGGACAGTCTCGCTGGTATCTACTTCGAGGAAAGATATAAGAGCATGCTCGCAGGTTGCGTTAGCATTAGGCGTTGTGAAATTCCCATATTCACCAGCCTTTATATATAAAGCTGGCTGGCAATTATCATTTTGATCGGATTGTGCAGCACATTGATATATATTGCCAACTAGTAGGAGGATAAGTAAGTGTGCCTTCATATCTTAATAAAAGAGGAAATAGATTTATAGATATATTAAATAATTTATATAATAAAGGGTATAGTAATTCTCTTCTAACCTATTTATAATATTTTATAATATTTACTATTATACTTTATTATAAGAATAACTATTAATATCTTATTATATTTTTAAGATCCCTCCAAGCTTCTATCACATTCGCACTTTTTTAGACCGTCGAAGTCTCAGGTCGTCAACCCCTGGGAAGTCAGTTCCCCTTCTTCTCTTCTTTGCCACTACTGACCGTTCTATAAAGGGACAGTCCCATCCTTGAACAGTCATAACTCCCTTCAAGTCTAATGGTGACCTACTGATTGGGCAACTGACTTTCCCTGACGGCTGTGATTGAATAAGTGATACTGTGAACGGAGTTGTAAATTCAGTGACCGTCCCATTCACGTGAAGCTCAAAGTCCATTGTAATCGCCTCATCGTTGCTCATCTCAGCAAGCGGAAACAGCCGCCCGCAGACTTCAAACACAGACCTGTGATCTAAGAGAACTGACAGAAGTCGTTGAAGCTGTCGTCCGGGACTAACATCACATAGAATGCGGCCCTGAAAGCTAATATAGGTCTCATGGCGACAAGGGCGCTCCGTTAGCTCTAGGAAAAATAGACTTGAAATGAGTAGTTCTGCAATCTTTTGAATATCCGAGTTCCTGGAGAACTGCTTTATTGCCTCTTGCCTGACGTCCTGCATTGAGTTTAGGTCATCCATCCTTGGACACTCCACAGGAAAGTCAACATTGACCCGAAATGTGCGTTCACGAGCTTGGTGCTCTGTAAGACCATGACGAGTTATATAGCGCTGGCACTTATCGCTATCCATAGCAGGGCTATCCATGAGAGAAAGCAAGAGACGAAGGATTGAAGCGAAGAAACATATCTTCCAAAGAAAGTTGATGATAACATGATCGCTGGTATTGGCCAGTTCGTTTCCGTCAGATAATGTGCGCCTAGGATCTAAGTCCTCTAGCCTTGCAGCATCGCCCGCAGTTGAGCTTTCAACGCCTTTATGAAAGCCTGTGCCAATGGAAAGAGCAACATCGGGTATGTTCGCCGACGGCCACAAGTCTCTAGCTTCAGATAAGGCCACTGCAAGAGGGTTGTTCTGCCAGAGCCCACCATCCTGAAATGTGCCTACACCTGGAATACTATGAGGCGTGAACATCACTGGAGCGGCGCTTGTTGCGCGTGCCCTATAAAACGAGGTCAGTACAACTCCCAACTTGCACCTTGCGAGGTACGTCAATGCAGTCAAAGATTATCATGTGGATTGCAATGCATGCGAGGATGCATCAAGAGGAGGCTGTGTAACTTAACATACGCTTCCCAAACTTGAATACCCCCATTTTCTTTATCTGGTAACGCATGTTGGTAGTCGTTGTGAGCCTTGTTACTGCCTGGTGCCATAAAGTTGGTAATAATATAATCTCTACATGGCGTTCCCTTTGCTGTCACAAAGAGCTTGGCACCTCTAGATACAGCTGGTGAGTAATTAGATAGTGTGCTTGTGCCGTAGTGTTGTTCTAAAGGCCTATTAATAGCACTATTGCAATAAATAGACCCATGAAGTAATAAATTCATTGCCCGTCTCCAGAATGGTTGTTTCTTAAATACCGAAGCACTTAGTTGTAAGAAAGACTGTATTGCCTCGGTGATTGGGAGTCTTTTGTGAGCCAAAGTAAGAATACAAATACCTCCTAGTGTTAACAGTTAGTAATTAACACCATTAGCCACCACTTGGCTTGGTCAGAAAGAGCTTTATTACCAGCGCTTGTACCAGCGCACATATCAAACATGTCAATCAGTGGGCAGTTTGGAATGTATAGCTGAATCTTGGACTCGAGTAGCTTGAGACATTCCAGAAGTATAATGCCTCGAATACCTCCTCCATCGAGGGCAAGCACTCTGATGCCACGGGTATCTGGCCTAAACCGAAATTGGACTGGCTTCTTGAGTTTCTGACATACCACGCACTGCTTTACTATGAAAGTGTTTCTTTGCACCTGATGACCGATCAAACGGATATCATCGGTGCAATACGAGTGACCACATGGAAGCGGGATCTCTGGAGGTCTAATAATGCAAATTGGACAGTATTTTAAGTCTTTGCGTACCTCAGACTGCTTATACATCTTGGAAGTGAGTATAAGATGTTGTCGGGCGACGCTGGTAGGATTAGTAGATTGGCTTGCTGAGGCTAGAAGGAGCTCGTTTTCCAAATATGATTGAGAGCTAACACACAGGTTACAGGCTTGAGCCGCATTACGCCAAATATGTCTATAAAGAACTTTAAAAACGTCTTGGAATGAGAAACCTGTAAAAGTTAGAAGATATAGCCTTTCTGTCACTTGCAATGACTATTTTAGGGGGCGGAGAAGAATGAATCTCATCTGTGCATTAGATAAAGCCTTACTATGTGCTCCCGCAGGGTATGCATGCCTCTTCATTGCAGATAATAAGAATTCCAACGCTTTGCCTTTCGTATTGACTAAATCCCTTTTGAAATTAGTTAGAAATGCGACAATTCTTTTATCAGACTCCGTCGGGATTGTATTATATCTACGTGACGCCGATATTGGGTCAAACACGGCGTCTTTCATAAGACAATCGTAGCTGGCCTCAAACGTATATATCAGGTTACGTGGATCCATTGCCGTATTCTTGTTACGTTTGACCTTTCTGGAAACTGAGCATTGATTTAAGAGTATGCTCCTGAGTGTTGGACATTGCCGTTTCCTTTGCATTACTCCTTTCGACGAGAGATTCTCTATAAAGAGCTCAGAAAACACCCTATTGAGACAAACTCCTGTTTTATCCAGGATACCGGATTCAATCTGATGCTGAATCTCTTTCGGTGATTTCGGTCTAATGTTGTTTTCAGACTTGGCTGCTGCTTCCACCTCGCCATCAACTACAACAACAAGACGTGGTAGGATATTGACACCAGGATCACTGTTTGTTGATGCATGTGCTAAAATCCACACAGACAGATACTCTGTTAAATGCTCAACAGATGGGAAGCTTGAAAGCATGATACATACAACATCAAAGAAATGACTAAGTAGTCGACTGTAAACAGATGCAAGTGGGTAGGGCTTTTGGTATCCTTTGAGCCACCCGATACTCTCTCCACTATTATGATTATCCAATCCTATACGCTTAGGATTGATCGGACCATGTGCAAGAATCACTTGCGATTGTGCACGCTTACTCGACAACTCCGTTCCGCGGCATAAGTGCAAAGTCACGCCATACTCATCCAATGGAGGGAGTTGGAGTGACCCTACACCTTCCCCCATATTCATGTCTGCTACACTACCAATGACGAACAGCATGGTCGGGGTAGTCTTCTTATTTTGGCAGTCCAAGATCTCTGCTAGGAGTGGAGTGACGTGGATGGTGAGAGCGTCACCTTGTTGTTTGAATGTAATCCATCTGTTTTGATTCATTGAGATATAGCTAAAAACCTTAGACAGTAGCTGCCTTGAATGTATATTCTTAAAAATTTAATAACCGGCAAGAGATATAACATAGCTTATAAACTCTATTATACCATTTAAGTAAGACTATATATAGCTTGATAACTAAGAACATCTTCTGGGTCCAATTTAGAAGGTCTCTGAGGATTGGCGTTCCCAACGGATAGCTAAAATACCAATACATTCTTTCCTCATCCAGTATACTTAGCTTTTGGCAACTGTGGTGGGAACCCAGCGCTTTGACTTTCGTGGCCCTGTCTGATTCATCATGAGACTGGACTGTTCAAGAGTCAAGCACCTCGCTTCAGGGACAAATATATAGGCAAAGCCAAGACTCAGGACACATAAAGAACCCCACAGGAAGAAGGCACAGGACTGTTGGTGCCCATGATTCTTTCCCGTGACATACGGGGACGTAGCCGTGATAATAAGCTTGAAGAACCACTGACCAGCGATGCCGTAGCCAACTGCATGAGACCTATCCATCGGGTGGAAGATCTCTCCAACAATCACCCAAGACGTAGGCCCCCAACTGGATGCATAGAAGAAAACAAACATTGCCATCATTGCGATTTGTGCGTTGATAGCCCGGCTGTTATTTGGCATCCATCCAGTACTCTCATGACGTCCTTCATCAATACCAACAGTAACGCCAACAATAGCAATGATAAAGTGCGATGCAATCATACCGCAGGTGCCAACCAATAGAACGTAGCGTCTGCCAAAGTGGTCGACTGTCCAGAGAGATAAAGGCGTTGAGCAGACATTGACGATTGCCAGAATCAGAGTAATAAGGAGTGGGTTGTGAATAGATTCAGACGACTCAAGAAATCTGTTCGTAGAGAGTAAGATGAAGGTGATTCCTGACCTGAGATACAGAGTGTTAGACTATTTGTCGGTCTAGTATAGAGCAGCCTTCCCAGGTGAGATGTGACAAGAACCGGGGTAGGGGTCAGTTACCATTCATGGACCATATGCATCGAAATGCCTAAAAACCATCGAGGAACAGGAGGCTCACTGCAGGACCGAGCGAGGGCCTTTACCCAACGCGATACCCATTGCTGGAACGAAATGATCCACGGTTTCGGTCTTTGCCTCTCTAAAACCACTTCAGAAAGTTCAACCTGAAGGCTCGGTGAATCAATCGACAGTCCACGTAATCGCTCCAAGCTTCGGCAAGCTTCATCCAGTGAGTCGATATGGACAAGATAGCGAGGTGACTCCGGCATGAGATAGAATTCTAGTACTACCAGACAGGACCAAAGAAACTGGATTCCAATAAGGATTCTGTAAGCGGCAGGTTCATGGTAGTCATCGATTGCGTAGACAATGATTGTCGCTGCCAGGTAACCGATCGTGATGCACCACTGGAAACCAGCGATACAGCCTCCCCGAACCTTGTGGTGGCACTAGAATGACAAGTTAGTAATCTATAAAAGTCGCAACTAGACATCTGCCAAGTGTGCGTGAGTCATTGACTACTAACAGATTCTGACATGTACAATATTGTGCCTGTTGTCAAGATTCCCATTCCACATCCAGCAATAAAACGTCCTGCGACGAATGCGCCGAGAGCATCGCTTGATCCAACACCAACCATCATCTGCACGATGACGCCAACCGAGTAAATAGCGGACCCAACAATAACAGTCCTGCGGCGTCCAAAGGATTCTGCACCGTATCCACCGGCAACAGATCCCAGTAGTGCGCCACAGAAAAGAATCGGGAGGATAAGACTGATATAGTCGTCTCTAAGGACCAAGATTGTTGAGCTTTCGACGATGTCAATGAAGGCTCTAGAACGAACTATTCCATTGATGCTGCCATATTCATACCCCAATAAAAGACCGGTAACGCTGGCGAAAGACGTAACAAGGATGCTTTGGGGGTTGGATGAGCAGTCAAGATCGGCAGGATCCAAGGCTAGCTTCAAGTAACGCGTGGTTTGGCCAGGGTATATGGTTATGGTTCCCGTTGTCTGTGAGATTCTTCCACTTTCAGACATATTGAAGGTTGGGCGTGATGATTGTTCGTCGTATAGTGGTACTGATAGAGACAAATAATTTTGTTCTGCAGTGGAAACGGGCCCTACCACTTTCATATATACTGATCATTCATCCAAGGGTATCACTTTGTTTGTATCCTGACCGCATTGCTTTAGTGTCCCGTGAGTCATTGCTGTAGGTCTAAAGCTAGAGTCTTGGGCTTGTAACGGCAGTGATACAGAGAGTAATACATAACACGAACTTAAACGACCGTATAACTGAGTACGGTATAGAGGATCGTTAAGGTAAGCGAAATATGTAATATTGCAAGATTTGTAACATTTTGTATTCTCGTGATGCAACTGTTCAGGCTGCAGAAGAACATCTATACGTAGAATTGCGTCATACAACAAGTAAGATTAGCTTGCAAAAGCGCATGGTATAAAAAACATAGTAATATAAGCAGCGATTAGCGAATTTATCGGTTTCAACTCAGGTTTTACATAGCTTAGAATAATAGAGGGATCCAGCTTTACTATTTAACACTATCTAGACACTTCCATATCGTTTTGATCTATTTTCAGTAGTATCTGCTAACATAACTCCGCTTGCCTTCCTGGCTGCCAAAGCTAAACCTCGGGGCCCTTGAGATCTTTCAAGCAGCCAGAGATGCTTTGGGACTTAGCATTCCATTGTGACTAATATAGGAAGGATAATACTGACATTTGACGGTGGAATCCTTTCGCCTGTTGCTGCTTGGTAGAACAAATGGCCCTTGAAAGTTAGTTTTTTTGGCTTCAAAGGGCAGATAAAAGCAGTAAATTCACGACACCAGTAGTCTGCGGCTCTTTGACTTGGCCAGTGCGTTGATGGGAAGCTGTAACCAAGATCCATTACTGTCCCTCTGGTTAGTAGTGATCTTAGCGAACGGTTCCTAAACAGTATACCTAATTTGACCGTTCCAGTCAGAGAGACACGAGTCTCCTCAATTCGTAAACCTGAGCGCTCTCCAGAAAGATATCTATAGGCGCCAATGACCTAGTTCCATTATTAGAGTTGGCCTGTTAGATGGTAGAAAAGAGGACAAAACTCGAAAATTGTAGGTCACATTCATACCTGTGAGATCGAACTGGCAAGTTCGGTTTCACTTAGAGGCCCAAGTTGAAGGAGGTTGAGTTCTAGGTACTCTTGGATGAGAATCTTGTCTTGAATATTATCAAATATGCAGAGTATTGCTGCAATTCCTTTATGCGTAGCCTGCATTATGTCGATAAACTGCGCCGACACGCTTGCACGAGCTGCAACAAGGGCTTTGTTGCGTTTGCTTTCCATTAGTGTCCCTTTCGTCCCAGGTAGCTCCTTAATAGTGGTATAGAATTCTGTTGGCAGCTGCCCGTAATACGCGGTAAAACATACAGAAATTCGTCCTGTAGGTGGTCTGGTTTGACGCTGTATGTTGACAACAGTAGGTGCGAGGCGCGGGGAATTCATATTGGGATACAAAGATGATTTTGAAAGCCACTTTGCTCAGTTTTAGATAATTAATTAATATGTCTTTGACTTGAGACTGTATCGTAATTTGACATAGCTGTTATACTATTACTGCTGGGCGTCCAGCATAAAGGGAAGGTTTAGTAAACTGTTGCAACGCGCGTATATTTTGTTTTATTAGAACAGGCCTCGTGGCCAACACCATTTATAGTATATAAGTGTTAGTTTCACTTAGAAAGCTTTCAATTACAATAACCTAAGCTTAGGGCATGACTGTAAGAACATCGCGTTCTCTTCAGCGAGATACTGCCACTCTCTAGATCCCCTACACACGATATCGAAACCGCCTGTGGCTTTCCGCTGAAAAAAGATCTGGCTATCCAGCTGGTCAAATGATGGAGAATGATCCCCTACAGCCATGATTTGGAGGGATCTTATCCCCTTCTCACCAAAAGCCCACTCAACAAAAGAACAAAACTCTTCTTTCAGGCTAAAGGTTTCTCTTTCACAGCAGTAGTGGTTGAAGATCACATGTCGGATTTCATGATTGGATTGGGCATTGAATCTCCGGGGCTTTTGTGCTTTTGCTCCTGTCTTTTGCCATACCCATACTTGCTGATGCCATGGCAGTACATAACCTTGGCGAATGTGAATGAAACTAAGACTCGATTTTGATGCAAATGGGAGAAGCATGTTCTTCTTTGTTTCAGGCACAGATGTTAGTGACGTTACTGACTCAATTAAAGGAGTACCTTATCGGCACATACGTACCAGTGTGTGAGGGTCATTGATCAGTCCAACAGCCTCCAGATCCAGTATCCCCAGAAATTCTTCCCCGAATGGCGCAGCCAACACTCTCCTTTCGGGTTCTTCAGGAATGTTTTCCCATAGTCCATCCAGAACGCACTGTCGTAAGGTTGCACGATGGTTTGCAATTGCACTACTGAACTGGCCGCCAGGAAACCACGGCGCTGACACCAGCAAGTAGAGTTCTTGAAGTCCTGTAAAGGATGCAAGAAATTCTTCAATCGTATCATCTCGAATTCCCACCTCTGGTGATTTATCTCCGGCTGCAATTAGCTCGAATGTAGTGATCTCCAGTTTCACCCTCGATGCTGTAAGATGTTCCAAGAATTCACACCATCCGTAGCAACCCCGAAGTTTCAATACTCTCAGCACACTGAAATCGATGGCCAGGGCCAATTTCGGTCCGATAGCTGCTTCGGATAAACCCAATTCCCGGAGTTCTGGGAAAATAGCGCCCCCAGCAATCGGACTCAGATGGAGGACATCACCGAGCAAGGGGCAGACGTCAGGCGTCCCGTTTCCATAGCGGAAGGAACGTCCGGCAGAAGTATCCCATTCAATGAAGTCTAGCTCCAGGGCCTCAAGATGCTTCTTGTTGATGTCTACAACGCAGGACAAGGCGAATAAATCTTCTTCGTGAGGTGCTTTCCAGGAGAGCCTTCTGAGACTCTTGAGCCCCTGCAGGCTTAACTCTGATCTTTGCTCGCAACCCGAAGTCAACCAGAAAGGGTCGCTACGATAGCATTGCCAGTCTGTGATTAGATTTAAGTTTCTGAGATTGCTCTGGCATTTGTTGATTATGCCTTCAGGTCCCAGCACACTCGCCGGGATGCAAGTTCCCATGTCCCAACTATAGAAAACGTAAGTATAACATGAACTTTCACCCTATTCCTCACAAATTGATACCCATACCTGAATGTGATTAGCTGGTTGTTATGGAGTGATGCCAGGATTGTCTCAGCAGCATTGGCGAGAATCTCAAAGCTTTCAGTATGTCGAATTATTGGGGATTCAATGGAGCTAGTAGATTCATCGCTAGACCAGCTGGAATCATCGAAAAAGTCAGGTTCGTGATACAGGTCTTGGTATCTATCTTCGCTGAAGTGTGGACATCTGTGTAGTTGATGGAGGTCGAAATCTGCCCGGAAATGAAGATACTTAGTCAATTGCAATGAGGTCTTGGCCGTGTTAAATGATGGCAATTCGTGAATTGTATATAGATGTCCAGACCTAATCTCGGGTTTTATCACTACAGATGACCAAAAGGTAGGCAAGGCCGCATCTCTGATACGTTTGGACACCTCAGTAAGTGACTTAAGATCTCGGATAGATGTGATCTGCCGTTGTCAACGAACCGTTTGTAGGAAAGAATTTGGCTTAAGAACCCAACATTCTCAAATATAATACCCAGTACTTCAAGAGGTAGCTCAGAGAGATATAGGTTCCTCTCCTCCTGCAATATTGGAATATTGTGCTCCATGGCGAACTGATAAAATTACTCTACCACTGCGGGATAAGACACGGAATCGTAATCAGGGAGAGCTAGTCAAGGAGGACTAAATCTTAACTTCACTTCTATAGGCAAGCATCTAAATAAATAAGTAAAGATATTATTAGTAGAAATACAGTATTATTTTAAATTTCAAGAAGTATTATTAACATTTTACAATTTCTCCTTCCCAATTCTTTATTTTTCCTTATTTAGCTGCCTTAACACTTTCCTTTCCCACTGTAAATCATCCATTATACTCTGGCATTACATTCGAATATTACATCGAGGTCAGAGTACCTAGGTATTGTGCAAGCATCCTGACTATGAGCTCAAACTGATATGACAAGATTACGGAAATCTTGATACATTGCCGTTCTAAAAAGGGAGATGCTTCAATAACTCCAATAGTCTCATATCCAAGATCAAGGCGGGCTTCTTTCAAACGGCGCTTGATGGCACTGAAAGCTAATTGCCCGGCATTAAACACCAGCTCATAGCTTGTTCCAGATAGAATATCCTCTTTAGATATTATAAGAATTGGACCGTGAGTCATGCACGATGTATGATATCCTATATAGGGTTGCTTGGGAGCATCCATACTGCTAATAATACTGCTGTCAGTTTGGCTTATCTGTATGCATGTCGAGGTTCCAAACCTGTTTCATTAACCCTGTGTCTCTAACTAATTGTTAGGCTGTGGTAAATTGCAGGAGCCTACCAGGATGATAGTAGAGCATGTAAATTTATTTGTAGTAGGGCTCTGCTAAGGGAAGTCTGAGTCCACAGTCACTCACATATGTAAATACATTTGTGCTCTTTTTATTAAGTCTATTGCAGTACCAGCTACGTAATAACAGTTCAGTAAAACAACATATAACAAGCTCAGTTGTTTTCGTCGAATTAAAGCGAAAGAGCATTATATGTCATCTAGGGTGCGTTTGCCTCCTTGCCCGTGCCATAAATGATGTTTTTGACTTCGAGGCCGAGAGGGGTTGACACTCCAAGCCCGCTTGGGCATTGCGCTTGGTTGCTGACAGTAATATCAAGTTGACATATTTCATCAACACCGTATTTACAGGTTGGGTCCACAATGTTGTATAGAACATGGTGCGTAGCTACCCAGCTGTTTGGGGATTGCAGACAATTGGCTAGGTAGTTCATGCTATTCGCTGCAGCTAAAGGTAGTCTCCCATCTTGAAGTAAAGGGACACAATAGGAAGGATCGACCACTTCATATGTCATCAAGACTGCTCCTCCCATAGAAGGCGCTTCCAAAGCTGATTTGCCAGTTACTAAAAAGTTCCAGGCGTCATATGAAATATCGTAAGCGCCTCCCGATGAATCGATTTTAAATAAATATACTTCACGTCTCTCCTTAGTTACCTTGATGCATATGTCATCACATCCAACAGAGGGCAGGCCAATATGCAACGCGATTGGTGTTGATCTTACACCCAAAGAACACCAACAGAGCTTGAAAACTGGTCATGTGGAGTAATGGGTTTCTTAGCAGGAGTAATAAAACTATATCTATTAGAGGCCATAATAAAAATAAATTTTAATTAATTAAAGTATTAAACAAGGGAGAAATACTATAGCTTTGTATTTTAATATATTCTTAAAATAGCTATTCATCGTAGCTATAAGTCTTAAGAGCGTTTTTTATAAGCATTAAATGCTCTTCCCATCTTTTCTTAATAATAGGATACTCTTTAATATCTTTCTCAATCTTACTATACTCTTCGAGAGTTTTCATTTCTAACTCCCCAAGAAACTCTTTTGCAATGTGATCAAACTCCAGAGGATGGTCCTCAAATTGCCTGTTGCCCGGCAGAGACTTATCCTGCTTCCTAAGGAAACGGAGACTGTTCTCTGCAGTATCATTTAATTCCACAGTAATTCCGCCTGATAGTCCAGATTCCCTGTGCGTTATAAGGTTCCTTTCCTTCTCATTCTTAGGCGCCCCAGATAGCTTCTTTAGTTTCGGGAGAATAAAATCATCTAAGACAAAATAGTTCTTCTTATTATTCTTCTCAATAAAGCCATAGCATGACAGCAAATCGTCATTAGTATATTGCTCGTTATAATTCCAACAGACCTCGTCCCCAGTGTTATAATTTCGGGTTGCTCTGAACTCATAGTAGTCTTCAGAAAGCTCCATATGGCAACCGTCGGATGCATGATTGAACATTTCTGCCAATGGCAGCATGACCTGGATTACTTCCTCGTTAATGCCTCTGCACATAAGCATTCTAGTCTGAGCAACTATCCATGCCTTCTTGAACTCCTCTTCCTTGATGTCAATATTCTTTTTCTTCTGACTCAATTTGGTCTTCGTCCAGTCGCCAGTATACATGGCTTTAACATCGGCCGCCAAGTCGTTGGTTTGGCGGGGCAAAGCTTTGATAACATTATCTGGCCATGTCAAAACACTATCTCTTAGAAGCTCATCAGGGACTTGATCAAGGAAGCACCACGCGTTCTTCTCCTTCTTTCGAATACTCTTGGCGATCTCTAAAGCGTAGTAAGATTGAGCTTCGCAGCCCGGATATTCATCTTTAATTTCTGCTGATATATCGCTACTTGTATATGCTGATTTACAAGGAACTTTAAGAACTACATCACCTTTCTGTCCTTATTAGATAAACGCCGTAAACATTAAGATACTACGTTATGGTTACATACCTTAATATTCCCTGTTGCAACAAAGCCTGTCTTGTTATTGTTAGTCATATAAGGTTTAACCTTTGTTAAGATAAAGCCTTCTGCCATTGCCCAATTAACAAGATCTTGAAGGGTTTTCATACTTAGTAAATTTTAAGTAATAAAATATAACCTTGAAAATTAATTATAAATTTAAAGGTTTAAATACTTATAAGATATTAAGAAAGTAAAAAAAGAATTTTTAAAATATATATTTTAAGAATATATATATAATTTAAGTCTTATATAAATAATTATTTAATTATAAATATTAAAAATAAACGTAATTGCTTTTTATAAGTCTCTAAATACAGAATATTACTAAATCACACACTAAACTCTCTGTAATAGGGCCATGCAGACGTTCCCTCCCAGGCGTCATATCCAAACCTCACTGCCCTCTAATAATTGCAAGTTACAGAGTATCCATAGATGCCATTCTGCGTCACAGCACAATAATGGTCAAGATGCCGTTACTTGTGTCCATGAATGGCATAGCCAAGATCTTTGCTACACTTTCTAGAAGCCCCCAGAAGCCCACGAACGGATGATGTCCACTAGAGTGTTGTGGCACATTTTTAACATGCTTGTCTTAATCGAAAATGAGCCACACTGCAAGTCTAGGCGTCCCCTTTCTTGCCACTGATAGTCGGACCAATGATCCGAAGTATCAAGGCGCTGGATAATCGTCATTACCCATGCACCTAATGCTCAAGAGATGAAAGAGATGCATCAAAGGGCCAGGCGTCCCCAGCGCTCTGATGTATTTTTCGTCTACGTATCTGAAGACAAGCAATACTTATCGGAGTGCTTTTGTCCACATATGCACCAGTGTGGACAAGAGCTCCCCCCAACATTGAGACCTTTCGCTAATCAAAAGAATTGCAACATAGTTGCTTGAGCCCCCGGTAGTACCAAAGATATCTGCAACTGACACGAGAGCCATAGTGGACACATCCCCAGTACCCTCACAAACCAGCAAAGGTCACTGAACAGGGGCCTTCAGATGGTGTAAACCCCCAGATCGAAACATGTCGAGTTGATACGGTGCCCGAATGCGATTGAAGCATGTCGATCGTGGAGCTGAACAGAGATATATAACAAAATGAAAGGAGTTGGTGGCATCGTTCAACCTCAGTGGCCATGATGCTGAAGAGGGAAGTGGTGATTATGATGAAGAGGATTACAAATGAAAGCGGTTGACTATTGCCTCTCGGATGCAACATTGGGATGTTCAAGTACACGAGAGTCGCATCTGGAGTAGCGGTGTTCTTTCCTGTGCACCAGTCTGCCTATGACGGCAGGAGGGCTTATCTGCTGCACGGTAGGTGCCACCATAAACGTATCGGTGCTTCATTTCCAATTGGATCTGGAGCGAGGCGAGGTACCGCCAGTATTGTGTCGCGCTGCTGTATATCGGATGTCGGATGGGGCGGTCTCGGGGACGTTGGGGATAAAAACGTATTACGACTTCGTAGGGAAGTTGGACTCGACTGGAAGTGGTTGTCAGAGGAATGGTTTCGAAGGAACTGGCTCATCTAGTGTTTTTTTCATCAGCGTCGACGGCACAATGGACCAGTAACTTTCTGTCGTAACTCACCGGCGTATAGAAACGATGGTTCGGCTGGCTTATGGGTCTTGGTGGAGGGAAAGGGCCTCCCTGATGACGAGGTTGAACATGCCGATGATGGACTATCGAAGGCGTCATGGCTCATCGGTGAGCAAGCTTGAAGGCCTACACAAGAGTAAGCTGATGAACCGTTGTTTAGAAGCCATTGTTTGAATGGTCTTTGGGACAATTTGAACCGCCGTGAACTGACATGATCTCTCGACTGATCCACGTACTTGCCAACGCAATGCGCAATGAGATGTAAGAGACAGTTTGTTGCATGAAGTGGCTGCGGGCTCGGCTCGGCTCGGCTCGGCTCGGCTCGGTCAAGTCTAGTAGAGAAAGGTTTGAGGGGGTTAGAAGAGGTATAGAAGTGCGCAGAAAGGAATGTTCATTCAATCAAGGAAAGGCTTGAAGAACCTCGCGTGTAAAGCAAATGTGACGAGTGGTGACGCAGGTTCTCGGGTCAATCTCAACGTTGACATGATCTTGGAAACAAAACAGGGTAGAAAGACTACTTCGATGCCGCTCCCCACCAACACACAGACTCATCCGGCCGGCCTGAACTGTGTGCTGTGACCATGTCTATCCACCGGGCCAGCCAGCGTGGACATAGAGAAGCAGCATAAAATGGGAGTGCGGGGGCGGAAGGGACAACATTGGGAAACACGGAACATTCGACAAAATGGAATCTCACGTACCATTGCTTCCGCTTCACGACTGTGAAGTGACAGATTAAGATTGATGCAAAGCCTTTCAGGCTAGAGACAGGGTGTGTTGAGATGGCATATCAGTCCTCGGCATGAGGCACGACCGACTTCAATGCCGCTCGATGCATCGACAGACTACCAGGCTAAGAGCAAGCTCAATCAGCCTCGAGTCACAGTATCCACGACGAGCAACATATCAGTCTCGGTGCCATTGCCAGGGAAAGATAAGCCTCAGTCTGACGATCTTGGGTCAGGCCTACGAAGCGAGTTTTGACGGTTGCTGTAGTGGCGGGGATTTCGGACCATCTTTATGTTGGAGCCAACAAATGGTGACAGTTGTTGGTTGTAAGTGTGATATCCACAACTTACGGACTAGCTTGCGAGGCAATACGGAGTGATCGGCATTATTACTGGGAGCGCAGAAATTCCATTCGTCATCGGACGAGCGGAGTAATTGTGAGACTGCCTGACCGTGTCATACGACCTTGTTGAAACCATGATTTTTACCGCATTACGAGGATATTTCTGTTGGTTCTGGGGTTCAAGATATTATGTTATCATGGAAAGTGGTGTCATGCTTTATTACAGGGCGTACAGGTTCAGGGGCTTCACATACACACCCAATTGAACCCAGCCCGTGCCTGCCGATGTAGATCTTTGCTATTCACAGCTATAGTATCACTCTAGCGACCTTTCCGCAAACCGCTAGCGTCTGGAGCTAACTGTCACACAAAGCGGGGTAGCGAAAAGATCTCCTGATCTCCCTACAAACTCGGTCTCGTAGATTCTTCCCGTTCCCCGGGGAAACGGAAACCAAAGTGGTGTACTCCGTAGCTACTAGCTAAAAATAAGCGTGCGTGTGTCAAAAATATGAGGGTGGCGATACTAAAGACGCCGCCAATCTGCTCCTTGTGAAAGAACCTTTGGTCAAAACGAAGGTACAAGACGAAGACCTACAACAACGCTATTATTGGGAAGTTTCTAATTTCGTTCATAGATTCATATCTCATTTTTAGCACCTGGGTCTTACATTCATCGAGTAAGTTCAACGCAAGGTTTCTGCTCTGGCATCCCTGCCCGCTGATGATAAGCGAGACCCGTTCTTGCCATTGTGTAGTAGACACTGGTGCCTAAATTATACATGTCGCTTGGATGCAGTACTCAAGTATGGATACATAACATCATGTTTGCAATTGTTTCACAATTTCGGGGCTGTAATAAAGTCAAATTTAGCTAATGCAACCTATGTAAAGATTTTTAGAGCAGCCCGCAATCAGGCCCTTGATCCCTGCTATGACAAGTCGGGAGCTTGTTGCTTGCAACCAATGGGAAGAATTAAAAAAAAAGTCAACGATAACATCGCAACAGCGTAGTGCATGCATCCACATTGAAGTCGCGAGACTACGAGACAAACTGTATCAATTTTCTCTAACCATACTTAGCGGCACTCTATAGAAGAGCGTAGCAATACGAGTAACTCTATATGCTAGTCAAGTTTATACGCGTAAATCCAGAGCAGGCACTGCTATAATTAACTTGGCTCTGACAACCTCGGCAATTTCTTTATTGACGTTGATTTGCGGGGGGGGCTGGGGTGAGAAACTCAGAGTCCCTTGGTACTGATGCTGTCAAGAGCCTCAACGTCAGTGTCGAGACAGCTTGGTTTCTCACTGTATGATCGCAAGTTTTCTCCAACAACTGGGACGCCCGGGTTAGTACATAGACATCAGCAGATTGCTCCAGAATTTGACTTACTGTACTGTTCAGTGCTGTAACTCAGCATATCTTTTAAAAGTTCGCTTAGAGATGCCACCTCAGCCTGGAACTCTAAATTAGCCACACCAATTTTGCCAACAATACGTTCAGCCTCATTTATCTCAGCCTCAGCCTCAGCTTCGCTGATATTATTTTTTGGGTCTACAAAGTAGATAACTGTAATTAAAGCAGAGCATGACATTACGTGAAAATGCTCTAGCATCAGTGTCACAAACTCTAGATCAGCGCTTAACCAGATAAGATTGGTGGTACTTGAGGTTGTAGTGAGAAACCTTTGCCTCCAACGGAAGCAGGAATAGGCTTCAAGAATGCCACTATCTGTTGCAAATATATGGAGCTGCGCTGGCCCGTTAACATATGGGCTCATAGGCATATTATACGGTCCTTCAACATCGATTGTCTCCATCTTTGGTTCCGCAGGGACTAGTAATACAGCATTGTATGATTCGTTGGAGTTATAAATACGCTCTGTCCACGCAACTCGGACCGGCCTGCCATTGACTTTAAAGTAGACATTAGTTTGGTTATTTGCAACAGTACGCCTGAATTTAAGCCAGCCATTGTATCGAATCGACCCTGATATTACTTTTGGACTGTTGCGGGACTGGAGACAGGTCTGTGGATTCACTGTTTCTCGCGGTTTCACTTTTAGGTTCGCAGCAAGGAGCCAAAGCCCAAGAACAACAAGAATCATGCCAAAAGGTGCCGATATGTTAAACCCTATGCAATGCACCATGAGAAAAGCCGTACATGCCACACCCAGCGCGCAGTGACGCGACGGAGAATCCATTGACTTTCGCTCAACTGGAGTTACCATCAGGGAGCTTAGCACAAGGTATGACTGCAACCACTTGTTAGCTCATTGCTGGCAGCGAGATTGGGTCTTTCATACAAAGTATCCAATGAATATCAGTGTTAAGTCTACCCAAGTACCTGGTATCACCCATTTCAGTACCAACTACAGCCGAATCGGTAGGGGACCCTCATACTTATCTGTGATGTTGTAAACAGCGATAGCCATACATGCAATACTGCTTCATACCATACTAGCCAAGCGTAGAGTTCGTGAAGCCATGATGTCTGTTGCCTACTGTGGCGTAATATGTGAACAAGAAGGACGTCTGGGGCAACAGAAATCAACAGTGGCAGCATATTAAGAAGCGACAGCTGCCCAGCTCGATAGCTCATACTTTTGAGTGGCAAGTCACCCTTATTCGCCTGCAGTATGGCAATAAGGTTCTCGATTATAATGACATTTGAAATGAGGAGCCGCGTTACTCTTGGTGGCGCAAACCCCGAGTAGTTTATGTTGTCTGACTCTAATAGTGCGGCGTGATGTGATCGGATACTTTTCTTGCATTGCTCAATCCATGAGATCAGTAGTCTCGAAATAGCCCCCTGGTCTTGAGAAGCCTTTCGGTCATTATGAAGCCTCTCATTGTTTGATTCCCTTACCTCTTCCACAGAAGGCTCGCTTCGAGGAATGTTAATCTTGTCAACATAAATTCGCAGACAGTGTGACCGAGACAATAGCAAACCAGTAACTATATTAATAAATAGTATTATAAGCCAAACAAATGCAAATCTCATCCTGTAGTGACTGTTTTGAGGATGGTGACGTGCTTATATACTCATCCCGCCCACCGCGAAATAACCCAACAGAGTCTTGCGCACAAATAGACCTCAAAATAGACTTCATGTGCAGGATCTAAATCGGAACCTGTGACGCATCATGCCTTGATTTCTGACGATTGAACTTCGACATTGGTACTAGTGGAGTTACCATAGAATTGTTGACTAAAACAGCTGGTTCGACCATTTCTTGAAACATATGATCAATGACTGAACTCTTGAGCTGCCGAACGAGAAATCCCCGGTTATAAAGGAATGTTGTTGCAGAGATAGTAAACAATTCTTCACTGAAGTGTACAGGATGGACGTCTAGGGTCAGGACATGAGGTGAGCAGCATTCGCCTAGGCTGACCCTTTCTCGGAAGTTCTCATCATGTTCATCGATCTGATGAGGTGGACTGGGAGTAACGAACCCTGTCAGAAAGCGCACAGTCTTTTCCAAGCTCTTGTGAAGGCCGTCGGGCGCATATAAGAACAGGGTAACCTGGCTATCGGGATGAGAGAAGAACTGGATGTATTGAAATTTCATGCTACAGGTGAATGTGTGGAACACATAGGACATGTCATGGATGTTAAATATTATCGAGACTCCTTCAGTAGTCAGAGGATACCTTGAATCTTTAAAACTGAGTTTATATATGTTATTCCTTAGTACTACCTTGAAGTTTTCTTTTCGCGTTCTCTATGTATTTCGCTCGCCTCTTTTCGAATTTAGTAACATACTCCTCTCCCATTAGAGCCGCAGCTCTATAGCCCCAGCTAAGCAACTTGCTGTCTTTCATACCGTCGTTGTGCTGTGTAGTCCTGTCGTGTTTCCTATTGAAGCCAACCCGAAATACTCCACGAGATATTGCTTCTATTGTGACGAAGGCCAATGAATCAGGCAACGGGAATTGATTATTTGCAATATACCACCCTAGTAAGTGCAACGTGTTCTTCTCGCATGTTTCCTTAGTTCCAAGAGAAAGAACTTGTAATAGAGTTAGACCACGCTCTATTCCTTGATCGCCTGCTAAGATAACACGAGGCGTAATAGTAGTAGGGTTTTCGATTCTACAAATAGGCCAGTTCTGGTTATCAAGTCTAACAATGAAGTCTTCGTCCGGTACCTTGGATAGTAAAGAATCTTCTTCTGTTTTGCCGCTCACTGTTGCTTTAGCCCCCTTTCCCTGCCCCGCCTTCTTTGGTTTCGCTTTGTTGCTCTTTATTACTGATTTCGTGGTTGGCTGTTTTGTACCCGACGAAACATTCTTTTTCCGACGGGGGCGTTTACATGCCTGAATTACCTCTTCATCAGAGTCGGATGATTCAGGAGTCTTCCTTTTGTTTGTGTCTTTGGTTGACAACTGTTTTGGACTTGTAACCCTCTCCTCATCAGAGTCAGATGATTCAGAAGTCACCCTTCTGTTTGTGTCTTGATTTGACAACTGTTTCAGACTTGTAACCTCCCCGCCTAAAAAGTGCACCTGTTGAATTATGGTCTCTAGTAGACCTTCAATTTTGGTAGAAGGATTCCAGTGCCAGGGGCTTGTGGAATGCTCCTCAAATGGAATGCGGTCTGTATTGGACTGATCAAGATAGCTCTCTAACCTTTGGTGCGTGCTCATGTTAATCCCAGGTGAGTGCCTTACGAGCAGCTTACCGGCCTTGATGCTGGTTGCATTGCTTTGGGAATCTCTGCCTTGTGAAGCTCTTTTCCCTTCAAGGTTGAAAGAAGATCGTAATGGTTGAAATACACCCTCTGCTGGTTTAGAAACAGACCCAAGGTCATTTGTAAGTGTTCTAGATTGCATCATGGTATTTCGCTTATTGCCTGTGCTATCTGCAAGATTTTGGGCATTTGCACTATCTAGTAGTTTCTTGACGTCTGGGTTCATCTTCACTCCTTGTGGATCTAATCCTGGCTGTCTTGTGTGTTGTTTCGCCGGACAAGGCGTTGTTGGCGATGGAGGGCCTGAGTCATGCGGAGAAAAGTCACCTGACGGATCTGAGGAATTCCGCGAAATGAAAGATGAAGGAGAGTCAGTGGGCGAACTAGAATCAGATGAAATTGTCAACGATGAGAGAGGGGTGGACGGCTTTTGTAGTGAATGACTCTGACCTCCTCCTTGCCCTTTTGGACTGATACAAACTACAGTATCGCACGATGAGGGAGACGATATATATATTGGCGAGTGTCGGGGATTCTTCTTTGGATTGACTAGCCCTCCAACATTGTCCGATTCACTGCTACCTTTGGTTTGTAAATAAACCAGCCTGCTTGGTGCTTGCCCTGATGTCTGTTGCTGGCTAGCCTGGGACTGGGCGTTGACGGACTGGGCTATTGCTTCTGTCAAATCCTTTCTAAGCTCATCAGCCTCAAACCTGAGATTAGTAATTTCTCTCTCGAGTGCCTCTTGCTCAGCTTCCCCTTCCTTCAGCTGTTGACAATGGGACTCTGCAACTGCTTGAGACTTAGCCTCTTCATCCCGAAGCTTCTTTTGGGCCTCTTTGAGTTTCTTGCGCAGTTCACCCAAAGGTTCGAGCTCATATTTCCTTTTAACCTCTCCTAGAGTATATTTATCAAATGCTTCTTGTTTCTCCTTCTTAACTTGCTTCAGCTGCTCCTGAAGTCGGCATACGCTTGAATTCATCTCATTGTATTGCTTTTTCAACGTATCGACCTGAACCTCTGCATCACTTATCTTGTTCCTAAGGCTTTCATTTTGTTCCTTCACCCTTACTACCTCCGTCTTGCTCTGGTCTATTTGGGCCTCCAGATGGGTTTTATCATCTGAACCTTGCTCGTGATTGCGCTTCATTGAACTAAGCTCCTGTTGAACTTTTATCTTTGCACTGATCTGTTCTTGGCACTCTGACTGTGCATTGTTGAGTTGTTTCTCTAATCCCAAAACCTTCTCTTTCATATCCTCTATGGCCTTGGAGAACTTGGAGTCCTTACCCTCGATTTCCGTCACATTCATCAAGCCCCTTTCCTCAGCCTTAGCTAGTTTTTCTTTAAGCTCTTTGGTATCATTCAAGCTCTTTTGCAAATATTTCGAAACCTCATTTATGGCAGTGGAGATGTCCAGGTTATGTTCCGTTCCAACGGTTTTTTCTTCGGGGCCCTTGATTTCATTTAAGACGCTGGACAACTGAGCTTTCAGTTTCTCTTCAATCTTAATATGCTCCCTCTCTTTCTCTTTAGCTTCCTTAATAAGCCTATCTTTCTCCTTGTTTCTTATTTCAGCTGCCTTATTGTCATTCTCAATATTGCTTTGTAGAATCTTAAGTTCCTTTTCAAGCTCTTGCTGATTTGCAAGTAATTTGTCTCTTTCTTTACTGAGATTTGTAAACTCAATCTGGAGTTTGTTGAACTTTTCACTGTTTGTGTTTCCTGTACTCAATAGCTCAGCCTCTAGGTGCTTGGTCTTTTCTTCCAGTTTGTTGACCTGCTTCAGAAGACCTTCAACCTCCTGCTCTTTATTACTTAATTTTTCCTGGTAATTCTTGACTTCAACCTCTCTCTGAGAATGCATCTTGTTGATATCTTCAAGGTCTTTCTTTTGCTTCTCAACCGTCTTTAGAACAGTATTATACTTCTCTTCTATTTTACCAACCCGCTCCTGACAGACTTGACGTTCCTTCTCTCCATCGTCGAGCTTTCTTTGAATAGCTTTGACTTCCTCGTCTTTCCTACAAAGGTCTCTGGCTAGATCATTCTCTTTCTGCTTTACATCCTCTATATTCTTAATTGCCCCTTTTCGTTCTTTTTCTGCGTTGTTGACTTTATCTTGTTTCTCCTGGAGCTGCCTCTCAAGTTCTTCAATCTTTTGGTCCCGGAGTTTTAGCTGCGTACCGTGATCTATGTTATTGAGATTGGTGTTATGGATCTCGGTCATTTCTGCTTTTCTCTTATCCTCTTTATCGAGTAACTGTGTATTAGTGCGTTTTAGAAAGTCCAACTGCTCTTTTAAGACATCTGTATCAACTGTAATCTTAGCCACTTCAGCTTTCAGGCTCTTATTGGTGGCCATGAGAGATTCCTTTTCCATTCGTTGCTCATCCTCGAGCTGAGAAAGCTTCGTCTGCAGACCAGAGATTATGGCTTGCTTTTGTGCCATAAGCGTATCGCTGTCTGCCCTTTCCACATCGTGTTCCCTTTCTAGTTTCTTCATTCTGTCCAGTTCCAGTTCAGCTTTCTGTATGTTCTCATCTCTTTCCGCAACTACCCTTTTCCACTGAACCTCAGAGGTTTGTAATGACTTCCGTAATTCATCCATCTGTTGTTTTTGTGTTCTAACTTCCCTCTCCCACATATTTTTATTACTGGTTATCGCATCAATTCTAGCTTGCATGCCATCTGCGTACCTTGATGCCTTTTCCTTTTCTTCCCTCAAGTCGTTTTCCTTTTGTTCTATAATGGCCTTATCCTTTGCAGCTATATCCTCTTGAATTTGAGATTTCGCTTCTTGATCCTCTAAAATACCCTTGATTCTTGTGTCCTTGTCTTTAATCTCCTTCTGGAGGACCTCAACCTTGGCTTGGAGATCGGAGAGCTCCTTTTCAGATTCGACTTTGTAAGTCTGCTTCCAGCTACTCTGATGCCCACCTGTTCTTTCTCGACCAGCAGCAGCAAATACGCTGTGAGATATCTCTTGAAGCCAGTTCTCCTCCTTCTTGACAAGATCAGGATGAGCGACAGCAAAGAAGTTATAAGCCTGGAACTTTAAATGAGACCTGTTGGATCTAGGATTATACGTGGGCTGAACAGACACATCATCGGGCTTGCTTCCTGTTGCTGTTCCATTCTTTTTCATCGCTCTGTCAACTCCACGAACCATCAAAGACCATTGCTCCCAGCCTAGCCCTTGCTCATCTGTCTCAGAGGTTGGGTATTTCGTGCAAATGTTCTTTTCTTCTCTTTTAATTTTTCTCAACAGGTCGTCACTTATTATGTCACTGAGCACCTCTTTTGATAGATCTGGCAACTGCGCGGATAGGTACTCAGCCTTCTCCACATCTTCGCTTATTTCTGCTAGGAGACCCAATGTATAAAGATGATACATCTCCATCCTCTTTGCAGCTAGAGACTCTTTCATGAGTATTACCAGATATTCGAGGTGAGGCTTCGATTGTAGAATCGTTCCTATATCAACTAAATGCGTACTCCTTTTCCTTTTCGAAGACGAACCCTGTTCTTGTGTAATAATTGTCTCCTCCACTGTATTACCTTGGGTTATAGAGCCCTTTTCTGATACGCTATTTTCAGTCCTTTCACTGTTCAAATGGATGACCTGATGGTTTGGACTGTTAGCATGTAAATCCCACTCATGATCACCGACTAAGACCGGGTTGTCATTCTGATTGATGTCGAGATCTCTTTCTTTACTCTTTCTTAGCTTCTTCTTTCTTCTTCCTTCATCAGCGCCCTCCTCTGTAGCAATCGCCTTAGGAGTGCCAGTCGTCACGTTACCTCTGCGTCGTGCTCGTACACTCGTTCTTCTCAAATTGTACCGTTCTTGAGACGTAAACTGTCCGAGAGCTTGTGAAGACCCAGTCCTCATCTCTAATGTCAAGCCAGCACTAGACGGGATGATGGAGCTTAGTTGTGGATGGATCTGACTTAAATAGCCGCTGACACTTGAATGACGGGCTCTATATTGAGAGCTACACTATTATGACCTATTGAGCTACTTTGTATGCACTGAACGCTGCTCTGAATTAAGGTATGATAAATATACTTATATACACTCCAAGGCTTCTTCACCCTCATTCAACTCATCCGTCTCCCTCCTTGCAGTATGTCATAACCTAACATTCTCACAATGAACATTTGCATTCAAGTCCATCATGCTCGTGACTTCCCCCTTGCCTTATCCGATAATCTACATGAGGAGAAAGCAGGCCCAGGATACTCAACACAACGTCCATGATGTAATGCCTGACAATTCTCACAAAAGATAAGCAATACAGGTCGACTCTTTTGGCGACGAGTGTTTGGTCGGTTTGGGTCAACTTGATTGCTTCCACAGAAACATCTAATTTTATCCTTCACACTGGTATCCCTCTTTAACTCTTTGGCGACAGCGTCGGCAACAAGATGTGCTAGTTCCTTATCATCAGACTGATCTTTCTGGATACCAAGAGAAAGCTGTGATTTGATTTGGTCTGTCAAGCCTTTTAAATGACTCACAAGCTCGTCTAACCCGGGATGGCTGAATTCCAGAGGTGATGTCTTGTTATTAGTGCTGTCGTCGATGCTGGAAATGGTCGTGATCTTGTCGCTTAGCTCTTGAATTTGCAAGGATAATCTGTCAATACAACTGCCTCCGTTATCCAATCTCGACGTCAATTGAGCTGTTTTCTCCTTCAACGAGGACAGCTCATGTAGAATTTGCTGGGGGACCTCTCCGTTGATCGTTTTGACACCTCCCAGAACTTGAGCTAACACATCCTTCATTAAGAACTCTCGATTTTGACCGTACCAGAGATTCATTGTGTTGTAGTAAAGTTGCATCATCTTCTCTTCTGAAGGTTGAAGCTGTATTGGATGCATTTGCTTCGGCAGCTGCTGGTAGGCAGCATAAGTGGTCTGGTCCATGCTGCAGGGTGACTGGATGGGCACAAGCAAAGGAGCACAAGGTAGAAGTAAATGCCCAGGCGTTGGAAAATCGGATTTGATCTGGCGGGAACCCTACGTAGCTCTACGGAGATGGGGTATAACATATTTATTCAACAGCATAATCAGCGACGTGCATTCTGGTCTTGTCAAATGCTAACAAGTCAATCAGAATTGAACCAACAAAACTACCAACACGCGCTTCAGTATCTCTTGACCCCGAAAAGTCGTTTCCCAGAATATCATCACGTTGGTGACCGTTACTACATTGTTATCATTTCTCCACTTATTACATGGCCAATTGTGATCATTGAAGGGATAACCCTTGATTGGGGCCAATCGATAGCATGAGCTTACCATTCTTGGATTAGACGTTGATCACGTGACATTGATACCCCGCTTTTGTAATATTATAAGCCATGTAATGTAAGGTCTGATACCGATGTTTGGTATCCTGTTGGTTCTAAAGTTGGACCAACAAGGGCATCATTGCCTCTCAAAAGTACCAGAAGCAAAGCTTTTTTGGTCCGAGGTCCGAAATATCTCGGTCGTCCTCATCTGATTCTTTTGGCCCCCAGTACTCAACATCCTCTCCAACGCCATGTAGTTCCTCCTTACCCATGTCATCAGACTCCGAGGCAGAGCACTGATCGTCATCGACCCTGGTCGAATGGGAGCGGCGGATCACCGGAACCCAACTCCTTCTAACATCCATGTGCTCTGGTGATTGATCCAATATCATGCATATCGTCTCTGCACCCTCCAACACTTCATTGGCGAACTCGTGCAACCATTCGTCTCGGTCGAACGATGCGCTCGGCCAACCATTTCCCATTCGTACTGCGGCTATATCTGGTTGGCTCTGATACCTCCGGTACATTGTTGCCCAAGCGATCTGCTCCTGTAACTCTTGATTCAGCAAGTCAATAATGCATTGGCGTGGCTTGACGCTGGCGCATGCGACCAACAACTGAACGGAACTCTGCAGCCGCACTCGCTCGCACGAAGTTGCATGATGTAATAGCTGACTGGTTACTTCAATTAATTCCCGTAATTTTGTATCTTTTTCCATGATCAAACACTCGGGGGCGCTATCTGTTCTGAACATGTTGTCTTGCGCGACTCTTTTATGGTTACAACGCACAAAGAAAGAGCAGTAACCTAACATGAACGGTGCTACTCAAGGTAACACCTAATGCAAAGCATTGTTTTCCCTAAAATTGGATACAATAATAATAACATTTACTGATAAGTGACAACCTGGTCCGTTTCAACGGTGATAAGATAGAGGCAGCCAATCAATCGTCATAGCCAAGACGTCCATGCCAATGCCAATTCCGACAGTATCTCACTATCCTGATGCAGGGTAAGTAGATTTGTCTCCTTATCACACCCCTGCAGCCGATAAAGGCAAGTCAGTACTGTGACTGGCTGTAACTCATGATTCCCCACTAGAATTCGCAGTTGAGTAAGGATGCGACTAAACCCGCCACTAAATCCGGGAGGAACTTGGTTCACACTGTGTTTGACCAGACGATCAGTGTTGTTGATACCATCGTACATGGCGACTAAGTCCAAGTAATTTATGTCTTCCTTACATTCGGTGCTGGTATGGGCTTCGGCCAGTATGGTGACCCACGCGAAATGCGCACGGGATCGAAGATGCATTAAATCGAGTCTGAGTATAAAGACAGAATCGAAATTGTGTGCAGTCATAATTCGTAGTACTTTGCTCCAGTAAGGGAACGTGAGGCTATTGTCTGTGTCTCTTTCAAGACGAGGAATTACGCGAGTGCTCGGTATTTCCTGATCCATACATCCCCCGTGCACAACAAGAAAACGGTTAATAGTCAGCTTCATGTCGGCGATTAGGGATTGGGCGCAAACAGCTGATGGTTGAGCCAACCGCTGATGGCCAGGCCTTGGTCGGCGGGTTGATTTGCCTCGTTGGTAAGGAACCGGTGGAAGAGCCTTTTTTCTGAGTACATCAGTGGTCGAAAGAGGTTCGCTTCTGGGGATCATGGGGTGGTTTTTGGCATTTGGACGAATAAAGGACGGGGGCGGAAAGGTTGTTTCATTACCAGCCTGATGCCCCTGGCTTGGCTGTGAGTCATGATCGTACAGCTTGAGCAACATAATTATCGATGTAGAGAACGGGTCGGTAGCTAAAGAAAAGGGAGCCCCCGAAAACGAGAGATGGGGGGTTCAACAGTAATAGTGGTAGTATCAGTCTTGCCAGGTCATTTATAGGACCATTATCGTAGCAATTATAGTAAAGAAATACCGCCAGTGAGTTTAAAGTTTAGATGGAAAATGGTTATGTATGAAGGACTTGAAAGCTCTCTGTACGAGATGGAGTAAATATAGATGACTAAGGCTTCGAATCCCGGGACTGTCGCAATCTTCAGGGAAGTATTATGGGTCAATCTTGTCATTTGTTGTATTACCAGACGTCAGAATATTACAGACTGTTACAGTAACACACTGCCTGCCTTGGACTACAAAGTGAAGTTAGGGAATGTTGATCACAGAGCACAATACGGATGCAGAAGTCTAATGATCTAGGTTTGGCACTATCAGATTCGATGTTCATGTACGGGCACCAAATCGTATTCAAGGCATGTCTGTCGACAACTGGGACGTCAAGAAGAATAAAGCATAGTAAACAGATCTAAGGGTATGAACTCGATGATTAAGTTATGTAAGAATCTGATGATCACATTCACCATATGTCCTTACAACGGATAGAAGATGATGCTAAGAGCTAGCAAAGTAACAGCTCGTCACATCTAAGGTGTCTCTACAGATAGAAGAGTGTCATCGTCATTGTCAGAAGACTCATCATCCTTGATAGACGAGCTTTTGACCCCACGAGATCTGCGATCATCCGCAAGTTCTTGTCGGCACCGTTGCAGCCATTCGACCGGATTCTTTGAGAAAAGGCGTATGATTTCAGGCCTCAGTTCCAAAGTAGTAGCGCCAGTTTTGTTGTCCATTCTCGCCCTCGTTATTGTAACCGGATGTCTAGTGAGCGCTTTAGTAGCTTGACGTCTATTAGCAAGAAACCTTGAGTGGTGTTTGGGGAACTGGGACGGGTTACAATATTGTTTTGTTGGAGAAATACTCTTGGGCAAGGCGTCGTCGGCTGTTGGTGTTCCTTGAGAACAGGTTACGTGTGTGCTTTGTTTTGATCGGCTGTGGTTTGAAGGGGAGATATTATATGCCGCACCGATTCCAGGAGCACTAACACCATACTGGGAGTCGCAACCAACTGAATCGTGTATTTAAAAATAGAAGCAAAAGCCGTAGCGCAGCAACTGTAAGTCCGTGCTTATTATATTTATAGCCAAAGACAACTGCTTCGAGATAATGAAACTAAGAGCCTTATTAAGCCACGAGACGATCTCTGATAGACTTGGATTTCAATTGGAGATGACAAAGAACGTGCCGAAAGGCCAGAAAGGATCAAAAGGATCGTGTATTCATATTAATATCCTAACTTGACGTCCTATAGCGAGTGATAAGTAAAATTACAAAGGCGAGCTCAAAACATCGGGGTGACAGAAGATAAAGTCGTACATGAGAAAGGCTTCCCAGGTCTGGAGAGGCTTTTCTCATGGCTAATTACTAGCACGTCGTGAACCACTCTTATGGCTTGCGGTGCGTTGCCTAAGACTACGTCTCGGCTCTGACGCGCGTGGTTCTACAAGCCGTCGAGGTGGCCTCGATTTGCGAGTACTCCGTCGCTGTGGCCGCGGGGAGATGGGAGAAGGTGACTGCTCTCGGGCCCTTGAAGTGATTATTGACGGTTCGGTGACCTGACTCGGCTCCAAACTGTTGCTGGCTTGGCGTGCGATCTCGACTGCACGGTTTGTTTTCTCGTTTTCATGGTTGACTCTAGGATCTGACATTGAAGGTAAGACGGCATTCTCCGGTGGCGGAGCTGCAGACATGGGAATGTGTTTCTCCTGCTGTGTCGAAGCCGGGACACCCATGTCGGCGTAAGGAGCACGGATTTCCGTCGTGGTAGGGGGCGGTACGTGAACGCAAGTGTCCAGTGAAGAATCTTCCTTTTGGCGTTCATGCTTCCATGCATATCCAGGTAAATCTCCCCAGCTCTCATCCCAGATGCCCCTTTGCTGCCATGTATGCTTGACTGTTTCGAAAGCTGCGGTACCAATGCGGTCAATGGATTGAATCGACTCCTCCTTCTTACTATATTTCATCAAGGGACTCAGATCAAAGCCCGTCCCAGCGCCTGACTGGCGCCAATGAACCTTCTGAGCATTTTCCTCCAAAGTCTTGGAAACCAGCTTACCCAGTTGATGCAGAAATCGGGATATCGGTCGCGTTGGTTGTTTCAGGCTATCGGATGGGAGATCTAACATAACCCCTGACCGTCTTTCCATGTCATCTCTTTCATGCCTCCATCTCCAAGTCGACCCATCATCACCCTCCCATGCATCATCCCAAATACCCTCCTCTTTCCATCGGGCTACGACGATCTTCCTGGCCTCTTCATCTATGGATGCGGGATCCAATTGTGGACGATTCACCGGGTGATCATTCATGAGCTTCTCAAGTCGCCCCCTCTCTTCTTCTTGCTCGCTTTTGAACTGCGAAAATGGAAGAGACGGTATGTTCTCGTATTGGTCTTCCCACCGGACTACCTTATGTTTCCCGTTCTTTCCATTGCTCCCAAACGGAAGCGAAGCTCGAGTGAAAGAATGGAAGGTCGGAAGGGAAAGTCGTGATGGAGATCGATTGAATCGAATACTCGTGCCAGTTGGTTGATTGCCGTGCTTGGTAGACATTGCCTTTGTGTATCTTTGTTATAGACGTTTTTCTTTCCAGCTTATCAAGAAATTTTACGGCCTTGCGAATATCGTACCGCAGATGCATTTCAGCCTCGCAAGAAAGAGGTACTTCTAAGCGTCTTTCAATGGCCAGGTAAAGGCCCTCCCTGTCCTTCGGTCGTTGGGTAGAGACCGGCTGCAGGGCTTGTTGGTTGCATGTTGATGTGTTACATGTTAGATTACCTGTGTAATGGACCGTGTCCAGCATCCACGAATAACAATGTTGGTGCCGTTGTAAGTCCGTGCGCCAACGTGTGTACCTCCTTCACTCTACATACCTGGCCCTGTTGCGATTACTTTCAACCCCCATGAAAACAACCCCTATAGAAACGCCACATTGCAACCCCTCAGAGGACGAACAACCCCCGTCGCAAATTCTTATCGCCTCAGCGGTGTCGCCCGCAGATCAACATATTTAACCTGGACAATACCCGCATTACCATCTTTCTTGTAGATACTTGTAAGCTACTTGTAATTTCGCCCATTCAACTTTTGTTATTCCTAACACAGCATGCCTCACTCAACAAAGACAACCACCGAAGCGGCGCAGTCGAGCTTTGATTACCAAGCTTTCATCCGAGAATTCCGTTCCGTTTTGCAACACTATGGGTCAAAGGTATCAGCAACGAAGCAAAAGTACTGAAATTATTGAAACTGACATTGGGCTAGGAACCTTGTCTAGTGGTTGATTCCATTGACTTGAGCGAGGTCGACACGGCTGAACCTGGTAGCGAGATACCCTGGTGTACATTTCATGATCGGAAATTTGAGATTTGCGTTACCGCGCTTATTGAGGAAGTAGATGCATCAAAAGTTGTCGCGCAAGAATAACCCAGTATCAATTGAAAACCCATTCAGAGCATTTCAAATCGATGTTGTTACACAATAATTAGAGCCATGTTATTCTTTGTCAATTTCTGCCACTGCTTTTATACTGGCTAATTCATTATGCTGGCCTTGCAGTTGCTCAACTGCCAGATAAACCGTAATAGAAGAACACTAATCATTGGCAACATGCTTGATGCTGAAATGAGAGGCTGCCTGGCATATATGACAAAGTCGAGAAGCAAAGGCCAGGGCCTGGACGGTGTTGCTGGTGCAGTGCATAATATCAAAGTCAACAAGCGAATGCTGACATTGAGGCTTGTTGATTCCATTACACAGGTCCAGTGCTGTAGTGGTTATCACGCTTGGTGGTCATTTCAATTCAGCCGCCGGAAAATGTCAAACAATATCCTGCAACGGATCGTCTATTACAGTAACCTTTCATTGAAACTTTGCCCAAAGGGCCTAAAACCAGCTTTGGCGTGGTGCAGGTTGGGGATTTCTGAACGCGCGTAAGCCTTCCCTACTAGCTAGTTTGTAGATTATAAATAGCCAAAAGGTCAGATTACAAGCTGCCTCCAATTCAGCCCTTCCCGTTAATCCACACAACCCATTCTATTAATGTTCTATGCCCCTGCGTTTTGAGAATAATATGCATCCTAACAAGATATCCTGCGCACCTATCTACCTTACGCCTCAAGAAGTAAAACGCTCTGCCTTGATAAAGCTCGAGGCATTGGAAACCCTCAACCTGCATCGACAATGGGTTGATAATTCCGCAATATTTTTAAATAAGGATGGCTCTTATTCGCATAAAGTGGTTGACAAAGGGTCCCTTCAAATGCATATACAGACAGCATATTTTTCCATGGCCAGTTTCATTTACTCGCCAGGATGCAAAGTCTCGCCAGAAGAAGAGAGACTACAAAATGCTCGTCGTCACCTCCTAGTCTCGATTCTTGCGCACGCATGGCTCTGGGGAAGGCCTAAAGTATTAGATAATCAAGGCAATTTCGTCGCTTTTGAAAAAAGACAAGTAATTGCACCTCAAGATATCCTTGATTTCTTTGGCAAAGTTCGGGCTCATGAGGCAAATTATACCTATGAAGAAATACAAAAGTTTCTAGTAAATGCACAAGAAGTGCCTTTGCATTTAGATAAGTCAAAGTGGAATTTAACGGGGTTTATTGCATGTTTGAGGTGGGATAACTTGCATAATCTATATCATAATGGAGGCCCGTGGTGCTCTTGTCGGCTTGAGAAGGATCGCTACCCACCACCTTACTATGAGACTTTCCCAACAAAAGGTGCATATTTTGGCATAGCCCGCCGATTTAGACATTGGCTCTTTCGTGGCAACAATGAGAGGGGGAGAGCAGGTTGTGAGGTGGGGATGACTAAAGCTGAATACTTAGAGAAAGATCAATTATAGCTCCTCAACCGCAGAAGTTACTTAATTACATAAAAGACCAAATCAGAGCAAGAGTCTGCCTTGCTGTTTGTAATGTCATCAGGGACAAGTAATTAGTTACAAAGGTTGATATCTTCCTTCGAATGTGAAAGTCACAGTAGCTACAGCTGTGATCTGTGCCAAAGCTTATTTTACATTGATTAAATTTGGCAAGTAGCCTCTAATTCCGGCCGAGACAGTATCAGCACAATCAAACAACAACCAGATTGGGGACAGCAGATCAAATTCCCATACAGTAATTCTTCTTTATAAGCTGTATTAACAAAGTAATACAAGTAGTAGCTAGTATTAAGTGACTATCAGCAGGTAGAGCTAACAGATTGTAATCGACGCAATTGCTCAACTACATATTAGACTCAGCGGAGTTCATAACGTCTTATCCAAGTAAATATACTTAATTCCCTTGCGACACGAAGTTCCAGGGCGTATTTACTATGACTTGTGAGGAACGCGCACAGAACAGAACTAAATACCAAACCATTCTTGGTTTACAGGAAGAGGAACGATATAAAACGATATAATGCCACCGGTCCAAGATATAAATCCAACAACTCCTGCTTCTTCTGAAGCATTCAGTACGACTCATATTCTCTTCATAGGAGTCCCCCAATTTGCAGACATAGCTGTCAATGACATATTGACGGTAAGTTTGGATATTGAAGACGAGAGAATCCTGAATACAGCTGTATATAACATCGTTACGAGTAAAGCCGTGCAAGAGTTAAAGGAACAGCTAGGACGATCCTTTGTTAGCTAAAGAAACAACAAGCTGGTAATTCATCAAGGAGTCATGACGGTACTGTTCGCGGGTCAGGACCCTTATGTTACGATCGAGTTTAGGACGTCGAATTGGTTGGCAGAACAGCTAGAAGGCAACCGGCTAACCGATTACATTTGCAATCTCCATGATAAAAGGCTTGTCGTTTATGTCTCCTGTACTGTCAGCAGTTGGAGCCCTGTAAGCATGGACGAGTTCTATTATCAAATGAGGGTGATGAAGGCAATCCATGGGAACATGCGTGTCTACCCAAGAGAATCAGAGGCCTTATGGGATGAGCTGAAGATCGGAGACGTACGTGCCTTCGATGAAATAGCGGCGTCAGGGATCAACTTTATTTATCGGCCAAAAACCTGTTTCGGAGTGGGTAAATGTTCCCTGCCTCTTCCAGAGGGCGAGCACGTTGTGAAGAAGAGTTATAGCTGTAGTGGCAACGACGTCAAGGTTCTTCATGCCCCAGCACGACACAAGCTCAGTTGCCATATACCTCGATCAGAAGAGATACCCAATACAGACAAACTCAAGAGTCGACATAGAAGGCCTGCAAAGAAGAAGCATGAGAAGCCTGATTCACACAAGAACCTCTGGTTTCACCAAGAGTACCTGTCGTCATTTGGTGTATTGGGAGAGTTTAGGGTATTCCTTTGTCAGGGCAAGGTTATCAATTCCGCCATAACAAAATTTAGCGCTGGATTTAGGGCTGAGGATGAACTCTCAGGCCGAGTCTTTGCAGCCAAGGCTGTTGATGAGAACGCATTTTGGTGGTATTCGGACGTTCGGGAACAACAGAGAAAGAAGTGGGAGGAGCTCTACACATTTGCTGAATTTGTTTGTGATGCTCTTAGTCGGAGGCACGATGCTCAAGAGCACTACGAATCCTTGGAAATTGGCTTGCGCCTTGACATTGGGGTGTCGGAGTTGACGTCCAATGGTGTATTCTTCGTCAATGAGGCTACCCGGTTTCACTGCGCCGACTACATGTCCGATATCATCTCAATGCCAAGTTACAGGACCTCTGAGGTACTGGGCAAAGCAATAGCTGAAGTGTATAAGTCAGGGCGATGGTAGACTGGCACTACGGTGACCCGCGAAGGTTCTTTAGAGCATGCTTAGATGGTAGAGATGTAATTTTAACACTGATATTCTTGTTAAGAATTCCATCTATACAAGATGGCAGGATTACTAAACAATGCGGACGGCTGACTGTTGACAGAGTGGTTTACTTGAACTTGTTGGAAGAAGATCCATGAAGATTCAAGACAAATCCAGGACACCAGAACAGTCAGACAACGCGTAGTACAAACCACTTCGAACAGGCTCACAAATAACCAATTGATACAGTAAATATAGCCAATGAAATTCTTACAGTAGCCCCTCGTAACAGATTGAGGTAAGGCGTGCGGTTTGCATCAGGTCTTGGCCAGATTCACCTCTGATCAGGAGAAGACAGAAACCTACAAGCCTCTGAGGTTGGAGTTTCCGAGTCCTGGTTTTGAACTTTCATCTCAACGGTCCCCACGCGTCTTAAAGAGAATTTTGTACTGCCATCGGTCGGGTAGCTCGTGAGAGGTTGACGAGCAACTCAATATCCTCCAGTGGAACATTGTATTGCCAGGGGCTATTAGTGCAGGAGCCCTCCTGTTGCGAGGGTGGAATCGATGGGAATGTGCTCTCCAGTCTCGACTTTTGCGGTCTTTGGGTGCTTATCATCGACTGTATACTCATCTTCCCGCCATTTGAGCCCTCTTTGGATTCGCAAACTCTGAAAGATCCTGTTTCAAGTGGATGATGATTCGCATGTTCGACGCCTTCTTGACTGGGATGGAACGAAGTGTTTGTGATAAAGCTTGCATCATATCGAGGCCAAGCAGAAAGAAATGTCTGGCCGTATGGCGGTTGTTGTTGTGCGTAGGTCATGCCATTGTTTAACGCCCTTGCCTGGAAAGGTATAGAATCTATGTGTTGCATTTGATGAACTGCACGAGGAGTGGTGGCCGTTGGCGAGGAGCCCAGTAGTTTCTCTGTCTGGCTCCTGTGACTTGTAGCTTCGAGTGCTCTCTCTGTTGCGGCTGTGCTTTCCTTCGTGTTGATAAGACCCCTCAATTTGTACCAATTTTCAATGGTCTCAGCAATGACCTTTGCCGGCTCTTCAAGTGATTTCGAGAAATCTTCTAGCCCATTGCTTGCCAGATTAGACATATATTCATCAAAGGCGTTGGCTGCAAAGGGCCTTTGTAATCTTGAATCCTGGTTAAAAGATAGTCTTTCTGCTGCGAACTTCTGGGATACTTACTCTACCCTCTTCAAACCGTCGTAAAACAGTGACCCAAGGCCAAATTTCTCTCCGAGACTGTAATAAGCCTGGCCTTCTCTAACCCAGTATATGTTCCTTCGTTTAGGTGGTGAGTCATCGGCGTTGTGGAAGATTTCATCAAACCTAGCCTTCTGGCTGAAAGGGCAGTCTTTTCTGGATATAAAAAGTTGCCTGAGAATGAACCGAAGTATTTCGACCTCTCCCCGGCGCCCTGCCAACTGTAGGACATATTTACCTATGCTTTCAGCCTCGTGGAATCCTGAAGACTTGGGATCAAGAAACGAGAGGGGCGACAGGGCCAACTGTTCAACCTTTTGAAGAAGTTGGGCGGAGACTCGGATGGTATTTCTTTTGGAGTCTTGTGCGATATCCCTCTCATCTCGCACGCAGTGAGTGACCTCCGGAGATGCATCGGGTAGATTCCTAATCTCTAATGGCTGAGTTCCATAAGGAGTTGTATTAAGCCATGACTGGATGAAAGGTTCTCGCATGTAGCTATTGGTAGGTGCTGGAAAAGGTTCTTTAGGTAGAGCTTGATGATTATTCCGCGAGGTTTCTTTGCAAAGTCGTTCAACAAAGAGTTTGACCTACTGAGACCTGAGCTGAGTGCCTGCTATCCCATCAAAACATCATACCTCTTCTTGTTGCCTGTCTGTCAAAGTGATCGAGTCTGTGGTGTATAAATATAAAAGTCTTTCGAGCCGAGAAGCGATTTCAGGGTCCGCCATGGCTGTTTGCCTATGCGCCTGCAGGGTGAAGATTGGTTGTGAAGCGACATGCAGTGTTATGTAGATTGTGGTTTTGCTTTAAGACCTTTTTCTATTGACGCTGAAGTCATACCAACAAGTTCTGCGTCGACCGCCCATTACAGATCATTGCTGCAAGGGAGGGTAACAATGGAGTAAGAATATACTCAGTAGTAATGTGATCAAACATATTGTGACGTGGTTGTTATGTGAACCCTGAGTAAGGGGATTCACCATTACAACAGTAATACGGAAAAAGTCATGTGACATTAGCAAAGTACATAGTTGCCCGCATTCGCTGTACTGATTCCAGCGCTTGAGGCCATTTTACCGCCTCGGAATTACTTCCCCAGTAGAGGCAAAGTATTGACTTGTTGGCTATCAGTGCTGCTCTTTGCATGGCCTAGATTGCTCTTTTTTTACCCTATCTTCCACTATCGAAAGCAAGCTCGAGTAGCTTGGCACTCGAAACCTTCTTATCTCGCCTGATCACCAACATGATGTTCCTTTTCATTACTGTGTCCTTTCTTATATGCCTAGTTGCTTCGAAAAAGGACCAGCATGAAGTTTGATGCCACTTATTCGCTAGAAGAATAGCTAAAACGAGAGTCCCAGACCCCAGCATCCTCTAGTCCAGGCCTTCCAATCCATCAACCACATTTCCATCACCACTATCATACAACTGCTACAATGTCTAGCAAATATAGCGCACGTTCTAACCAAGGCTGGAGGAATTTCAAGGTCCGTGATTTATTGGTTAACAGGTCCAACTTAACTCTAGTCAACACGGATCACGACTTTGCAGTTCTGATGAGAGACAACATCGACGAGTCGATGTTCCACCTTTATCCACGCTTTGCGCCCCTGATATCTCAGCAATCGTCCAGCGATTAGTGAATGGGTATCGAGTGTTCTGTTCTATTCTGTTCTCAAGAGTACATCTGCATTGAAGAATGCTTTCGTTGGTAACCCTTGCGGACTGCATGAGTGAAAGCTGGTTGGGTTCGCGCAAGTCAAGCAGGAGAGAATGACCTCAACCAGGAAGAGTCTATACACGAGTCTTGCATGAGAATCTCTAATTTTCTATCTGGTTTCTCGCAGATTCCCTTTAGCTATCACCTCTGATCTCGAAGTGTCCAGGCCTTCAAGCTGTCATCTACCCCGAATCTCCATCGCCATGTGAGTGAGCCTCCTGCAACCATCCAGTCAGGCCTTGGCAATCTCAACCGATTAAGATTCTTCAGCGTCCCTCTGAGTGTTTGTTTTGTCTGGAGCGAGACTGACTCCCCTACGCAAATATATGACTGATCGGCGCAAACTCAATGTATGTGAGACTCCGGCAATCATGGGTCACCCAAGACTCTCTTCAGGTTCCTGGATCAGTTGAGCTCGAAATTGCTGAAAATACCTCTGCGTCTCGAGAATCAGAGCATTCAACTCGTTGGGGTTGTTGGAAGCGGAAAGGTTGCACCACCTGACGCTTAGGCTGTCATGTCTTTGGGTCAAAGTAGCATCCTCGTTTGAAGTAGACTGGTCCTCTTCCCCGATATCTAGAGGATAGGATTCTCTTGTCATGGAAAAATTCCCTCGGTCTGATTCTTCATGGACGCAAAGTTCTGCATAGTAGTTTGGACCATGCGGCGGCGGCACTGGGTGATCAACGTGACTTTGACAATGACGAGTGGCCTGCCTTCTCAAGAATGGCTTTAGGTGTGGGGGCAGTGTAGAGGTATCGCTTATATGCTGGCTGCATGGCATTTTGGGTTTCATGGACACCGCGCCGCTGGTGTCATTGTGAGATACAGAATTCTGGTATAGAATATCTCTTCGGATGATATGCGGCTTTTCGTCATTTCTTAGCTGTGCCAAATGAGTCTCTTTCATGTTGAACGTCGGGTGATATTGCCCTAGGGAGACATTTTGCTCTCCCTTGATGGCAGAGCACTTGTGGTTTCTAGTTCATAGTGTCAATCCATTAGGCCCAAGTTGATACAAGCTGAGGAGGTCCTGACCTAAGTTCCGGCTCTGTCCCGTAGCGCTGTTATGTCAGTTTGATATGTAGCCAGGAGTGGTAGTTGCTCACATCACGAGAGTTCTAGCTGTCAAGCCCATAGACCGACATGACGATAAGTCACAGAAAGTCGCCAGATATTTTCAGTCTATCAAAGTTAGAACAAGAGGGAGAAAGTGCAATAGGGTACTAGGTTGTAAAAGATCTGCCGTTGTCCTGTTGGCTTAAGTATGCGTAAAGTTTGGGCATGCAATTTGCCCTTGTCTCTGCATTAGCCTACAGCTGCAACTCGAGACTCGGTCAGGCTACCAAGTTGGGTTCCGTAGTCACTATCCTTGCCAGTCTCAACGCCACAATGAACGATATCTGTATGACTCCAGAATTCGGCATCCGCTACCCTCTCATTTCCATGCGGAAGAGTCAAGTACCATGCACGACGCGCAATATAGGGGCGGAGGAGGGACAAGGGGGGGGGGGGGGTGGCGTCAGTCATGGTGATTCCGATACAGGCCGCATGAAGAGCCAAGAAGCTCTAAAGATCAACAGGCCAATAGGCTACTGCACCCGCCCATGTTTTGTTCCCATCCTGTCGGACATGCCGCGAGAACGTAGACTTAGAATGTCGGGAATCTAATTTTACATTGGTATGGCATGGAAGTGTCCCTGCAGTGGCCTCTCGTATGCAGTTGTGAACCAAGTCAGGGACTTTCCGTTATCCCTGACCTTGTGTCACGGCTGTCACCTGGCACGACCGTCGATCATGGCCTATCAGCCTTAGTATGACCAGAAAGCAGGGAAAGGCCCTGAGTTGAGCTTCTTAGCCCTGTCCCTCCTTATTTTTGGGTCGTTTGGCTCAAGCCTGTGCCGCGTTTGGGTGACGCAACCACCAGCAGGCTGTCGACCTCGAACCTCCCTAGCGAGGTCGTTTAACCGTCATGAGTTGGAGATCTACGCCGTCCGCACGATCACAGCTAGAACTTACAGCCAGCCTTGCGGACGACACTCCGCGCTTTTTGCCAGTCTCTCCCGACGACCTTCATAGAATTGCATGAAATGCTGCATCACTCTTCCATCACTAAGTACCGCGTTGGCCTCGCTGGAGGATACAAAGAAGATAATCGAAGCGCTCGGCTGCTTTTATCAAGAGGACTACGACATAGGACAGAGAATCGATGCAATCTTCCGTGATGATGACTACTATTTCCTGATCTTACATTCGCCAAAGTCAGCACATTCAAAGATGAGGTACGCGTCCCCTCTAATGTCCATTCTAGTGCATATTGAAGAGTGTAGGATATTTAGTCCTGTTATCGTGTCCTTTTTGTCTCAGAATGCTCCCTATATACCGGATTCGATCATATGATCTTCTGCGACGCGCCTGGAAATGTGTCAATTCGCGCGTAGCCTCACGCTACGACATCAGTATTAGACCGTCGAGGGCTTTGCCAGAGATGTGGCTTTCTTATGGTGATCAATGATATGGCACAAATATAGGGGTCCATGCGAATTCGAGCAGGTGCGATGTGCCACAACAGCTTATTCAAACTATATTGAGAGATTCAATTCTGTAGTATCTTATGGGTTTCGTTTAAGATACAGCTCGACTCGATGATACTCCAGCTGCAATAGGGTTAGCTTTACTAGATGTTGGCGAAGAATTACTTACAATTTCTTCACGGGATAGTTTCACTACTGTGCCTCTCGGTTCTGTATTACCCATAACTATCTGACAAATTTGTTGCATTTCTTGCATTGGAGTCCCATTATATTCAAAGGTCTTAACCCTTATCAGTCTAAGACTCTTGAGGTAACGCTTTGGGATGACGTAGCTCGATGAGATCTTTAGACTCTGAAGGCTTTTGCAACAACGGAGAAGGTTAAGCGCAAGAGTCCAATTCTCGCCCCAACTGTAATGCAATTTGACTTTGCGAACAATATCAAGTGTATTCTCTCTTGCATATGAAATAAAATAAGGCAGGTCGTTTGTTGGAAGATTGAACAAAAGCTCATGTGTGTTGTAAAGCCAGGAAATAGTGCAATTGCTGATGCATTTATTGGCATAAAGCAAATTGCGGATATCCCGGTATGGTAAGGGTTTTGCTAGGGTGTAATTGATTTGAATTGACATTGGATTAGCAGTGTCATGAAGGTAGTCAAATATCATATAAAGAAGCTCTGTTGGCAGGCTGTATAAATTAGCCATTGTTGGTTGTGACGGGTGATCAGAGGCACATGAGAAAGAAATAAAAACTGGAAAAGGTTGATTTTTGCCTGGAGGGAAATTGATGTTCGCTGGAAGCAAACCCCTGTACCTTAATCAGCATCTGCACCTTCAGGGTGTTGCTGTCGGCACAGCCGGCTGTGCGGATGGCCCACGCCGACCTTTTGGGGTGAGCAAAGTATCATGCAATAGTCCGAAGCCCTTCTCCAGACCTACAAAGCATCAGTCACGGCCTTGGCATTCCCAAAAGCAGCCAAAGCGCGCCCAGGTTGCAACATCTACTCTGGCATCGCACGTAAGGGTAAGGTAGAAGATCCTCCGACATACAACGCAAGCACGTCAGATAAGTGCATTTTGCGGAGGGAATTCGCCGGGTCCGTACAACTGTGGCCTGTGCGGCGCTTCTCCATTATCAGAGAGATGATAATAAGAAGGTTTATAAGAGCGTCTGTGCAAGATGTCAAGGATATGAATAGGGGTTCATACATTCTCAATGCATCGACACTGAGTCATTATTCCGTAGTCCGTGAATAATTAGCCCTGTCATTATTCCCTGCGACTTGCCTAGCCTCGCGGCGATCGAATCCCGAACGTGCGTACTGCAAGTATGGCGAGTTAGCCTAAACCTGATTAGGAAACGTATCGCGCTTGATAACTATTGGTAGATGCACTTAGTACCTCGATGTAAAAAGATTACAGAGTCTGTGGGATGTATTACTGTTAGTGTTTGTTCTGATGTCTCTGAAAAGACTGGGGCAGAGGCCAATCAGACTACCTAGCCCATGGTTCAGCAATCCAGTTCGTCGACGTTACATTGTTGCAGCTCTTACAACAGTGCCTTAAACCTCCTCAGTTCAAACCCTCTTGTTATATCTTACACCAAATCAGCATCTCTTTGGTTTTATTTATTTATTTATTTATTTTCTTTTCATATTATAAAAATCAATATTGAGTTTGTTTCCTGAACATCCCCCATTTCTATTGATGTCACTTATGACAGTGCTTACTCTGTTCCTCGAGGTTTTGATGACAACATGGAAACTCTTCCACCTCTTTCAGAATTTCTAGCAATGACCTTCAACACACCGCCTCCATTAGATCCCGGTGTTGGGCCTCAGTCGGCCACTCCGGCTACTCATCATGCTTACGGTACGGACTTCTCAGAACCTCTTAACTCTCACATTCCTGTCGAGCATACTCCGACCGTCGCTTCAGCAGCTCTGCTCAACAGAAGCACAAATACCAGCTCTCCGGTTACCCAACAGTGCTGGATATCTGGAACAACAATGGCCAGCTCCCCTCACCAGTATGAAGTTCAGACAACAAACAGGAAACCCCATATTGCCTGCTCTATATCTGGCCCTCTCCCTTCACAACATGTTGAGCAAAAGAAACCCAGGATCCAGTCATTTAAAGGCTATAGGTGGCGGCGTCCTTATCGAGGGCGCCCTGGATCGTGGTCAAACCGAGTCTGTCGGTATTCAAAGTGTGGCAGAACCGAAACGATCCAAGGGAGGTCTAATTTGGAGGACGGAAAGGCCTATACTAGGCGTGGTTCGGTGTATATCAAGATACCGCAGGAGAAACACGCGTAACAGCAGCGGTTATATTTATGGATTCATTCAACTCGAACTACTTAGTAACGCTTCCTAAATATAATTCCTGTTTGAACTGACCACTTGGATTATATAAAGCCTGGAGATGTGCCTAGGAGGTTGTCCATTGTGGAATTCTGCCAGCATTAATTCTTCGACTACAGTATCTATATTGTAGAGTATGTTGTATTCGCCTTGCTTTGTGATTTGAGGACTCCATGCTCATTTGACCGAGTAACTGCGCCAGTTCTCGGTGGTGAGGTCTCCATTGGCTTCTGCTCATACTTTGAAAGTGGCTGCCTATGGTAGCTAAGGAACATGAAGAATCCTTGCTCTGTCGATGTAGGACGCAAGTTTTCGGCAGTGGCCAAGTTTCGCGTGGCTCTGAAAGCCACTGGTCCATAGAGGCCGAGATAAGTCCTTGGTGATGAATCGTTGTCTGTTGCGACTATAGTCTCTGCTCGCAATTTCGGAGTTTGACCTTGCTGATGGTCAGGCGAAGCTCGTAGCTCGTAGCGCAGTTGGGATCGGAGTGGAAAGGCGGGTTGGGAAGAAGACGAGGGACTTGTCGAATGCTAATCCCAGATTCCCAAAGGTTCTTGCGAATGTAGTATACGCGGTAATGCGCGTAGGATAAATTCGGCCGGTCGGTTTCGTCGTGTTCCTTGGTGTTGTCAAGAACGATCAGTTATGCTTGTTTTAATAGCAAAGCTGAGCAAATGGTGTTTTGGGGGATATTGCTATAGCTGAAGTGTTGATAGTCATAACCTGTTGGCCCGTTCCTCGACTTCTTCGTCTCGACTTGCTCATCTGCTTGCTGCTATTCCCCAAGAGCGCGTGCAGCAGCTTTCACGTTGTCGTTGGTTGTCTTCATGAAGGCGGTGGGCTCTTATTCGTTCTCGCAGCCTCTCAATTTCGCCCATGGAGGCAGATGGATTGACGCGAGATGAGGCTGGAGATCTGCATCAAGAGCGCGTTAGTTGTGAGACGTATAATGTCTGAACACTGAGCGAGATGTGTTATTTGCAGTTGACAATTGTAGCTGAAAGCCAAGAAATTATAAATAATTAAATGAAAATATTACCTTGTCGCGATAACTTATAAATTCAATTATTTAAATATTAATGAAATATAATTGTTTTCGTGTTATTTTCGCGTGTCTGTTGGTCCTGCTGCCTACTTCCTATTGGTGGTGCGCTGCTGCAGACCGTGTTTTATTGTGCAATGAACAGTAAGTGAGGAGTTAAACCCCAAAACAGTCATCGCGCTCTGTGCGAAACATCAACCCAAACGTTTCCTTTTGCAGGGTCAAACCTAACTGGCCGCGGTTCGTTCAAGCAGCCAAGGTTACGGGTCAACTCGCCCTTAGGATCTTCATACCGTCATGCGTGCGCAGAAAACACGCAGGACAGCGCCAAAAGACCAGGGCCATCAACCTTCTCGACCTGTAAATGCGGAAGATGCAACAACCGATGATGTCGAGAAGCCCTCAGCTGAATCCTGGGACTCAGACAGCACTGATGAAGCGCGTAGTAGCGACCTTCACAAGAAACCAACCACATGGAAGAGACGAAGAACGGATGAGGAAAAGCAGCCTGGATGGTGGCCGCAGCAGTATGCGCCACGTAACAAAAATAACCGGACTCTCCTTGCAGGAATGAGAAGAATGATTCGAATATACAAGGAGGCGGGTCGCGACCCGAGAGATATGTGGGATGAGAACAGCAAAGACGGGTGTATGGTGAAGGCAGCCAAACAAACAAGGTTCGGAAGGCTTACGGCAGCCGTATTCCAAACCGTTAAACCTCCCTTCCCTATCACAAACCCCAATAAGAAGGGAGCGGTAGGTGCTGCTAAGCGACAAGCGATGTTAGAAGACAGGAGCGTCGCTGAAAGCAACTACTCTCCATCTTATCAAGACGAGAGTGATGACAACGTTGACCCCCGTTCGCCATCCAGTGTTATTGATGTCGACGACGATGCGGCATCTTTTCAGGCTGAAATATTAGCAGACTCCGTAAGGGGGACTATAGCTCGCCTGAATGACGATTCTATGCTTCGGAGTGACGATATATCACGATGTACAAAACTTCTTGATCTTACTGATGAATGGCATATTTTTGACCCTGGGTATCCGTCCGAGGGTTCAGTCCTCCAGCGCCTAGAGACCCGCGCAAACAACTTCGTTTTCTTTCTCATTGCGAAATGTCATTGGTCGCTTTGTCATCTGGAAAGAAAAAGCGGGCAACTGAATCATTTCAACTCGATGAGACACACTGAGATGCCGGTTAGTGGCCTTGTATCGTGGGTATCAGAACACCCGTCAATCAAGCCTGCTTGTTCCGTCACCATTCATGAGAAGGTATGTTCATATTTCACTTCGATGGGTTTATCTAACACGTACAGGACTGTCCTCAACAAGACGATGGTTTTAATTGTGGAATCTTTGCACTGGCTTTCTTACAGTCACTAGTCAATGGTGAAGAAATCCCGGCGCAAGTCAATGCCCGAGAACTTCGCACCTTTTTCGCTACGCATATTGAAGCTACTGGGCCATCGGAACGCGAGATTCCTGTCCAAAAGCTGTCATCCCCAAATCGTCAAATATCACTTGAACAGATCAACCCTGTAACCCGCAGCGTCAGCCTGCCCGCGGATTCCAGCATTCCATCATCCTTCTTGACCGAGTCTCACAAGTTCTTGAAGACCTGGAAAAAGGAAAAAAGCCGATTGGCAACAGCAACAACGACATTTGAGCAGAAAGCCATGGAGTTATCAACCTTGGAGGAAAATCTCACCTTTTATCAACAAAGACTTCAGAATGGCAAAGAAACAGTACAGGAACTACAAGAACAGATCAAAGAGTCTGAGAATACCGAGATCCTTCATAAGGACATCCAGGATTTAATAGCAAAACTTCCCCCTGCTGAGGGTAATAATTTTCAGAGCAAATGGCTAACTAAGCTGAGATCAAGTGCTGAGATCACAAATGACTTGATGTTGGCAGAAAGCAAGTCGCTGCCGAAGAAACTGAGCGACGCTGAAAGAGAGTACGATGAAACTCGCGCGAAGATAACGCAGCTAGAGAAACAAATTCAACTACACAGAAAGGGCTTGGAGGTAATAGGTAAGGAGATTGAGAAGACAAAGCAGGACTTGACCTACGTAAGTGAGGAGTGTGCTCAGATTGGGAGATTATAAGGTGTCATAGGATAAGAATAGCGATAGTAATTGAAGTAGAGGAGACTTGATGTAATTAATCAGGATGACACTTGAGTGATGACACTTGAGTGATGACACTTGAATGTTGACACTTTGAATGTTGACAATTGAATGTTGACAATTGAATGTTGACAATTGAATATTGACATTTTGAATGTCTGCATAATAGTTAACATCCTAGCATCCACGCCTCCTCTTTTTCGGGAACATGCGGGGTAGGACATACATCGTCCGCGGTCGACCGCGGCAGAACGTATGATGCTTACGCGTCATCAAGCGGCGGCCGCCACCTTGCACACAAAAAATCCAGCTGACCAATTAAACCATACCAAGTGGCTCTTCCCTTGGTCCGCGGGCTATCTCGATCGCGCGTCTTGCTTGGGTGCGTGATAATTCTTAATCCAACGATAACCGCGGGCTGACCGCGAGCGATGCCCTGCGCTTTCTCGTGCCTGTCGGTTATCTCTTCTCTGCCAACAATTCTCGAGTGCCAATGGACCCAATTTCTGGTGAAATGACTGGCCAGGCTCCCATTCAAGCGGGGTCCGGCGTCAGCATTCTCGAGCCAAACCAGACCATCAACGATATCACCCAAAAACTCTCAGGTTACCTTACGGCCACACACAGCCCGCCGTTCACAGCACCAGTTGGATTTGATGATGCCTTAAATGACCTCGGCTCACCAGACCCCATCGCGCAAGTCTTCCAAAGTCGAGGGTTTTGGTCTTGGCTAGCATATTTCCTGGCGACCAAAGATCCCAAGACTCAGCCGCCTCTATCCTTGTCTGGCATTCCATACGACACCCTCTCTGTTATTGCTTGCCATGTATCAGAGGTGCCAGTAGAAAAGACTCTTCTTAAGCGTATTCAGATCACGCTCTGGGTTGCTAGGCGAGGGGCATCGCGCCGTTGTGAGTAGCCGTGACTTGCTCGTTTGCGCACTTCTCTAATCGTGTAGCTGAACTGCGAAGGGCAGGGATTTCTGGCTTCCCTTCCTGTCCTTCAACCATGCCTATGCCATCCCCCGAACCAAACCCCCGCAAGCGACCGCGTGGCCAGTTCCTCGAGGATCCCGATGACCCAGCGCACGTCGCTCAGCGACCCAGATCGAACAACACGATCTCCGGTACCCCACGGACAGATACAACGAACTCGGTATATCACCCAGCTGCGGGCCAGCCGACCGAAGAGCTTCATACATTCGATCACCTAAGCCAACCGATGTTGAACGTTGACCCGCCAGATGGATACGCGTACCCCGACGCTCGCAGAATACCATCGGTCTTTCGCCCAGAGCTCGGTGACATGATTGCTCGGAACGGTCATAAAGCCTCAATATTTGCATCATTCCCACCCGATGCAGCCAAATGCCGTCTCCTCCTGAACATAGAGGCTGCAGAGGTGTCGCCCCTCGTAATGAGGCTCTACGGCATACAGATTGTTGAGATAGAACAGCAGAGGGCTTTCTCCCTTCCGGGCGGAGTAAACGCGGCAATATCCGGCTCGGTGCAATTCACAAAGACTAAACTCAGTCTCTTGGATGAATTATTTGGAGACTTGATTATTCAGGGAGTGCGAAATAGCCGACGGTATCTGGACGAAGTGGCGCAAGGTATCATGCTATCAAAATGCGTAAGGATGGAAGTTCCTGGCGCGGCTGATTGTCCGGCCCAAATCACCGTGACGATAAATGAGTTCGCTTTGAATAATATAATTACCAAACTCTGGCTATCTTGAGATCAGTCGCACTCTTTGTAGTTACTTCTTCCGAATCTCTCCTCCTGTTAAATAAGCCCACCAACCATCCGGTATTTCCCATTGCCCGGTGCTCTTCATCGGCTGCCAATCTTTCACCGGAGGCCCCTTGAATAAAGCTGTACTATTTCTCCAAAGCAACGTTTCTTGAGTATAAATTTTTGGCCCGACTTTGGTTGCGGAATCCCACATGTCGTCATTGATCGTATCACTAGGATCAGGGTCGTCAGGGTGCTGGTAAGATTAGTACTAAAATGCAGAAAAGGTAAGCGGAATTGATTGCGTGGACTTGCCTTTTTGGGAGCTTCCATTTTGCGTAGAGGACGAGGTCGCTCGCTTGTCTTTGGTTGCGAATGTAACAAGAAATGACCGTCTTGAAGGCCGTTTGTGATGGAAGAAGAGCTGTAACCTGGCGTCTTAGCTGACTGGGGTAGTCTGGCTGGGCATCAACATGGGCAGCAAGGTAATTGTCACGATTGCAGCCCGATCATCTTTGATGGCGAAGGAGGAACATGTTAGGCGAATCGACGGAATCGATACTGTGGCTGTGTGGCACAAGCTGGTCCCGCGCAAAAGTATTCCAGCCTTTGCTCTGCCCGCGGTGACTCCAAAGTGGAGACTTCTTGGTCCCGCTCCGCCCGCGGTCGCTCTCTGATGAAGATCTCGGACCCTTGCTCTGACCGCGGTCACTCGGTAGTGGAGATCTTGGCCCGGGCAGATGAGTGGGGTGCAGCTCAACTTGCAGGGATCTAGGCGTCACCTACGTTAAGTCGTCACCGTATAGGAGATGATATCACAGACAATTGTCAATTCAACGGCACCTCTATAGCGTCAATCACGGAATGCCTTCATGGATTCACAAAGGAGGCATCTAATGAGTTTGAAGCTCTTTCTGGCTAATTTTGAGTGCTCAAGTGACCCCAATGCCGCAGATTTGAAGTTACGCCTCTAACTCCCTTAATTGCTATGAGAATGGACTGTGGTATAGCTGAGCTTGTTGGAACTTCTCGGCTGGGGTAATAGTTGCTACATGCTAGGATCAAGCGGGCAGGGGTTTTGATATCACAGCACCCCATTCACGGGCCTGCTTTCAGGGGCATCCAGGCCGAGACACTCAGTCATGCGCGTTGGTCTGTAGGATGGACTGCATGGCAGTAGAGGGCCTCAAGATACAAATATCAGGTCCCCTTCCTATCTACCACTAAAATCTGCACATCTAAAGCAGCTCACGGTTGCCTTGGTTGCCTTGGTTGCCTTCTTTGCTTCCATTGACTGCTTACCGGTATCGATTGTCCTCCCTATCCACATTGGGCTCTTACATTTATCCCTTGTATCCGATTTGCACTTTTGATCCTTGGCTTAAGTCGAACCCCTGATCTTTTCGCCTTTGAGCAAACGTCGCAAATGAAGACCACCATCACCAGTAACCATAATGCAGAACTTCCCGAGATCTGCATTAACGATGGTGTCATTTATGTCACGACGGTAATAACAATAGTATGCCCTGCAGCCTGATTCTTAAGCTATCCGCTGATATCGATTAGACTGATCACGACACACATCCCAACAAAGTCTGTAGCGCAATACAGCGTACCGGTAACCAGGATGAGGCAGAGACCTCAAAAGCCCAGGGCGAAGGTTTCGGCCCGAGCCCGACTATAGGCTCAAAAACACCTAGTTGCATAGGAGGGCCAGATGAATAAATAAATCTCTCTAATTTCTAGTTGAAGAATCCAATGCCTAGTATTGATGTTGGTTTCGAAGAGTTTGTGGCCGTGATCAGTCTTTCCTCGGTTAATTTACATTCCATCCAGTAGTTACAAACGACAGAGCAACGCCAGCGGGATACCGTAAGCCCCCCCTGAGGTAGTAGTTGTCACATTGTAAAGGTGTACAAGTAGATCAATCAATGAAGAACAACATGGGTTATGGACGAATCGGAGCAAGAGCGAGTCGGCCGCCGTCCCAGTGATGTAGCCACCACGATTCTTTTGGCTTGCAGCTGTGAGAACAGCACTAGACACATGCAGGTGTTTGCAGGCCTTTCAGGCCGACCTACCATGAATCCCGATGCTCCAATAGATCCACTCCTCTCAGTTCTGGGTCACTCGGATAGGCTTTTGACGCTTAGTCGCTGCTGTACATTATCGAAATGCAGTGATAAGCATGGTGCATAGCGTTCAAGCTGCGCGGTTCGTTCTGGCCAGCCAGCTCGTAGTTGAGACATGCTGCAAGAACCTGCAGCTCGCTCTGGCATCACGGATATAGTTGGTATCCCCCTACCCCCCTCGCAAACAAGGCGAGCCATCATCTCCTCAAGCTGCCTTCATGTTTGGTTCGCAATGAGCTGGCACGACATTCTTGATCTTCTGATGTTCTTGCTGCCGCTGGCACAGCGCCATCGAAGATTTAACGATCTTCTGCTGATCTCGCTGCCTTTTACACAGTATCACGCAAAGATCCTCAACATCCTGTGGACATTACTACCTGCAAAGACAAAATTAACCTCTGGCTATATCTTACCCTGGTTCAAACTTAGCCTGGAGCCCCAGAATCCACTACTTGCTCTCCTGTACAGGCATTCCAGCGTTCGACTTATTTTCAAACCTGACGGTGTACTGATCAGGGTTGAAATTAAAGTCTTTCGGTACACAGTAATGATATGGTGGAACCTTTTCAACATAATTGCAACTATCCGCAGTTTCTCCTTATACCCCCTCATCCATCTGTCAGCATGGACCATGGACGGACTGGTAAGGGCTTTGTCTCTTTTGGCTTTTGACAGCTGGAAGGTCAAGAGCCCAACATCTAAACAATGGAATCCGATGAAAGGTTTGAGACTCGATCACCGCTCGGTACTATAGCTCATACATACTAGTCAAGAAGAAGAAGGCCAAAGGAGAGAAAGACGTCATCAACACCAGCGACGACGAAAGCCTGCCTCTTCATTGTCAGGCGAACCAAACTGGTCCTGGAATTGGGAGAGCTAGCAGAGCCATCTCACGGTGGTCCCTTGAAGTCCGACAGCTTCCTGGTTACTTTATAAAGGCGTGCAAGCGATTTTCAGTCAACGACAAGACATTCCCTGACGAGCACCAGGCTCGTCGGCCCGGAGTTCTGGTGAATCCCTTGACAAGTCGTGGAAAGGCCCACGAAGCTACTTATAAGGGCTTGCCTATTCCACAGCAGGACCAAGGATCCAGTGCAGGTGGCACTATAACATTATAAAGGATTACTTAGTAGGACGGAGGCCAGAAATATGCAAATATACACGTTGCCATGGCTTGCATTGTTTTATCAGGCCACAATGGCTGTGTAGGTCTTGGAAGAAGTTCTTGTAGTAAGGTTAGTTTGCACCTGCGTTGGCGTGACAGGTACAAGAACACACAGACTTATGGCTACAATCCCTTGAAAGGATGTGATGCGGCTGAAGAACGATCTTTTCCTAGGATTTATGATTGCAGAGCCTGATGATGGTCATACTCAAGCTGCGAAAGAAAGAGAGATGTATGGTATTCAGAAAACCTTCTATGGTATCCTTCTAGGCTTTTGGTTTCCAATCCATATAGTATATTGCCTTTTGTCTTCCCGGACCGTTGTAGAATCAAGTGCTCCCTATAGCAGCTTCCTTTATCTTCAAGACCTGTATGCCTGGTCTGAAGTTGCTTCAAGTCTTTCACGATCTTCAGCTTGATACCACGTAAAATTGTTAGCTGTTCGTCCAAGCGCTGGTATTGAGTGCTTTAGGTAAATGTCTCTTCGCCGGGGAGACTTCCGATTCGATATATAAGCAATCTCACGGAGACGATCACCTGGGTGAAGACGATCGTATCTCCCCTGTAACACTACGTGGGTCTATGATCTGTCAATTTGAGGAAAATTAGTTCTATAATATAAGGGTGTGAAGGTGTCTTGAATCCAGGGTACGGAAGAAAGTGACTTCGGTTAATTGGAGGTGGGGCACGGAAGGAATGGAGGGGCCGCAAGCCCTGAAGGCTCAAAGGTCTACACTGCATTTGTCCCGTAACCCACTTTTTCTTTCCAGCGAAACCAATTCTGATCACAGCGCTAACCTTTGCACCCCGCTCACTCAACCCTGCACTAAACTGAGGTCACTTTCTTCCGTACCTCGGAAAGTGTACCTAAGCTCATATTAGTCAACTGGCAGGTGGTAGGAACTAGATATTGATATCTGGCAATTACTGCTATAAATTGAATGTGCAACCGTAGAAGGCAATCGCTTGTAGGTCTCACCGACACTCGGTCGCAAAGCACTCAAAAATCCAAGCCTGCTCTCTTTCATACACACGGCATCAGTACCATTTCAAAACCCCTGCAAACCTGAGATCAAGCGAGGATGACCACTGACAGCCTCACGATCCTCCTCTGGGTTGTTACTCTCATTTTCGTTCTCGTCATCATTTTCGTTCTCATTTTCATTCTCGTTGCCCTACGTGGATTCCCCAAAGGCTCTGAACCTCCAAAAATTCGCATGTTGGATAAAGTTTCTCCGATCTCTATCAATACAAGGACTCCATCCATTGCCGTTATTGGGCAAAAACAAGCAGCTTCTTCCTTCATGAAAGAAGGAAATTACGACGAGCATGGTGCCACTTCCGCATTCGGTTCGTTTTCCATCAAGCTCAATCCATGTTGGTGGGAACAAGTCGATGGCATCATTATCCTGGACAATGCCAACTTCTGGAAGAGATTCTTTTGGGGAAAATTACCAAGAACACCTGTTGTGTCAGATCGCCATAGACCTGTCCACAGACTACAGGCAGAGATTTGGCGAAGACGCGGGGTTGTATGAAGGTCGCTTGTTATTTATATGTATACAAGACCAATGATACTAATTAGACACCACAATGCTAAGATCTGTGTGGTGATCATAAGCTCTTAACCACAGGTATCAACTGCAAATAACAGACACCAGAATGCAATTGTAACGTGCGCCACTTCGTCTGGTTGAGTTTCTCAGTTTATAAATCATTTAGAACATCATCATACAATTGAATAAGTGAAATAGCTTACATTATGTTATCCAAGTTTGACGCTTAGCCTGTGTGGCTTTCCCAAGTCGCCAGCACTTGTTGGACAGCAACGCTTGCTGGTACAAAAGCTTTCATCGCCCGGCCAAAACGTGTAAGTTTTCCACCATCCAAAGCGAGAGTCTCATATCGACCACATCTCAGGTCTTCGCACTGCTTTTCAGCCATGGTCTGCTCCAGCTTCTTCAACTGCTCCGTCGGGGTTTTCAGATCGATACCGTCGACCATCTGGTCAGACCATTCCAGTGAGAAGGGTTGAGGAATTGACTTTTGGACGGGTTCGTATGCCTCTAAAAGCGACTTCAATGCGGTTTTGAGACGTACGAGGTTTCGAAGGTTCAAATCAATATCATCAAAGTGATGACAATTGAGATCTTCCAAGTGCTTGTCTGTCAGGTCTTTGTCCAGTTCCTTCAACTTCTCTACCGGGGTTTGCAGGTCAATACTACTGATAAAACGATCATGTCTGTGTTCTTCTTTCGACCCTTGGATGTATCTATTGTGCTGGTTGCTGGAGTTTTCCGAATCACCCTGTCTTTCGTCATCGTCGTCGTCGTCATCGTCAATGCTCTCTTCTGCTTGACTCGCTTCTCTACAATGATAAAAGCCACCGTCAGACAAGTTTTCACTTTCCGCTTGGCCAAGGTCACTTCTTGAAGCTACCGCGCTTGACATGGCGTCGTCCTCATTGCTATGAGCTTCCATTCCGTTGATAGAATCTGTATCCTCGTCGGAAAGTATTTCAACGACTGGCGCAGGTTTAGAAGCAGTTCCAGCTTCATAACTCTGGCTTTGGACATGAATCGCATCCCCTTGTGCGTTCTCCATCGTGGAGCTGTCAAATCTTTGGTAACCGTGGGCTTCCGTCGATTGTGGTGGAGTGATAGACAGTTCCCACTCAGGATGATAACGCGGCTCAAGGCTTTGAAGTATATCGACACCACAATCTCCCACTACTTTCGGGATCTCCAGTTCTTCTTGCATACCATAAATATTCCGAGTCAGATCTTTAAGGAAAAAGCTCTGCTCCTCCAGAGCTATGTTGAATATAAAGTTCAAGGTTTTGGATGTTTTGTTTTTGACTTTCGTCTTTCCCATAAGGTTCTGAAGAACTAAACGGGGGCTTTCCTTCTTTTCTCGGGACCGAATGACCCACCGTAATAGCACGCATAAAGGATAGATTAAATCTGTACACTGTCAGTATGTAAGAGACTACTAAGAGAATTTGCACTGACCTTGTTTTGTAGGTTTCTTGATTTCCAGACGTGATTCGAGGTACTTTCTGAATTCTGAACATACCGGGCTTTTCAAATCAACCCAAGCGGACAGCAATTCTCTCAATGTATCGAGATTGATTTCCATGAATTTCAGCCAGTACGCCATGAAAAGGTCTCGCGTGCCAAATCGCACTTCCCGCGAGGTGACTCTGCATTCATGGTCGCGAGAGTATATGTTCAACTCCTCTCCGCATATCAGACACTGATAGAATTCTGGGTTCTTTTTTTCTGGGTGGCTGGATATATTATGCGACAAGTAATGGCCTACCACCAATGTGGCAAAACGGCATGGCTTGCAAAACAGGTAATCTTTCGCCCGGGCAACAGGCTTCCTTGGATCCATTGTGAGTTTTATTCGCTCTTTCTTGTGTTCCCCCCACGAGACTGAAAATAGTCTACTGAGAACTTCCTCGAAGCAGTAGCCACGGCCGCCCTGCGGTACTATGGCGTTAGGAAACTTTGTCTTTTCTTCAATCTTGATCTTGAATGTCTTCGGGTCGAATATGAAGTGGTCAACTGCAAGATATCGCTTGGCCCGACGCGTTGATAGAGATTGAGAATTACTCTCAGCGAGTCTTTGCAACTTCTTTAGAAGCTCACTCCAGGCCGGGGTAAAGCCCCAATCGTCTCTATGCTCGGACAGGATGTTCTGCCGAGCATGTGGAGTTTTCAATATCGAAACCGCGGCTTCGACATTTTGCTCATGTTGATCAACGTTCGGCTTCAATCTCGCATAAGACTCATTCAGATATCCCAAGTTCCATTGACATACCAGCTTTTCAAGAGCACTCTCGGGCATGTATCTGAAGCACATTTTGAAATAGTCGTCAACTGCGCAGGGGTTATGGGTGTCGATAAACCTTTCTTTAGTTCCGCACAAGGTGTGATTTGTGTTTTTTGAGCAGATTCCACACACAGGTAGCTCATCGGAATGACAGTTGGAACATTGCTGTTCAAAAAGTATTCTTGTTTCCGTCGCTGCGTAGTTGCAGACTGGGCACCGAATCCAACGAATTTCCGACATACGGCGCAAGTCTTCTGCTGACCTTCCTGGAAATAGACAGAGTCTGTTTTCAGGAGCACCATCCCATATATATAATAGCTTGACCGTTTGAATCTCCGAATGGCACCATTCTCCTTTTAGGAGGTCATCTCCTGTATCGGATTTGAAGCAACCGTGAGATGTCGCTTCGTATCGATCTTTGCACAATCTCCTACATGCGCATTTTACATGGCGATTAGGGCATTTATCCTCGTGCCCTTTCAATCTGTCTCCTCTTATACCATACTTGAAACATAGAACACAATCAAATTCCGGCCTAGCCGTCTTTTTCGATTTCTTTGCTTGGGAGCCAGTTTGATTCGATGCCTTTCGTTTTGTCGAAGGTTTATTTGACGTCTTATTTGTCGCTAGTTTATATGGTTGACCTTTACCAAGTGGAACCTTTCCTGAGCTTCGCAATTGGGGTGTCATCGTGAATGTAGCTAAAAAGTAGCCCTCGATGAGGGGGGTCCAATAAAGGGGAGAGAGGATAACAAAGTATAGAAAACGAACAGTAAGTAGTAAAATAAACTCTAAGGGGGAAATAGGGTAGAAAGAAGACTCCCCCAAGGTTAAAGGGCTGATATAAAGGGCTGATTGATCGACAAGTCATGAAGAGTGAACAGAACCCGGATACTTCTTTGAGTACAGTCCGGGAGTGTGTCATGGGTCTGCGCCCCGTCAAAGTGCAAGGATGACCAGTATCAATGACTAAGGGATTGTGACCGATTATGTGTGGCAGTTGGTCTGGGGCTGAACTGGATGTTCCGCTATTGGCTCTGATTATATGACCCACCATTACTGATGGAATCCATGGCAGCGATAGGGGGTTTGAAAATCTCCACGGCCAGGCCAGTCTAGATGCTCGGCACAATTATTTACAAAGATGTATACACCCTAATTGCAAATCAACCCCATGTCGTAAGTATGGGTAGTCATTGGGCATGCTTATTTGATACCGCAGAGGCCTTGCTTCGATTCCCGGTGTAACCGATGCAAAGATGCTAATATGTTCGATAATTTAATTTAAAATAGATAAGCAATACCAGTAGAGTTCCTTGAAGTGAGACCGTTAACCATAACTAAGGTCTCTGTATTAACTGTAAGCTTTCAGCCACAAGTCTGACTTTTAACCATAAAGGCATACCTATTCGCTGGAAAAGCAATGTTAAATAATAGAAGCGACTAGATTTTGTTGCTTATAATCGTCCGCCATATGCAATACACTTGACGCATCTCTATAGAACCTGAGAAGACCCCTGACAACTAGATCTAATAAGATGACTCTGCACAGAACTGAATCGGCGGGGATAGAAACCTATGGACAGAGTATAAGATTTATTGGTCATCGTGGAAGCTTTTAGGTGCAAGTTTGTGTTGTGAAGAGGGGGGAAAGATATTATACCACAATCACTCATATCAGCACCCTAAAGTTTAACCTTCTGGCCAGCAAGTAGTTGTATAGCTATGGACAGCAATCATCATATACGGCAGAGGAATTCCTCAGCCTTGTTTTCGTGTGTACAAGTTGGTTTAATTGTAAATGATGAGCCAGTCTATTTGATCGACCATGAGCCATCGTATGGTGCCTTTGTAGTGCCAGACTCATCTTTATTGTTGATATGAACTTGTTATGAGTGATCTGCATTACATTGAAGATGGTGCAGTGAGAACCAACAGGGGCAGGAAAGGGGAAGCCGAAAACTGATTGGCGACGAGTTGCGGCTGATGCCAGACCGCTCTTTCCGAAAACCCTGCAAAGCTCAGTGAAGTACTACGAATTGAGTTTAAAAGCCGTGAGATGTAATCTAACAACTTCATATATTCGTTTAATCTACATTCATCTTTACGTATTTGTCAAGCGAAAGGCCTCAGCCTGTTCCCAGTGCAGCTGACCATATATTTCAGACTGCAATCAGCTCTTGAAATCAAAGCTTTTACGAAAGCACCTCAGCCTTGTCGTTTAGGCGGGTATTGAGTTCAGCAGAGCCTCATTCTAGCGAGGCAACTAATGTGGCAACCGCAGCAGGGTTCCACTACAAAGGACGCTAAATACGCACTTCTCGACGCAGTCACACATAACACCCTGTATTTTGCAGAAAATCAACAACAACGATACAACTGCCGATGTCACTCTCGCCATGGCATTGCCCTGTCATATCTTTGAGTCCCTTGCTAGCACCATCCTCCAAATACAAGGTTGGGTAAAGTGTGGGCGGCTACCGGATCAGTGAGCCAGAGCTCACAAGATGTTTCCTTGAGCTGTAAACCTGGCGGGTATCTAAGAATTGTTTCTCTTCAGCTACTTTATCTCTAGTATCTCCATTTCTACGGGTAGTTCTTAGCATTCTAAATAGTAGCAGGAGCTCACATTGATAAATAATGAATCCGAAGTACTAGGTGCCGTAATATGTCCGTCAGCAAAAGGTAGGAATTGGTACCTGGCTCGCAGGTTTGACTGCATGTTCACATCGAAACAACAAGCCACAAGGCTCAAGCTGTAGCCTTTTCTATATAGGGCTTTCCAGACATGCAGGGGCTGCATGGTACTGTCTCAGAAACCGCCGACCGAGTTGGCAATATCTACGGTTGCAGAATATGTAGTCTCCATCTCACAGCAAGATAAAAAAAACTTTTTTAATCATTTTCATCAGTGCGGATCTCACCAACACATTAAAACGTTCTTAAAGTCATCTTCTCTGGACCAAGGGCACTCTCAACAGTAACTTTCATGAAGATTGTCAGAATGCAGTTACCACGTACGCCTGCTTTTATTGAGAATATGATGAAGTATTTCCAGGAACGAGATTTCCCAATACTAAGTCTGGACCAGGAATTGGTCTGCACTTACAGGCAGAGATATTACAACTCCAGCTTTACGGAAGAAATCAACGACGAAAGACTATTGCAGCTTCCGTATGCCGCAAGTCTTTATATCACGAGGTCTATGTGTAAACCACTATTTATCTTGGAACCTGAGGGGAATGATCTAGGTGACATCCGATCTTCAAAAAAATGGATGACCGATACATACAAGGCAATTTTGTGCCGCAAACCATCCACTCATCTAATCCGCGCCCTACTGCTTGCTGTACTCTGTTTTCAGCGTGAGGACAACTTTGCCCAGGCTTTGGAGGCCTTTGAGGAAGCGACATCTATGTTTCGTGCTATTTCGTCGTAAGTCTTTGCTTCTCAATCAGAGAGTTTAACTGATATTTATCATAGGGGCTGGGATAAGCTCACGATTGAGGAGAGGCAAGAACTCATTGTGATCGCCTGGGAGTTTTCTGAGTATGTACGGAAGTGGGCCATTTCTGGTGACAAAGCAACTAATTGTTTACCTTGGCCCTGCGTAGGTTTTTGGAGCTAGATAAGCTTGGTTTCGACCCGCCTCTGCTTAACACATGCGACTTGCGAACAGCGACACAAGACTTCTTGTCTAGCCTCTGACGTAATCCCAATGACTATGAGCTCGGCTCCAGCACCATAAAGGTAAGTTCTTGGATCTCGCTTACTGATTTCACGTCATCGGCTTATAGAGGGTACTCGTTTTAAGCTTTATAGGCTCACGATATATAACGCGGTTGACAACTCAGTGTTCCAAACACAAGTTCACTTTCAATCATGTGGTCTAGCTCTGAGCTAGTTTGTCGAGGCAGATTACAGTATCGGTATGGTACCCTCTTGATTCTGAAGCGTATCTATAGTGCTTCCGGCTAACAGAAAACGGGGAAACGGGAATGGGAGTTCTGACTATGTGAGGCCTGACGAATAGATGGAGGATGCCCTCACGAACGCGCACGTTTCGATCTCCTTTCAAATCTACAGCATGATTTTACCGATCTCAGAGTCCAACATCGTCTAGCAGGGACCAAAAGCTTTGAATTTGTCAACATACGAATTTAGGAGACCCTCAATGCTCCCTCCCCAAACTCCACCTATAAACTTGGATCGCGACCTGATGGCAAGTTGCTAGTTGCATATAGATTCGAACAGGCCACAGCGTCTTGCCATCGGTCATCAATCTCCAAAAAGAATGCCTCTATCGACTGTGACAACGGTTTCTCGCGCGAAGTGGTTGCTACTTAATTTGTCAAACCTGCCCAGCAGCCCACCAATCTAATCCCGGCGCTAGATTGACACTTGAGAAGTAGTCTCGAAGCTCATAATTAAGTGTTGTTGTTTGCTAAGATGTGGTGGATCCGGCTCCCTAAGCCCGAGCTTTTCGATGGTTAGACGGCGATGCCGAAAGTACATTTCACTCTCCCCCAAAACTTATTGCCGAGAGGGGTAGACATCCTTGCTTTTCCTTCAATCTTATGTTCTACCTGCAAGTCAGGTTGAATATCCGATCGCGTCAAATATAGCCGCCGTAGACAGTACGCGAGACATCCTCACGCGGAGTTCCTATTCCACGCAGGATAATCGCAGCGCATAAGATCAAATTCAAGTTGATTGGGGTCAAACGATTGTGAAAGATCGCCATCAAATTGGTCTCCGTGATGCTCAGAGGGCTGAAAACAGTCGAGCGTGGAGAATTGTGGCATTGTTTCCAGTTCTGCTTCTTGAGATACCATTGAGGAGAATTCTTCAGGTAGGGTTAAGTATGATTGTGAAGGTCCGACAGAATTTGGAGATTGGTATCTTGCTTCTGAATGTGGTTTGCTTGTATGAGTGGTTGTGGTTGAGTTGCCCTCCAGATCAGAAGTTCTCGATAGCCTAAGCTGGAGCAAACAGTCCCTTTCCTTGGCTACCTCCTCTCTCCCCTTGATTACCCGATCTCTCTCCTTAATCGCGTGGTCTCGCTCTTTGGACACCCGGCCAAGTAATTTCCAAAGGTCGGCAATTTGTTCATTGGGGCACTCTCCAGACAAAATGCGAACCTTCTCCTCTAAATCTACAATTCGCTCTTTTTGCTTCTGTCGGAATTTCTTCGAGGACATGCGACATGACTTTCGCTTCTTTTCTCGACGGTCCTCGTCATTCGTTGGACCGTGCATAACGATCGTGTTCAGAGGTGAGACTGATAAAAATAATAAATGGCAAATCTTGAGAATCAGTATATAGTTATATTCCAGAAGGGAGAGGAAAGGGGAAGGGAATGGTTGCAGAACTAAAGCTGGACAAGCGGAGGAAAGGAACTTCACATATGCTGGATAATGTATGCCTCAAGCCAGGACAGGCGAGATTCAGGGTTGGCAACACAGAAACAGGGCTTTAGTACTTATATATTAAGGCACGCTATGTTAGCGATTGCCAATCAGTTGTCTCCCCGAAAGTTAAGGGGCTAAATGCCTGTAACCTATGTGACGGCTGCTCCACCCCGCCATCGTTTACGGTGGGGAAGCTAAATCATGCTAGTAATCCGGACTGTGCCGACTACTGGAAGCCCAAACGCTAACCTAACGAAGATCAAAGCAAGGGGCGGTGATCTCGTCAGACCACCGGACGTTTATGGGTCTCAATGGCTTGGCAACCATTGAACCAATCAAATTGTTTGAGCTAAGCCATTTGCTTGAAGTCTTAGGTGGCATCTGGATGTCTCACACTTAACCATAGACCTACAAGCACCCTCTTCATACGACGCTAGCATCCGGCGCATAAGCCTTATTTCCCTTTGTCTGCACGTGATGTGGAATGATCAGGCACGTACAATTGTCAGTATCATTATTTATATACTAGCTGTAAGAGGTTAGCGAAGGGAGAACCTCTGCCTAGTTATTTTCCCTTGCCCCAGCGTCAACTGAAAATCAACATTCCATGACCTTTAATTTATTTTCTTTTTTCTCGTTTTTAAAGAGGCTCCTATAATCATGAATCACTCTCAACGCGCTGTTAACATAAAATCACGAGAATACCTAAGTGTACAGGATTGCATCGTTAGCAAAATGTTACATTGATGGTGTGGATTTCTGAAAGAATTGTGCTCTAGTTCGTTGGTGAGATGGGGAGAATGAAATGCACTTAACATTACAAAAGTTTAAGTTCCTAACTACATATAGCAGACAGCTTTTATACAGAGGATGGGTTTCAACTTCTGGTCTTTATGTGACTTTCAGCTAGTAGTATATGTATAGTATACTGAAGAAACAGAGAAGAAAGAGGGTTTCTTGCCATTCTTCGCCAGCACCAGTCATGGAAATACAGGACCACTGATATTCGCCTCCGACACCTGTCGCCCAAAGGAAAAGAGGGTAGGACGCGCAATATAAAGTGGTTTTCAGCCCTTACGTCTGTTTGAAAAGCCATTACTCTTGGTAACTATGTCCTGAACTCCCAGAGACTGAATTCTCTCAGTGCATTCAAGTACTGCCAATCATGGGTTCAGCGTGTGCTCGACACCTCGATCGCCTTGGACTCCATCCAAAACAGCCGAATGTCGTGGATATTCGACTGCACTGCACCTGGGATTGTGTTTGAACTTGCGAATCATTGGTGCTGAACTGCAGACAATAACAATATTGCTTTCAATGGACAAAAGGAATATGCCATTTGCCAACAAGGGTGTTGGGTCGTTGTTTTTGAGCCCGATAACCAGAATGACGAACCGGACCACAACAGCCCCTAGCGGGAATATGCCGCTGCCGACAGAAACAACTACTCTCATTCTATCCTTCCGCGACTGCGTATTGCGAAGGGTGCAGACTAGCATGGTAAACATAAGTATCATGTCTGCCATAACCCCGATAACGGCTTGTGCCACATAGAAAGCATATACTCTGCGACAGTGGAGTGAGCATGGAACCTGAGACTGTTCACACCCGCTAACTTCAAGCAAGAGAACTACCCACAGAGCGGCGAAGGGACAGATTATCAAAGAAACCACAGCCCGGATGGCAAAGGCGGGGTACCGAAACCAAAGGTTTTCCAACGCCGAGTAGTAGATGACACAGATCACCAATTTTGCAAGAACAGTGCCTGGGATTACCACGAGGTTGGCAACAAGAATCTCCCAAATAGCATCGTTCACGGTGCCATTGTGTATGGAAGCGAGGGTTATGGCCCCGGCTATCGTGAACATCCAGGCAAGAAGGATCATATCTTTGATATGAATCAGCGGCTTCCACTAACAGAACACACCCTGTAGCGGAAATCACTTACAATGCTGAAAGCGCCACTCGTGGAGAATGAAATATGTTGTGCAGAGACATGCCGCCAGGAAGAGTGTAGAAACGGTGCATGCGATGCCAGAAGTGCAGTACATCGCATTGATATTGATCATACCCTTCTGCGGTGTCTCATCGCCACCGATCTGAGGGTACTCCATCATTGGCTGCACGATGAATAAGGTGAAAAACAGCAGCTAGGTGGTGAATGGGAGCTCTGGCATAGGTACCTATTCAGATATCGAGGTTCAGTTGACAATTACCACCTCAAGTCTTTATTTCGCAACGTTTTATTGCTTTTATACAATCCTCATCCCTGATACTGTTTTTTATCATCTCTGTCCAGGAAGGCAGGGTCATTACTCATTCTCAAGATTGTTTTCTCTTCCCTCGGCAACCATTCACGCCGGAGATCGTTTCCCGATAGAATCAAGATCACGAAACTTTGTTCGTTGGCTCAAGTCACCCATGTCAGATATATAAGAAGTACTTAGACACCTGTTGGTAAGCTAGGGTTGGTACCTATCGGCTTGTCCGGATCCTATGGAGACCCCAGCTACCTAGGGTCTTTGGTCTTGCCAAATGATAACACCAACACTTCAATCGTGGGAAAATGGTTTCACTAGACAGAGATGATCCCCGATCAGATAGCCAACCTGGCCGGGGGTGGCGGCGGGATATGGGGTCACCCTTGACTGGCCCTGCAGGTCTTCATTCCGGTACCCCACCAACACCGCCGCCACAGTCAAGCTACGTACAGTAACAGCACGGACAGGAGCTGAGTTTTGAGGGCTGTTCTTCTTTCCATTCGATACCCGCCTCATTGTGTCCCGTGCAGGCGGCGTCGCAGCTACCGCGTTCTAAATCCAACATTGGGACTGCAGGCGTCAAGTGCGTTGGGCCGCGCGCCCTAAGGGGAAGTGGAAAATGAAAATAAGAACGAGAAGAATAGCAAAAAGGATTAATAGGGTTTTCTATATTTGACTCCTGTATTATAAATAGTCCCACGTAATATCTTAAACCAGATATTATAATGCAATTATTAGCTTGTTTTTATTAGCAACCCTCTCATCTCTTCATCAAAAATCCTCAACTTCTTGGGCTGATGACTGCCATCTTCACGGGCATCCAAGTGTTAGATCATGCAAACATTTGAAACGCACAACTACTCCTCTCTCTTCCATAACTGCAACTTTCTCCTCAACTCTATACCGATTCAGTAGATCAGACAGCCATGCAGACATACACTCAAGGGAATGTTCCCCTTATCTCTGAGGGTCAGTGTGATGAGGAGGGCTTCGATCCAAACCAATCGTTCTGCATATCGGATAAAATGCCTGATGAATCAACTGATCCATCTTCTTGGGGAGCGTCACAAGTTAGACTTCAACAAAGCGATTCACTTCAACATCAACATTTTCTATTGCCTGAAACAATTCAGACTAAAAGGACTCCAGCGACAACAAAGCAGGTTCAGCGTAAAAGAGGAGTGAAGCATGCCTCTCGCATTGGAAAAAAACAACAAGGTTAGTCTCATGCCACAGGGCGCGTCGTGTTTAGAACAAGGCACCTTGAGCCATTTTGCTAAACTAATGGCACTGACCCAGAGTAAAACAGACAAAGCAAATCTCTGGCCATCTAAGGTCAACGATATCGATTCATATGGGTCTCCAAGACAACCACCGTCCCTTGACGCGGAGCACAACTTTGCCTCCCCAAAGGAAGCCAGAACCGCTTCAAGAAGAAACCGATATCAGCGTTATTGGGGAACGGTTTGCAGAAAAAAAGAGATCTATCAACAGGCAAAATACGCCCCGAGTTTACTGCAGCAACTAGGAAGTACTCCACAGAATCTACCAGCTCAGCAGATCTAAACTTCGCGAACATTGATCTTATCTTAGGTGGAGTCTTAAGACCATTGAGACTCCAAACACGCCAGATGAAGCAAGGTGGTTCAGTGCAGATTTCCAAGCCTTAAAGGGAGAGGTGATTTTCTAAGCCGGTCTCGAAGAACTCATGTTATTGACAACACTGTCGATGATGATGGGGCTTCTGATGGTGCGGAAGACAATTGGATTCATTGCGGTGGCTACTTGGCTCTTTTTATACTCTTTTCTTGTCATATTGGGGATTTATTTCGTTCAGAAACTTAATACCGTTGTTAGTTACCTTACTTAGCCGTGCGCGCTGTAGCTATACAGGCGATATGGCACGTTGTGCCGACCAGGTAATGGTCGACATCTGCGCTTCCACATAGACGTTGGCGTTTAATCTTCCTTTTACATCCCAGCGAAAGAGACGCCATTGTATAAGCTATTCTTGTTGTGCTGAGGCTGCTGATACAGCTTGGTTTGGTTACAGAGGGGCCAAGCTTTCGTTGCTTTAGTCAGCATCTGCCCAATGAGTAATCCTTATTGTCTTATTCTGCCCAGTCAATCCATCTTTAACCGCAGTTACCCGATGTAAGTACGCTGTAAATAATCGGGGCTAGTACAAACATAATTATGGAGTCCATTATAAGCCATGAGGAGACGTTGAACGGGATATAAGTTAAAGTTCACGAACAGATTGCGTGATAAGCCTAAGTAACTAGATAAATTCTAGCTTAGAGTCTCTATGTAGATAGAGATAATAATTCAGCCTGCTGCTTGTCCTGCCTAGCTCCCCTGCTTGGCTTCACGTTTGTCCTAATAATTAAATCACGTAGCCTGTTTGTGGGCCCAATCGTTTGTTAATCACGCCTTACCCTACACACTCGGTATATTATTATATCATCATTCAACAGCCAATGGAGCCCCATAAAGCAGCCACTGTCTTACTTCTTAATTACTTAAGATTTATTACTTAACACACGTGTTTGAGGTTGAGACGACTGCAGATATTACCATGATGGGCCGAGGTTTGGATGTCAGCTGTACAGCGGACGAGATAATCAAGGATGAGCGGCCAGGATTGTCGAGAAGAAAGCGCAGCTGAAGCCAATATCAAAGAGCATGAAGTTTAGTGCCGCTAGTGATTCATGTCACAAAGAAGCCCATCTTTCTAGTCCCTTTCTCCTTACAACAGTCAGAGTCCTGTTTATCCCACAACTGCATTTACTACAATTTGGCGACTAAAATTCTAGATAAAAAGAATTGTTAGGGGGAAGCAGGGTAGTAGGTTGCCTTTTATTACTGCCGAGGTTATAACCCCTTGTGACGTCAGAGTCGACAATTGGCCGGAACTACAAGGTATGAGGGAATTTGCGCCACCAGCGAGATAAATGTTCCTGCAACAAAGGTAGGCTAGGGCCACACAAGAGGGCGCAAATGCGTGTTATACATGCATGTGCTCAAAGGATCGCCTGTCAGAGTCAACGCACGATCGCTCGTGCCGACCCGCAAGCGCATCTCGAACGCCACTGCGCCAGAAGTACTCTAGCCCCATTATTCATCTTCCTACTCGTATAGACATGTAATGCGACTCATAGTAACAACCGCAGACCTGAAAAGCCTACCCCACGACGAGACGGTATGTCTTTTCCACTGTAGGAAACACATATCCGAGCGAAATTTTTTGGAATAGAGCTTGGAGTTTGAGTCGCCTGACCCTGTTAAAGATATGCTAAACGTGACCAAAGGGATATCTCGTGATGCTAGGAACGTGTAAAGCTTTTGTGTCGTAAGAACTTGCATCACCCTTCCACAGACGTTGTTAGTCGAGGTGTCGCGACTGTGACGGTCATTGGTTGGCATGACGTCATGGCCCATAATTGCCCGGCACTGCGGGGTATGAGGGAATTACTGTTCGGTCACATTGACAATCACATGCTCGAGTATCCGTAGATCAACAGTTTCTGCAAGCAATTGAATTGGGCCACCATATGCAAGAAATCCCAAGCTGCCCAGGGATTTATATCGCCAGATGTACCAGCGAGCTTAATTGCTGGCTTCTGATTTCCAACGACATGGATATCGACATGGATACCGATAGTGTATGGGTTAATCTTGTTCCAGGCCTTGAGCGGGAGCTTCAGGTTGGTGACGTATGTCGAAGCCGCACTCTGTATGTTATGTGATGCTCTTCCCTGTAACATGATTTCTTACTTCTACAGACAGAATAAGCTTTCGAAAGACTCCGATATACAACCCATCGACGAAAAGCATATAGCCTATCTTGGTAGGCTGATTGAGGAATGCAATGCCAAGGAAGTTTTTGGAATACATCTCGGACATAAACATTTCGACTTGCGAGAAGGGACATACCTGGCCGGCGGGCTTGATACTGATGATAACCGACAATATTATTGGACCAGAGCCGTTGAAAACGACGGCTTTGACCCTAGCAAACTTTGTGGTCATATATTCATATATGATAGAGAGGAAGGATTTGGCCCTTCAGAATTTCATCAAGGGTCGCTGCCTGATTTGTCCACAGTGGATCGAAGACTGTTCCCGACGTTTGGCAGGTACCTTACCAAGCATATGCTTGAGCATAACATTGCGCTGGAGTACCTGATTCCCGAACTCCGCGGAAGGGACATGTTCGAGTTGGTTCTCCACGAGCAGCAGCACATACTACTATGCGAACCGGAAATAGTATTACCTAGTCTGGGGGATTCAGTTGTGACGGCATACTCGTACGTTGAATCAGGGGTTGCATTTGGACCAGGTACAAGATATATTACTCCCCCAGGAACCAACAAACATATAACATTTAATCCGGACGACCTAATCGAGCTTAAGGAGGTTATAGATGTATTCAGAAAGCTTGAGTTCTTGGGCATCTGAATCCGACTCGGGTTCCAGGTTGTCGGATCAAGTAGTCCCCTGCTTCTCCTTTCACGCATAACATAACAAAGCAATCCCCTCCATGAATAGGTACTGTCACGTCTATAGCAGGGACAATCAAATCTAGCTGCATGTTCACTAGACCCTTGATGGCGCTGGGGTGCACCGTATAGATATCTGCCTCCGGACGTGCTAACCATGATGATCCTTGAAATCTGTTAGCACACGAAGTTTATGAATGGGCTCATACGACCTGCGACAGCGGAAATGTCGGCCGTTTGTGGCTCGGGAATGTCAGTCGTCTGAGGCTCGGTAGTGTCGTTAGATTTATATTTCCGCTTTTTTCTTTGGCTCTTGGCTATAGCTGTCTTGCTGCAAGCAGCCTCGAACTTAGACATTTCTTCTAAATCATTATTGGTAATCGTTCGCATGTGCGATATGATGATAGCCTACCTATTCCCCAGAATTTGATTCCTGCTTCGTGATTCTGATCTGAATGTAAAACCTGGCAAAATGGTAGATAATTAAAGTGAGGATGGAGTTTGCGCTGTTGTATAAATATATCGCAGTATTTGATTATATATTCGACTGAGGTCTTGCTGAAGCTTTTAATGCTTTTGGTCTCACTTGCCGTTGCAACGAGGAGGTTCATAAAGAGACTGCCCTTACAGAGATCAGCAAAGGGCTTTCTCTCCTTTTCAGGACGATTATTCTCTTTAACCAGTATCTTCATATATTCGGTAAGCCTCTTCGTTCGATAATTCTTGCGTTCTTCTCGCCGAAACTCGTTTACCAAGCAGGTCCAGTCTCTCATTATCACCAGTCGGTTTAGTAGCCCTGATGTTATTCCAATCAGATCATCAAGCTTCTGTTCATCGCCATCATAGTAGTCCAGTCCTGAATTCAGACGACTCAAAAAGCCGGTATAATCATCTAACGAAAGTTGCGTCATGACTCAAGGATCCAATGGTCTGGGATGGGAGTCAGAAGGGAAGAAATATCGATCAAGTGTTAAACCCAAGGTCAGGAAGTGACTTGAAAAAATGGGAGTCAGCAGCTGACTTGAAAAAATGAGAGTCAGCAGCTGAGTGGGAAAAATAAGAGTTAGCAGCTAAGTGGGAAAAATGAGAGTCAGCAGCTGACTTGAAAAAATGAGAGTCAGCAGCTGACTTGAAAAAATGAGAGTCAGCAGCTGAGTCGGAAAAATGAGAGTCAGCAGTTGAGTCGGCAAAAGTGAAGGAGCAGGGGTGTGAGAAACCCTTGCAGATAACCAACTGTTGTAACTTGGGCCGCTAATCCCGTAATGTATCTCCGATCAACTTCACGCAAATCTACGACTAACGCGCCCTCACACTAACTTTCAATAACATGAAGTTCTAAGAGCTCTAGATGCTGTCTATTGTAGAAATAATAAGGCCAGAAGCGTATTGTATGTAATTCAAGAGCCCCTCTCAAGCAAGGCTTGTGCACAGTAGCATGCGCGACCTTTGCAGGCGTTCTCCTACAAACGTTAAGTACAATACAGGTTCAAGAAGGTGGGGTATTACAGGTGGTGCAGGATAATCTAACAGCCTCATATGAGCAAACTGCTAGGGACTACAGACAGTTACCAACACTATCCCTGTATCAGTAATCCCTCTATAATCATACCAATTTCACAGCAATTTTTCAGCAATCTTTCAGCAATTTCTCAGCAATTTCTCAGCAATTTCTCAGCAATTTCTCAGCAATTTTTCAGCAATTTCTCAGCAATTTCTTCTATACAGCCTGAAATCTACAGTTACTATGGAGCTAAATATCGCCAGAGAGAAGCCTCATAGGAACCACTGCCTTTCAGATGCTGAGGCGTGGTTGAAACTCAACCCAAAAAACCGTGTTTTGTGTCGTCGTGAACAAAAGATGCTCCAAGGACTTCTTGATGGGCTATGCAAGCCAGAAGTCCTTCGTGGGTTACTGAACGCACAAGGTCAGCGTTACGCCAAAGTCTTGCTTCCTATGCAACAGATCATTGAAATATCACATGGTGCGGCAGTCCTTTGTGCGGCGAGGCTTGGAGTATCCGCACTCCTCAACATGAGAAAGGAGCATATCTGTTCATTGATACAAATGATTAAAGAGAATTCTTCCTTCTTTTCATCCCCTGAACTCGAGAATCTTTTTCGAGAATACGATTTTCAACGTCTAAGCGCAGATCCTTCAAGATCAGTTCCGAGTGAGCCGCAACTATTTACATCAACGGCCCATGTCGCGGCGGAGAAAAGTCATGATAGAATTCGTGCTCAAGGCACCCAAGACCTTGGAAGTTCAGGACCGAAAATCTCCACAAAGATGCAAGGGTGTTCAGAGTCAATTTTCCTGCTCTGTATTGGCACACCCGCTGATCAAAACATTGTCAAAGGCGATATGCTAGGAGTCCGCCTGAACTTGCTTGATATCGAAACACTCCACAAAGATGTAGCAGCCATCTTGGACAAAAAAGAACTAGATCAGATGAGACGGACCTTCGGCAAAACCTTTATCAAGCGAGATAATGAGTATGAAGTAATCCATCAAGCGATTCTAACCATGCTATTCGCTCGTGCCAAGGACCATGTTGAAGCTGAGTTCAAGTCGTGGAAATGGCTGGTATTCAATGTACAAGAAAATACTTTGCTGAACCACATTATGGAAAAGAAAACATCAAGCGTCTTGATTCTGCTGGCAAACACGCAGCATGATTGGGAAGAGTTGTCGATGGCCGACCTTTACAGCCATCTTCAAATGCTGTCAGCAGGCCATGGGAGCCTTTCTATCTGTCCAAGTGAGACGGAGAGCCGGTCGGCAGCTTGCAAAATTGCAGATATACGCATTCTGGATATGATTGCTCGAGATGCTGATTGGAAGTACTCTTACCGTCCAAGGACTTGCTTCGGCATGGGGAAATGTACTTTGCCTAGTACACTCGTCAAGCGGATGGTGACCAAACGTGGCTATAGTTGTGGTGGTGCTGATGTTAAAATCGTTGAAAGCACGACGCGTGACAACCTTCAATGTATTGAAACTCCACGATCCGACTCAGAGCCCTCCGACCTCCCGCCCGACATAAGACAGCCAAGGTTTTTTCATCAGGAGTATATCGAATCGTTGCAAAAGTTAGGCGAGTATCGCGTCTTTATCTCACGACGCCAGGTTCTTGAGATCGCGTTTACAACAGTCAATCATGACATGGAGCCTCCACATTTCGCCGCTGAAAAGGCGACACCAAATCACTTCAAATGGTTCTCGGATGATCCTGAGAAGCGAAGACAAAAGCTGGAAGAATTAAAGGACTTTGCATTGTATCAAAACTCCCGTCTCCTGGACCATCCCGACAATATGGAGAAGTTCGGATCCGTTCACGTCGGGATACGCCTGGATATCGGAGTTTCCGAACTAAACGGCGATGGAAGGTTTTTTGTCTCTGAACCTACAAGATTTCCTATGGCAGACCAGCTATCTAACCTTATTCTTGATCGGCCACATGTTTCTATTGCAAAAGACTGGGGGGAATCAATGATCGAGCAACATAGACGCCGCATTAGGGGCAAAAAGCAGATATAATTAAATGACCATGAGTCTTAGAGGCCCTGGTCGAGCTATGCAATAAAAATAACGAGATCAGATCTGTAGCATGTGTTCCTCCAGGTATCTCTGGGTGGGCTGCTTCCAACGTTTGCGTGATTTCGAAACCTCAAACTCTTCCCAATCCGATTTTCCTACCAGTTGAACTCTCAATAAAGTTTCCCCCCCTGCCAACCTATGGCCCAGAATCTTGAAGCACCGTTCTGGAACGTAAGGTTTCTCACCGCTCTCCTCCTCGCGCAATCCCGGGTGACTTTGCCAGTAAGTCTCGAGAGCCGCAGGATATTTCTTCTGGACGTCTACCTCGCTGATCCATTTTCCCTTACAAATGTCATAAAGGATACAGAATTCGAACTCTGCTTTTCCATAGTCCCTATCCTTGCGATGGCTAAATATCATCACCGGAACTGGTTTCGGTTCACCAGAAGCTGTCATTTTCCAACACACATGCTGTGCATGCGGATATAGTGCTCTTGCTTTCGCTAAAGTCATACCCTTGGGCGACCTGAATTGAGCCTTATGGACCCTCTTGAGCTCCGTTAAATATGATTTCATTGCGCGGTTGAGCCTGAAACGGGGGTCTCCAACCAGCTGGACGACACAGTATCCCTCATCTTCCCCTTTGGCTTTGGGCTGCTGAGATATAATTCTGAAGGCTTTCTTGCAAACCTTGTCGTGCGGGCGACCTGCAACGTCTTCTCGTGACTCCCAGAATGTGTTGAAAGTAAATTCGTCCTCAGTCTGAACCCTTTCTTCTGGTACCCAGCCAAAACGGCCGTCTCGTAAATAGCAGAAGAGGTAAAGTTCACCGCGAAGTAAGTGCTTGGCGATGTAATCAAGATCCCTGGCAAGGTCTACTCCTGTGAGATCTAGTAGACCATCAGGGACCTTTGATGCCTTGTCTTGGTTTGACATTGGGGTATCTGTCCCGTTATCGGCACCGCTAGTGGTTGCTTGAGAAACCACAGCCTCGTCAAGATCGGGCCCAGAAGCACAAGAGTTAGAGGTGTCAGGCTCTTGGATCATAAGCTCTTCTGGGATTATATCTTGGCTTGCCGTAGGTGCATCTATCTCATTTTCTAGATCGCTCGCAGTTGCTTCGGAAGTCATAGTCTTGTCAAGATTGAGGGCAGGACCAGAGGCATGGGAGGTATCGGGGTCTTGGTCAACATGCTCCTCTGCTGTTGTGTCTTCGTTTGCCACTGGGGCATCCGTCTTGTCGTTTGGACTCTCTGCAGTTGCGTGGGGAGGCACAGCCTTGTCAGGATCGGCGATGGGGTCAGAATTCTGTCCAGGCAAAGATAAGCCTCCTCGTCTCCGCTTATTGTATTTGAACTTTTCGTCATCGCGTGGGTTTTTCCGACTCATGATGAATAAAGATATACCTGCAGAGGTTTACTGTCGCGAGGGCGATGGAGGAGGGGGGCTTGGTCTTCTTTTATGTTATGCAGAACCGTCTTTCATTGCCGTGTTCTCACTGACCGGACTTTTTGGTGGCTGTATTTCTTGCGATTAATTGGCTGTAGCCAGCAACGAAAAAGACTGGTCGGAGAGGGTGTTGGGAGACACTCCTAAACACCCCCGCACGGAGTCCAACCTTGGAGCTGAAATGGCACACCCACGGTTTGTGGGGTTTGAAAGTCGCCTCGTTATATCAGGCAAAAGGGTGTGAGGTTGGAAGCTGGATAGGCAACTGGCAGCACGCAGCATGGATATTCCCAGGGCACCGGAAGAAAGATAAAAGTCCAACCCTTGGCTCTGCAGCTTGCCGATCGCAACTTTTCGATTTCCTTGGGCTGGGATTTGGGACGCGCCAATCAGCAGGCAACCAGAAAGTGGGCCAAAGCCCGCTGCATAACAGTGAGGCCGCGGAAAATAACAGGGTATGTAATATTAAGTATATGTCTATTAGAATATAACTTGAAGGGATATTTGTAAAATTGAAGAAGCCTCACATCTGGCAATAATTTAATTTCATGCTATTATACTCAAATCAGGGTATCTAGCCTGGGTACTTACGTCTGGTGTTTTTATACCCCCCTGGGGTTGAGGTGTATGAGCTTGGACTTTAACTGCGGTACAAACCAACAAGGGGAGTCCGGTGGTTGCCTACAACACACCCCCTCTCCAAACTCCACAAGTTCTCAGCCTGATTTCGAAAGGGACAGCTTCCATTATTTGTCTGCCACAATATCGCGCCATTGACGCATTGTCACCATTGCTTCCGTCGCCACCATGGCCAACACGTGTACCCATCAGTTTCAGATAATTAACTAAGCCAAGAGCAAAAGTAATAAGGGATGATTCACTGACCCATTTCCATGATGGGAGACGAATGTGCTTTCTATTCATATACAAAGCCATCCTGATATTTATCAGCAGTGGCGACGCGTGACATTGGCAGTGGGGCATCCAGGTGCATCTCGCTCCATTCTAGAAAGGATCGATCGAGGATATGGGCCTCGTTCCTTCCAGCCCTCACTAATGAGCCTCCGCCTGATACACACAGAGTGACGCATTAGTGCATGCACAAGGATGCCATTTGCTAATGCTAAGCTCCTGTTGCTTTCCGTGCTGGACTTAAGCAGAAAGACAGGGCAGGCGAGTCTTTGATGTATGAGTACTGTTTCTTGATTCATGGTTGTTGCTACCGTTGGTACTGTTTCCTTCTACGCCTTTATCACTTTGAAACCACGGGGTGCAGGGCAGAGACATACTAGACGGATACATGACGTGTGCAGAGCTGTGTAGTGCTAGAACCTTGTATTTCTCCGGACTAGTCAAGGTCTGAAAATGCAATGCGAAGGGCAAAAAGCATCTTATGATTCTTGAGCGAGTCAGTGGAGGCATCAAGTCTATGGTTTCTTGCAAACAACTACAAGACGTGTCATATAAGGTTTGACTGTTGTCATCTTCAACTCATTGCGCAAATCTGCAGCGAACAGCTGACATTTCTCCTTGCTCCATCCCAGATTCTCAATGGCTGGACGAAAGATGGTCCCTTCTATGTCATAAACAAATGCCAGCCAAGCTAGCCATTCCGACATCTCCTGCTGCTGCGATTTATGCCGAGGTTCAATCGGTACCTGTAAACCCATCCTTAGCTGTTGTTTAGGTTCTCTGCATACCATAGACTTACCTTGTACTTATATTCCTTGACCTCACTAAAGCCAGCAGCCCGTAGCGAACCAAGCAGTTGTCCGGACTCGATAATATTGAATTCCGCCCCCCGCCTTGCACCAGCCTCTAGGAATAGGTTTCCCCATTGCTTCATATAGCTATGCTCCGGTAGCTCCGCCTCTCCATTGAACTCAATGGTCTCTTCGTGGAACTCTGCAACCCCTCCGGGTTTCAATACGTTGAAGACCTCTTTTGAAAACTCGCCCCAGTTACTAATTCTCCCTTTGAGGTCGCGGAGATGTACAAAGTCTTGTGAAGATATCTCAAAGTCTTGAAGATCCAGGCGTTCCACAACTTGACTGCACAAGTGTTAGCGCTGATCAGCTGTCAGACGTCTATGTAGCCTCACAAAGACAGATTAGGCGCAACCCATTCAGGCACTAAGTCTGACAGGTCAATACTGATAACTTTAAGGTAAGGATGTTCATCTGCAAAGTCCCTTGGAATGAGTTAGTTAAATACCATTTAAATCGGACCAAAAGAACATACAAGGCCCAACTACCTAGATAACTGTGTTGGCGTACTTATCATATCACGGAGAGGGTCATACAATACCACTTGCTGTTCCAATATCAAGCGCGCGCTTGTGACTTTTATTAACTAGGACACCGGCTGAAGTGGTAGGAGGCAAACTAACCCGGTAGGTAGCAGGAATCGGTGTCTTGCAAATGCCGAATAATTTAGAATAAAGCTCGTGACTTTCATACCAAGTTAACATAGGATGTTTCATCAGGATGTGGGCTAACCTTAGTTCCCAAGTCTCGGTCCTTTTCGGATCATGTGGCTGCCTGGACCGCCGGCTTAGCAAAGGTCGCTAAGTGTACAGCACTTCCCTTACCATTCATTGATCGGATATTCTCGGTCCCATAGGGTTTTGAGTTGGATGTCTCCAGATTTGATCGTCTTCGTGGAACATGTGCTCTCGTCGTCTCCAATACCTTCATCTGTGAGACCTTCATTTCTGAGACCTTCATCTATGAGACTGTTGCCTTCGGTGCTGTGGTTGGTTGCGAGGTCGCCGTGGGCGATGTTGTCATTTGAAAACGCATTATCGAGCATCCCTTCAGGCTTGTTCTTCTTGACTCTGATATCGAGGATTCTACATACGTCATTCGAGATGCTGTCAGACGGATGAGCTGTCAAAAGGTCGCAATGAGGTCGTAGTTTTTCGTATCCCAGCGCGTCTGAATGAGATCGTTTACGACTGAGGCCGTGGGCAACTGGTTTGAGCATCGTGGCGAGGGGAGAGAAAAGAATGTCGATGAACAAGACCAAAAAAGCGAATAACAAAAGTCAGTTGTTGGAGAGACTTTCGAAATGAGATAGTACAGAAGTTGACATTGACTGATGTTTTTATGCTTCCCATGGCTGAGGATGGTAAGAGAAACTAAAATGTCAGGTAATGTTCTAGGCGAACAACAGCGCGACATACCGATCGCCCATGAACACCGTGATTCAGGCAGACTAACGCCAATAGCGTCGGCCGCTTGAACTGCGATTAGGTTCGGCAATTCCGATTCCGGCATCGTGTATGACAATTCTACCTGACCCTGGCCAACTGGTCTCAACCGAACAGATGGGGAGCCGGCCGGACCATGCAAGGGAGTGCCTCTCGAGAGCATCATCGTGGAGAAGAGATCCACAAGGTTGTTCAGCTGACTAGCTCTGACCATTCTCAATATCCTGAAAAAAGACTTCTTGGAGTCCAAAGGTGGCGGATGGAGAGGGAAAGACCCATCACAGAGTTCAGGCCACAGCACCGAGACAGCTTCTGTGAGGACGAGGGCTGTTGCTTGGTGGGGCTCGGACAACCAGTCAGAAAAGAAGTCTCTTGCCCTCCGTTTCACTCTCTGCCGTGGGGTCAGTCCTCTCGGAGGTTTTGCCCCATTCACTTTCAACTTCATGGTCTCGATACTGGTGGCCAACAAGCAAAGGGACAATAATACAGAGGAATCTGAGGTTTTCAATGTTTTTAAGGGGGCTTTGAGTCGATGCAATTGTAAACCTCCCATGCATACATGGGGATGTAAAATCACACCGATATTCACAACTCAAGGATCTGTTTACATTTACATCCAAGCATCGAAGTGCCTGGCAAAGCATCGACTCTCAAGCCCAGACCCAAGGGGTATGTACATAATAGTGACAAAAGAAATACATATGCCAATCTTATCAGCCTTGAAGCAAGCCCTGTTTCTCCTCATCCAATACTAGTTTAGACCTGCATAAGCCCCTTGATTTAGAAACCAAGCCTGGATGACGACCAGGATGTCGCGCAACAGCTTGGAGATTGAGCTTTTTCTGGTCTTAAAGGCCGGAGTGTTGCTCGTAATGTACACTTCGACTTTTGGTTTACGCGCAGAAATCTGAGTTCCCAAAGAAACTTTCTCAGCCTGACACAATCAGTATACGGCGACAGGAAGGACAAGAATCTACGCACTGTGACTCTAAGCTCTGTAGTGACGCGTACTTCTAGCTTGGTTTGTTTTTCCATGGTTCAAAATGCTCTAAATAAGGCAGAAGGCTCAATGCACCGCTGGTTTGCATGTAGAGAGCGGCCTGGGTATAAGACCGAGCTAAATTTGTACTGAGAACCCAAGGTATGGGCTGCAGAGAGAAGGCTAAGTGTAAAAACCAGGTTGCCTAAGTAGAGGTACTTTATGCAGGGGGGTCGGGGGGGAGTAGAGGAGGCAGCCAGGTGATGGTGCAGCAGTGGAGTTTTGCTCGAGGTTATGAGGGTATTTGTATTTTGAGGCCATCAACTATCTCTCTCTCTATGTATCTACGTACCATCAAGGATGGGTTTACCCCCAACTTGTCAAATATTCCAATCCATCAGGGAACCAGGGCTCATTTCCAAGCTGCCATCCCGAAAACTCAATATACATGAGAACACATTCCATGGGAAGCCCACAGCTGTCGATATGCATAGATCCCTGCAAAAGATGAGGCGGGACAGGAACAAGGATGCGTCGTCGTCTACTGTAGCTTACGGGCGAGGGCTCCCCGGCTCCTTCCCCGTGAATTAATCAGGGGTGAGCCCATAAACGTGAACCCCAATCAGGAAAGCGGACCCACAGAAATGTTCCGCTGTGATATATTTTTATGGGTCCGCCTACCTTTTTGAGCTTCACTGCACTCGGAGCAGCCGTGGCATTCAAACTCAATGTGTTTCTTACTCTTCTCCAAACCGCGGAGCCATGGATACTGACCGCCCCTTTCACGGTCAACTCCATACTCTGGGAATCTATCTCATTACCGTTACTGAAGCACAATCCCCTCAGTTCCTCGTTGATGACGATCGATGGCGACGCATTGTAAGTCACACTCTTCTCTCTTAACCTCCAGTCGCTGATGAGATGAGATCTTGGATGGCTGCAAGATCATCGAACAGGTCATTCCCGAGGCCGTAAGGAACGAACTCTACCGGCTTGCGAGTGAAATGCAAGCGGAATTTCGCAAGGCGCCACATCAACAGATATCACCAGATGTTTCCCGTTCCCCAGTTACAACCTCAGCACCGATTTTGCAAGGCTGTTCCCTCAATAGGCCAGGCAAAAAGCATCTCGAGACCGATCCTCATGATAGAGCCCTCCAGGTTTCAAAGCAGATCCCGATAGCTATAAGGAAATCTCCCAAGAGCCAGTCCTTCACGAGAAAGAAATATTTCCGTGGGGATTATGAACAACCTATCCCACTTGATACTCTGAAGTCTTGGGCCGCATCACCAGAGACTTTACTCAACTCTGCGGCAATTTCCATCCGCGATCTGGGCGTATCAGACTACATTCAAGCCCTTGATAAATCATCCCAAACAACCAAGATTGCACGGCGTTTTGCTTTGGTACAACTTTGGGTATCAAGAGAGGTCTGGTGGCCTTGGCGCCTAGATGCTTTCAAACGACGTCTGGGCAAGGTCCCTAAGGGAACCTTTGACCGGTGGCTTAGAGAAGGAAGGACTTTATTCCTGCTAAAAGCACACAGTGGTGCAGCAGTCTTGTTCTCAAAGCTTAAGCCTCAAAACGAGTAAGTAGTACATCATTTGGATATAGTACAGATATTCACATTACTCTTAGCCTCGTGGACATGGCACCCAGGTGGAAACCTCGTCCCGAAGATAACACCAACGCAGGTTTCGACGGCAAATACCAGAACCTGGAGCCGATTCTACAATCTCACTATGCTAAGGAAACCAGAGAACTAGCTTCTCGTTTTAATGTAGAGGAATTGGAGATTCCAATGAGTCGCGACAATGATATTACATATTCCAAACTGTACAGAGATGCCGCAAGGAGTATCTCGTTATGCTTGGGGAAGTTGCATGAGAAGCTACTATTTAGCGACATGTCACAACCAACACATGACCCCGAAGCCCCTCAGGATGAACCAGTTGCGAAAAGGATTTGTCGATCATCTGGGCCACTCATGGACTGTCCGTCAAACCTAAGAGTGAGCCAGCATCAATTCAGTCACGACACAACACGCAATGTACACAATGGCAATCAAAGATTGCCTTGCGTCACAGAAAGCACTACTGCTGCCATAGGAGACAGCAGTTATGAAGTCCGATGCGCATCTAGTGATGAGAGAATGCCTATGTCAAGCTCGCTTGAGGGTGCCAGCTCCCAGTCGGTGACTTTCGTCATGCCTGGTAGTGATTCCTACGCGATTGCTACACCTCCTTTGAAGGCTGCCGTGGGTAGGTATAAAACAAAACCATCAACAGATAGGACAACGCCAGTCGAAAGCATCGGAGCTGATATGGGGCCTTTCCAAGTTCATAAGTCCACTGTTTGTCGGAACACAAACACAGATCAATTGAGCGAAGGTCATCTCGACCGCCCATGCGCTGACAGGGCTGAGGAACTTCATGACTGTCGTGGGAACATTTCACAGACCTCCGGCTTATATTTCGAACCATACGAGGCCCCGAGTCAAATATTGGGTATCCATGCAGCCTTCGCATTAAACCGTCTCGGCTGTTATTCTACCATTCCCGTCGACGATGACCCTTATTTCAACTTCGAAACAAACTCGTTTATGCCACTCGATGTCACTTTCAACAACTGCTAGGCCGGGGGGGAGTGGACAATAGTGTTTAGTATTTTCTTTGGTAATTCCCAACCTCAATTTCATCACCAGATTGTTACGGCTCGCTTCAGCTATTCATCCTTGCTCTCTTGGTCCTGAGCTGGCTCCCAATCGTATTGGACCATGTCAAAGCATACTGGCCCTTCTTCTACAACGATTCGACTGTTTCCTGGGATTTGAATATGGTTTCCAATTTGCCAAGTCAAGGGTTGCCTGTACTCGGCTTTGTGCTTGTTGGGTTGGTACAGGACTCTAGGATGCCTTTGCGTATCCGTAGTTTGTATCGCTAGCGGTATGAAGACGGTTACAGTACGCTCAGGGGACGCAATCGTCCCTTTGTCAAGTTCACGAGGTCCGTAATTTCGGGCTTTACTGACAATTTTCCCTTCATGCAGCGCTTGTTGTCGAATATTGGGGGCCTGAATGGAGTACTTAGTAGGGCAGTTTAATTCAGATCATTTGTTCTTACATGTTCCCTCTCGAATTTACAGAGAATCTTGGTATCTGTTGTGGTGGCTTTATATTCACGCAGCGGACCACGCTTACTCTGGATCTCCCTTTCCCGTTGCTGTTGACATAGCTGTTGCATTGATTCCGTAGCAGGAAGGAATATAGGGTTGCTCATTTCTCTCATATCGCGCGTTGGATAATAGGTTTGATGCTTGATGATCTCGAAGAATCGCGATGTTGCTCTTCATATACACTTACTACGGATACTAAGTGGCTGTAAATCATTCATTGACTACTGGTCTAACGTGTTGCGATAAACGCTCGGTGGGGAAGGGATGCTTCTTTTCCCTCAAGGACCACTTGATTCGTCCAACAAGTTAGTCATGTGGATGCTGCAGGTCACGAGCACCTTGCGCCCCGGTAATTACATAATGAGGCCAGAAAGGTTAACGTGCTTGATAAGCGAGTGAGCCAGACAAGCGAGTGAGCCACATATCTTAACCTTCCAAATTAAATTCGCAATAAAAACACCACAATCTATCTGATCAATTAAAATTAATTGTTATACTATTCCCTATTGACCTCAATTGCCTCCTGACAGGTCCTTGCATTATGCCCGGTCTTTCCGCAAATACTACACTGCCGAACCTTTGCTCCTTGTGACCTTCCGCGACCACCTCTCGAGGATTCAGCTGTTAGCTGCGCATCAATATCTATCTGATCAATTGCTTGTAATGCTTCCCCTATAGTTAAAGGCCCTTCTTTCTGTACCTTAGTCCTTTTTCCCCTCCGGCGTCGCCCTACTGTCTTATTCTCTTGTTCAAGTTGTCGAACCCTATCATCTAGTAAGACCATCTTATGCATAAGAACAGTTGTTGCCTTCTCAAAATGCTTTACGGCTTCAATTATTGACTCAGGGGAGCTGCTCTTATGATTTCTGATCCTTCCTTGCAGATACTTAGAATGCGATTGGGCCTCTAGCACTGTCTTTGGGGTCCTTGCAGTCCAAGGGGTCGATGGTATTATGACCTCTACGGGAGGCGTCGGAGTCCGTAGCTGCACATCAAGCTTCGAGATGACATTTTCTGGGTTAAAGGGAGCAAGCCCAGCTCCTCTGAAACCTCCCTTGATATTGCTTTCTGTAATAGCAGCTTGGTGGGCGGCGTAAAAGGCAGGAAAGAACTCAGTCTTCTTAATATAGGTTATATTGCATCTGATCAGATGCTCTATTTCTCGACCATATGCCTTTTTCAGCGGCCCAAAGCACCCTACGTCAAGAGGCTGAAGTAGATGAGAGGCATGAGCAGGCATACAGAGCGTGATAATCTTGTTCTCTTTGCAATATTTCTCGAATTCGACGGAGTGGTGACTTTCGTGACCATCAAGGATCAAGAGGCGATAGCGACTGTTCGTTCGCTTAGCTGTAGCCCGATCAAAGTGCTTTAGCCACTCGAGACCCAGCTTATTATTAGTCCATCCATTTTCGCTCAATGCAATAACCCAATCGCCGGGGAGGTCGCATTCTTGGTACCAATTGGCAAGGTGATCCTTGCCTGCACCAATGATAAACGGCGGGATCGATTGACCGTCCGCATTGATCCCCTCGATCACAGTAATCCATTCGCGGTTTCCAGGCTGTACTTGCTTTGGTCTTCCTTGCCTGTAAGAGCTTGTGACGACTGTTCCGGGCTCAATTACGCCCATCATAAAGCCGGTCTCATCAAAGTTCCAGATATCATCTGATCGGATACCGTATTTCGCGATTGTATTCTCTACAAGCCGAAACCAGCCACGAATAATAGTCGGATCTTCGCATTTAGCTCTCTGATAGTCATACCTCCGAGATAGACGTGTCTTTAGCTCTGGTTGTCGCTTGACGAAGTTATAAGCCCAGCGCTTGCCGACGTATGGCGCGTTGCGGTTGGCAAGTATAGAATTAGCTATATCTTCCACATATGATAGTCGCGAGGGAAAACCTCGCAAATCTAGGTCTAAAATGAATTGGACTACTATCTGCTCTTCCTGATCAGATAGTTTCCGTGACTTTGTGGGAGTATCACGCGTTGAAAGAATGCCATGCTGGCGGCGACCTAAGGTACTACGGTTGACATTGTAGATATTTGCCGCCCGTCGGACTGTAAGTTTAGGGTTATCTTGAAGGGCCTGAAGGGCAAGAAGGATTCTAGCTTCATTTGAGGACTGTGGCATATTTGTTGGTTGAGATATAGCTGATTGAATTATAATGTTGTAAGGTGAGGGATTTTTGGCTCACTTGCTTGTCTGGCTCACTCGCTTATCATACACGTTATTAATAGCTCAGGTAAACAGAAAATCATCACTAGAGAATATAATGCAGTAATAAGATTAAGAAATAGAGAATATTCTTAACTCAATACTTACTGTAAAAAACTAATTTCTATTTTCTATTTTACTATCTTACTTTATTTATTTAATAAACTCTAGCCTGCTAAAAGCGCGTTTATATAAGCTGACTATACTATAGACTACAAACTATTATTCTAGACCTAAGACTGTTTTTCCTTATTGTCGGGAATAACGTCAATAGGTGTAAAGTCATCGGTATTAAAGTTGCCATCTGATCTTTCGGTTGAGCTGGTGTCGTCCCCGTTAACCGGGTCGGTAGTCGCGGGTTGATTATCGCGAGGAGTGCTGTCAGATTGTCTTGAGCCGCTTGAATACGTAGGGCTATTGATTTCCTCCTTAGTATTAGTCATTGCGGGAAGAACGACTTTAGTCATAGATGAGTATTCTAGTTATTTAAACTTGTCAGAATATCAGAGATCTAAGTTGTGCATAACAAGACAAGCCAAGATATAATAGAGTGGCCAAATGAACGGCTTGCTACTTACCGAGGTGATTAAATCAGATAAGTCTCTGGAAAGGTGCTCGATATGTTCCTAGATGCAATTTTCGGTCCGAAATCTTGGCTTTATTCAAGAGGGAACAGAGCATTCTTATATTCTTTAACAGTTAACTATTCAAGCAGCAAAAGCGCCTCCTGCAGGAGCAAAGTCACATCAACACAGCCGACCAAGGTGAAAACCGTCTCTCCTACGTGGTTATTTCCCTGCTATTTCACACGAGAAGATCTTAACTTAGTTGCATGCAGGTTGGTTGCAACCCTGTTCGAGTTGCGTTGACCTGCAACGACTTTTCAACTGTACCGGTCGAGCTAGTTCAGATAAGAGCAGCAAGTAACAACCAGGCCATTAGCGATGCAGAATTGATCCATGAAACGGAGGAGCTAGTTAGAGTTTGGCAATACCCCTTGACCATCTATGGGCGAAGTGAGGCGGCCAAAGCAAAGCGGCTGAATAAACAGGCCTGAGGTCGTCCCTGTCTTATGAGACCAGTTCTATATACTATAAATAATAATTAGATCACTAGCAGTAATGATCTAAAACTCATTCTATTAGCATGAAATTATAGTAAAACATTCCTTTCCTGTCTTAATTGTAATACATATCTACTTAAACTGGTTCTAATAATTATCAGTAAGCAAAGGTAATCCTCAGGCTTTACCCCACAGCTTAACCTTTCTGCACTGCCTTAACCTACCTTCTCCACATCATAACCTACCTTCTCCATACCTTAAAACTTGTGCCTTGAGCTGCTGGCTGTAATAAATGGTGCATAACAACGACAGTCCATGTGAGTCGGTGTTGTGTCCCTCCTCTTGTCAGGGAGAGCAGACAGAAGCATATTAAAGCTGTGAGGGGAACGACAGTATTCTCTTTATCACCACGTGACAGATCTCGTAGGCATACAATGATAAGTTCCGCACAGTTCGTCGCCAGGAGTATTACCACTGACGTGACATAAAGTAAGCCATGAGGTCTCTTCCGCACAATGCCTTCATTGCAAATGCAATAAAAGGAAGCGAACGAAAGAACTAGCAATGAAATTCCGTTGAGTAATGCGGCAAATCCCGATGGATTTGGGTTGGCCATGGCAACTTGTTTGCAATAGACACCAGAATCATGTTCTTGAACAACACGATAAGTAAATATAATGCCTAGAAACCGGCGGCTGTATTTCTAACAGTAAAGACTGCCTTGGAATGGGATATCTTTTTTCATATGCTATTGAACTATAGCCCAGCTTTTAGCCAGAGCCCAAGTGTAATCGAGTCATTTGTACCCCGCATTTGAGCCTCAACACAAACCGGACCTCGACGCCCTCAGATGTGAGGGACACGAGTCGGGCTTGACATTTTAACCCTGCTCGATGAGGGGTTTTCCAAACTTTTGACCACACGAATCCAACTTTGGGGGCCAACGTGCGTCGATCTGTCACATATCTTTCTTCAGACCCTTGAACGGGCCTGACGGGCTAGTTAGGGGCCGTCAAGGAACATATGAATCGTGAAGGTGGCAAGATCAGGTAGTACGCTAACGTTTGAACCCTTGAAGGTGTAGAAGACCATCGAAATTAGGACATCGATGTGCGCCCGGAACGAGATCCCGCCGCCAGCGGCCGGAAGCTCATACTTATCATCCATGCGGCTGGTGAGCGTGTCGAATGTGTCAAACCTGTAATGTTCGAACGGTGGGTCATCATGCATGTGATACGAATTGTAGATCTTTGCCTCGGACTACACCGTGGCACACCTTGGTAGGTTCACAGGCTAGACAAGAAGCCCTAGCTAACGTGCAAGCCATGTTAAGTCTTACCAGCGACGGGGCAAGACCCGTTATTCCGCGCGTCTAGCGAAACAAGGACTGCATACCTTTCATTGCACGAGCCCATCTATGGATTCCTAGCAGTGAAGGCTGCTGGGGGGTTGAAAAGTGGCGCAACAATGAACCTGGACCGTTGCGCACAGAGACTCACCAGCAATTAGAAGGGTGGGTCTCAGCCTGAGCATGCCCACCACCCCCGTCCAAAATGCCAACACAGACACTGCTGCAGAAGTGTACATAGTAGGCATATTAACGCCTTGTATCAGCACTTTATCCCGTCAAAATCATCAAGACCATGCATCTCAGTGATTACAAACACGTACACTCGAACTTGGCCAACAACAGACATTCATTTTGCTTTTTCAATAACATTACAGCGCCACTGCTCGGTACACATTCTTCCTTTTTTGGCAATGGGGCGACGAAACAAAAATCCTCAGAGAGATGTCACTTCTGCGGAAAGTCACAGAAAGGAAGTTGACTGCAGGGCCCTATACATATTGACGGACACTCTGCAGACTTGTTTGACCGACACCTCTGACGACCAACTGGGGAGCTCAACATTGCCCAAAAGTACATCTCATGCGAGGTTTCTTGAGATTTATGTCAACGCCGAAAAGCTCAATGCCGCCCGTCATCGAAGAAACTCGCATCCAGACCTTTCAAAACTGTCAAAGGACCATATATCAATCGAAGAACATTATACTATTATCGACAAGTTCCAGGAGTACTTTACGGAGCTCTTATCTTTCCAGCAGCGCAAGAATAACTCGATTATCAACGGCATTAGAGAAGCCCTATTGCAAGTTGAAGAAGTTGGCCGCAAAATGGAAGCTGATCAAAGAGATAAGCATATGATGCATAGTAAAGTTAAAGATCAGTCTAAACAACTGCAGAAAGCTGAGGCGGAAAAAAACGCAGAAGTTAAGCGGAGATTGGAGGAAGAAAGAGACAGAAAGAAGAGGACCTAGTTGGGGATCCTGTGACTTGGAGCCCCAAAAATGTTAAAAAGTTCTTTGATAAATGGGAGTCTATGTTAGAGATCAACGAACGTCGAAGAAAGGTATTAACACTTCTATCAGTAGTTGCCTGTCTTAATGCGGAAAATGTGCTTGCTTCATCAGTCGATGAGGTCAGACTATTACTCAATGAAGCTGGCTGGGGGTGGAAAGAGCTTGAGGATGCCTACCGAAAGCTAACGACGCCACGACAAAAGACCAACAAGGGATCGAAGGAGTGAGGGAAGCTGTGGCATCACGGAGTTCAGCCCCACTAGAGAAGGACGTTTAGCGGCCTCAGTTCATATCAGCCATTGTTGTTCTAGACCGTCTGTCACCTATCGGGCAGGGTAGAGGGTCTTGATGCCCCCTGAGAGCTTTTTTGTAATATAGAAGGATCGTTCAGTGTCGAAGCTAAGGTGAAAACTCAGTCTCGATCAGCGTCACGTTTTGTTCAAGGCCGAAGGTTCGCCTTTTAGGCCGCCATAGATGTGATGTAGAGCTTCCTTCCCAGTACTTCGATTCAAGCCATCAACACCATCCTTTGAGCACCTGTATTTAAAACCACTGCACCTTACCATTCTGTAGACTCAGGGTAAACGACAGAATCCTCCCAAGTAAAGTTATCTTGCGCAAGGCCGTTTCAAGCTCCCTAGTCATATGCGCAATCAATTCTTGAACACCCAGTTCAATTCTGGCGAGGTCTGCTCTTTTATACTAAGAAGGGATGTGTTTGAAACAGTCGCGTCGTGGATCTCGGTAGCAAATTCACTCGGGCAAAGAACTAGCTCGTGCTATGTAACTAGTACTCAAAGATATGAGCCGGCTTGTTACATGCAACCTGTCGATGACTCACAAATCACGTTGCATATTGCTGTTCAATACGTGCCATAGTATCTACAACCTCCAGTACCTTCTTCTCTGCAATGTACCCTGCCAAGCTCCAATCCTAGAAGCTTGTAAAGCTACCTATACTTGCAGTTCCTAAAGCTATGCCGGTCGCTTAAAAAAGGGATACTAGTAGTAATACATTGACTTCATAGCAAGCTTGAAAGTCTGGTAGTTTTCGTACTCTTACCTGGCGTAATATATGCACTAAATCTTACGTGCTTCCTTTCTCTGACATTGAGATGCAGTTCATTTGAGACGGAAATTGTGCTTTTGTCATCTTTAGACGAGGTTACAGACTTCAATTTGTTGTTGCAGTGTAGCAATAGTGCTCAGGATATTAAGAGGCAAGGGAAAATAGTAGTGGTCTCAGTGAGACCGGGCATAAAGTGCCTCGAATCCAAAGGCGAGATAATTTATTCATCCTAGTCTGGGATGAAAGGCATTCAAAGGTGGCTCAGGCAGTAGAGTGTTATCAAGATCGCCAATACAGAGGATGCAGAAGTGAATTAGAGAGCTATTCCATATATCCATGCGCCTGCAGCCATTCCCTCACGACCGCTCTATCTCTCTGAACCCAATGATACTTACACTTTGCCTCTATAAGGCCATCGCTGAAATACTTGCCAAACCCATATTCTACCTTGCTTCTTGCAAGGTCTTCAGCACACAATATATCACTACTCTGGGTAACGCACTCTCTGGAAAGCTTTGTGATTGCCCCAAAGAGACCTTGATCATCAGACAGACGTTCAAATAGAAAGTCCCAATTCTTTTGTAGCCATTCCCACCGGGCATGAATCCCTTCGGAGTAAAGGCTTTGTCCCTCCAGAACTTCCCGTATATAGTCTGTTCTTCCATTAGCCAACTCCTCCAATACATATGCCAATGTCCTTTTAATATGGTCTGCTTTTGTTGCATAGCCCAATGACTGGTGAGCTATAAGCCTGTCGTCATTTGTCTAGAGCCCCTTGCATTCTTCTAGAACGGCAGCATAATGCGCATCTTTTCTATCAATTGGTAGGCTTTAAAATACTTTAAATTAGCTCCTAACCCTAAAGGTATTATAATTATTATCCTTAAACCTCTTTAATATTATAATATTCTTAGCTCTGGTTATTTACTTTCCCCTAATAGACTTTAAGTCTTCCTTAAAGCTTTTAAGATCTCTTTTTTATCTTGGGGTTTAAATATCTAAGCTTTATAGATCTCCTGAAGATATTAATATCTAATTCTATTATAGATTTATTAATATGGTTGAGAGATTTGATGAATGATAATAAGGTTCTTGAACTTTGGTACCCAGCAGTGGTCAGGATAGTAGTCTCAGCAAGTAGGCCCAACATGCCATTGGTGTCTATTAGACCATTTCCGAACTGCCTTGCAAGCTCTAAAAGCCTCTCTTCTGTATACAGAGTGTAGTAGGGGGCGACGTTATTGAGGTTGAGTTTGTAAAAGAGCAAGTCCACCTCGTACTCGTGATCATCCTCCCATTGAATGAGATGATGCTGAACTTCGTTTCTTGTTTTAATCGTCATAAACATAGGGCGAATGATCTGGTTCTTTGTCATATCGGTGGTCCGACGGAATAGACTTTGTTTGACTCGTATAGCACCTTTGTTATCATCTTCGGTGACCTCAATAACAGAGTAGCCGTCAGTTTCGGCCCAGAAACTCGCAACGTTTCCAATTTGTGTATGGCCAAGTTGTGCCAGTACTTTCCAGAGGTGATTCGCGCAAACGTTTCCAAATTGATGCTTCTCAATGAAATCCCGAATTCCTTGCCGGAATATTGAATCAGTAACATAGTTTTGGACCATGTTCAGTATATACTGACTTCTCTGATAGGATTTATAAGTAATGGTGGTTTCATAGAAGTCGTTTGGGGACGTAACAGGGACCTTGACTGGATGAGTCCAGTCGGGAAGACCATGGCGTAGATCAGGCGTCAGACGGAAAGCAGAAGCTCCAGTGAGGCCCGACTCTCGAAAGAGTTGAGCACAGCGTTGATTGGCGATCAGGGCTACGAGACCCTCCTTTAACCACCAGTCATCCCACCAAGCCCATGTAACAAGATTGCCAAGCCACTGGTGAACTATCTCATGCACAAGTACCCCAATAATGGTAACCTTTATGTTAGGAGTGTGGCTTTCCTTGTCCCAAAGCAAATTTTCATCTTTGGCGATAATAAGACCCCAACTCTCTGCTGCTCCATACGCGAAGTTGGAAACAGCAACCACGTCCAACTTTGATAGAGGGTACTTGCATGAAAACTCTTCTTCAAAATACTCCAGACTTTGAGCAGCTATTTGTCCCGCGAGGCTGGCGTGGGAAAGGTTCTGGTCTGGAGTGAGCCAGATACGAACTGGGGCGCTGAAGTTTGTGTTTGTATGACATCTGAGGTCCCCGAAAACGAAGGCCAAGAGGTACGTAGACATAGGAGGGGTCTGATCGAATTCAAGGGTTGTGTCGTCCAACCTCCTGGAATCCGTGTTACTGAGGCAAACTAGGTTGTCGTTTGTCTTGAGAGTGACGATGAATTTGGCCTTGAGCGCAGGCTCGTCGAAGCAGGGAAATGCCCGCCGAGCGTAAGCGAGCTCAAATTGAGTCGTCACAATATACTCGGTTTGGCCTTGGCTATTCGTAAATGGCGAACGGTAGAGGCCTTTTGGATCATCATTGATCGTTCCGTTAAACTCTAATGTCAGTGCTGCCCTTTTTCCTGCAGACAGAGTTTCATCAAGCGTGGCTGTCAAGGTCTCGGCATTGATATCACGAGTAGCTGACGGCTTATAAATTTTATCAGAGTCTTTAGCTTGCAGGTAAATAAGAGATTTATAAATTATAAGATTTTTAGCAGTATTTAAGATAATTAATATAATATCTTTAATAATTTAAAATTAAATAATAACTTTATTATAATACTTTAACTTAATAAAGTTTATCTTTATACTTAGGTAATATTAAATAGGCTTAATATTTCTAGGAAAAGCATATATTAGTTAATATTATAAATTTAAACTTATATTATTAGAGATCTTATCATATTTCTAAGATAAAGGTTGAATAGCATAGCTAATAAGATTAGAAGATAAAAGTCTAGTTATAAATAAAGGTAATATAAAGAAGAATAATTATATTTTATTAGAATTAGTAATTAAGAATTACTATGGTATAATTACTAGTGCTATATATTTATTAGGTATTGCTAGTTACTATATAAACTAACCTAGTACTTTAGGCCTTTAGAATCGTGAAAAGAGACGTAGTGCCACTTGATAAGAGTCCCATTGCAGGTAACTACACTAGGCAGCACAACCACCACATAACAGATATCGGCTTTTCACTCCTGTTTCTCTATGAGGGGGCCCAGTAGCTCAGCAGCGCCTTGCTATACAGAACAGCTATGACCTTCCTGTGCACTTCTTGAAGGTCCGGCTCGGCCTGCGAGTAATTGATCCTTGTAGGTTATGACTCATACCTGATCGCAATGGCCATCTATACACACTTTGCAGGCATCTTGACCCCCTTGAACTATCTGTAAACAGCCATGGGTACTGTGATGAGCGTAAAAGCCGTTGGCATTATCGACGGGCTCTTATTGAGACTGAACAGGTGTGTACATAATCTCAGTTCCTGGTCACATTGGCCGCTTACATCCCTGAATATGATACAACCCCTGCAAGACGAGCCGGGGAAGTGATGTAAATTGGCCCGGGCCGTGAGTGTTTTTAAGCGTGGGGAAGTAGGGCTGGCGTTGATACAGGGTTGAGGCAGGTTTGAGGCTTAATGAGGCCGGTCCATGCCATGTCTAGAGAAATTACTTTAAGCACCTTCTTATCGTGTTTTAGGGCATAAATAAGCGAGGCGGTGAAGAAGGCGACAACAGAAGTGTTTTATATCTCCACCTTTCCCCGGTTCTCTATCATTCGCAGCTTAGACAGGCTCAGTGCCATCAAAGACACAACCAACCTTCGAACTAAAAACTCGCGTATGGTTGAGACTACTCATCACTATCCCTGAAAGATACCTGTCTTATTTCCCCTCGACTTATGATGTAAGCCGTCGGAAAGTCCTGTTTCCCCCAACCATCGCTTGATCTCACTAGCCATTCAATCCCGCGCTCCAGATATATCTAGCATGTCAGAACTGCCATGGCATGCAGTGACGTTTTATGTAGCTTTTCACCAAGTTTACGGCGGTTAGTTCTTTTCCGTTAGCGACAGATGATCCGCTCTGCAAAGGGAACCAGGTATCACTGTGATGAGGCCCAACACGGCCGCATGGCTGGTCTGCATACCGAGACGTCGTATTTCGAAGTACTCTCCAGGAGTTAATACCGGATATGTTGAGCCTTGTAACCATGGGACAGCCTCATACTTGATAGTGTACGTTGATCATTTAATTGGTCTCTGTGCTGGCCATTTGTGCAGCGGTATGGTTCTTGCTATCGGAAGGATCACCCATCAACCTTAAGCGACTCAGCTTCAGAAGCGGTGTGCGATAGTCACACCGTAAGGCCAGCGGTACTGAAAGATTCGCAAGCAACTAGATATTACATGAGTCTCGGATGCGGCTAAGCTTTGCTGTATGTTGCGGTTCGCAATGATCTGATGATACACGGACCTTTTATAAGATTTGCAAGCCCAGGGCTGCCGGACGAAGCCCACCCACGGTTCGTCGCTTCTGATATTGTCAGACCAAGTATACACAAGAACCTGTTTACTTTCAGGCCCCGACCCGAAGCACAGCATTGATCAACATGTTATGAACTGGGCCAAGGCCAAAAGGCGGCCAAACAAAACATCCACGAAAAGTTTTGTAAATATGCTGATAATACAATGATCGCATTTTATGGGCCCCAGAAACAACATCTTATTCTTAATATATTGAGGTTACTTTATACTATGTGCGAAGTCGTAGAATCCCATTCCGATATGTGATAACGTCAGGCGCAGTCAGCTTCGGCTGAGCAGATGACAAGTCATCGTGAGCCAGTCAATTATCCTTGAAAGCCCTCAAACAACTGCTTTCCTTTCCTTTCCGTAGTACATTGCGAGTACTGGTACCCTGGCGAGGCTGTGAGTAGCAAGGAAGACCAAGGAAGCAGGGGCAAGGACAGGCAAAAGAGAAATTAGATTTGGTGCCCCACTATCAGTGCCTGGATGTAGCTTCTGGTTACAGGCCCCATTTTGCTCGGGTTATACTCGAAAACCAGCTGCAGCACAGCATAAAGCAGCACAACGACCCATGCTTTGCGCACATCCGGACTTTTCGACTCAACAGTAACTTTTATCAGGAAGTCCCGACTCATCGCTCCACCATAGCAACCGTTTCATCAGTTTATCTCTCTGACCCCTTACGTCAATTTGAAACAGAAAACCTATTACTCGGCAGATAAAGCTTCATATCCGGCCTGATCACCTTTAAAGTCTGTCCGCGGCATTGGACATCTCCCCAGGGGCAACCCATATGGCATAGATATTTCACTCAAAGCAACAACCTATGTATGACAAACACGTGCAAAGTCACAGATAGATCCGCTTGGAACTAATTCCTGCTGACTATGTGCTTCAGTTCTGTTTAACAAACACTCCCTGTAACAGAATCGTCTTATTACTCGGGCATTGAACAAGTAAGTCGCTCATAGATCCTGAGACGGCCCAAGCCAGTTTCCAGCTAATAGACACAGAATCATTATGCGCTTGTACCCCAAATCCGGGATAATCCCGATTGATCCTGCACTCAAATGGTCAGACTATGGCAGGGCGAATCCAGTGCAGACTTCTATTCAATCAAAGTTCGAACGGGAACAATATGTTGAGACAAATATGCAGCATGCCTCATCAGTTGCTTTCCCCTTAACCAGAGGCGAAGATGGTAAGTGCTACACAACCCTGCATTCGCGCAAAAGAATATGTGATTACAGCAAGCCATCAGTCGCACCTACTCACTTACACTTGAATTCTAGGCAATGGGGAGGTCCAATATGACAATCTTGGCCATGAAACAGCTCCAACCCACATACAGCAGCCAATTTTCCAGCAGCCGTATCCTCCGAGACCACTTCTCACTTCCAACAGCCTTTCAGTCCAAGACTTCATACAGCCTGTGGAAACCGAATCCGAAAAAACATCGAATAACAATATAAATGGAAGTAATCTTCTGTCAAAATCGGGAATTGATAAGCGAACCATTCTTCGAAGTTGTGATGGATGTCGGAAACGGAAAATAAAGTGTGACAGACAATGTCCTTGCAAAGGTTGTGTTAGTATGTATAGAACAATAACGACACAGCCTATTACTAACCCGACAGAATCTCAAATTAGTTGTATCTACGCAATACAAAGTCAGACGAAGAATAATTGTACAGCAGTGAGCACCGGAACATCTCCCAGTGTCCATAACTAACATATAAGCGATCCCCCAAACGTTCAAGTCAAGCCGAACCTCCCTCAACCTCTGATACGTCGTCTGTTGCGATGAACGTAAGCCCAGATATAACAGCAACTCGAGCAAAACTGAACAGAGAGGAAACAGGGGATATGTTACACGTAGGCTCGTGGTCAAAAGACCGCCATAAACGACCAATTGCGCCGGTGGAGAAGCCTCCCGATCAATGTCAAACCCCGTTTGACCGATTGCGTGTCTCAGTAATACACGAGCCGGGTTTGCAGGAGTCTAGAGGCCCTGTCGAGCATCTGAGTAAAGATAAGAATAATCTTTGGATTTGCTATGAATGTAAGAAGTCTTTCCAGCGTATCTCCGTTCTAGAAGTCTCCGGTAAGTAACGACCCTTATTAAACTATTAGAGAATATTGACATTTCCTTCAAAGCAACTCAAAGGAGGCAATACGCATGTCCTCACTGCCTCATTATCTTTGTCCGAAGTCAGTGTTAAACTTCAATAGTTCCAGAAAGGGTGCTGGCGCTGTCGATTCGTGTGAATCCAGCGCGCGAAGATCACTCGGAGAAAATCTGGTCTTGGTTCGCCGTTCCACGCACATCGTTTGCCAGCATGTTTCAACACAAAGACAAGAGTCGAGGCGATGCAGGTTTAGACAGCGCCCCCAGTGGGAACTAGTTGCAATTGCCTTCCTCCTCGGATACAGGATGAAGTTATGCAAGAACGGATTCAGCACTAAAGACAGCATCGGAGAGTGCAAGAATATGACTAGAGGGGAGAGCGTGATGAAAGAGGCCAGAAGGAAAGAGACATTTACAAGAATGCTAGGGGCTATTATTTATAAGCGCCATGAATGACGTCTCAATTGATTCGGTAGAGATAAGGAATACTATATGGCAGCAGATGGCACGGCTCAGTCATGAAGGAAGGATTTCAGGTGATAGTCCACAACTAGTGATATCGTGCAAAGGAGAGACCCAGACGCCTGTTCCCAGATTGGGCATGGATGTATTCAGGCAGAACGGCAGAATAAAGTTTACATTCGGACACTAAGAACTAACATCATCAATGAAGTCACCCTTTACTTCTGTACTGAGCTGCGCCTTGTTTATAAGCAGATCGAACAGAAGGAATAAGCTTGGATCTAGGTCTCTGGGGCCTCACGTTCATCTAAGGCCGATCCCAATAAGTTGACGGCGACGGAGTCACTTATGTACTCATTGCTGAAGTCAAGAGAGGGAGTAGCAAAGGGACAGCCGAGAGCGGAATAGCTAAAGGAAGAAGGTAACATGACCGCCGTCATGAGTGCATCAGTGACAAGAAGGGTGAAGCAATAGAGAAGCAATCAACTACATCGACGTCAATCAGGCATAAGACGAGTTGAGGGTCCTGGCCATGGTACCGTATATCGTATCGGAGCAAAATGTTAACATACCGATTTGGGCTTATCAGATGAAATTAGGGAAGATCGGCTTTTGAAGAAGACAACCCTAAGGCAGTTCATAAAGCAGTACCAACCGAAGCCAAAGGAAAGATGCATTGTATTGAAGGTCTGATTGACTCGCAAGATACGACGGGCAATAGCGCAGCCAAAGTCACAGTACTCGTCGGTGAGGCAGTCGTGGCACCGCACGCCAAGCTCTGGGTGAGCTTATTGATACGGAGGAGAGTAGAGACAGTGACGAGGATGCGAACGAAGATGCGTCAGCGACGAGATTTATAAAGATGCAACAACAGAAACGAACGAGCTTCATACTCAGGTTTCTTCAGATGATAGATCACCGGTGCTTGATCTGGCGCTTCCCTTTGCTACAGTCATAAAGTGATATATTTGTTAAAACACATTCTTGGTGTGTAATGTTACAACCTGCACCTGGAATCTTCAAAGTTGACTTAGAAACACACAAACCAACAGTGTTGCGATGCCATTCACTATCGAATACAACATGATATAAAGCGTAATTCCCAATCCCACCACAGAGTCTATTTCGCCTATCATTTCTGTGACCAACCTCAGTGGTGATTCGAGTTCTTCACCTCGAGCATATCAATGGTGACAGGCTCAAAAGAGCCATAGGCCTAGAGATTGTGCGTAGCAGAGTAGCACTCGGAGAACTGGAAGCTTGACACTGTGGACCTTTAGAAGGATTGCATAGAGAACATGAGTACGAAAGCGCTGTTTGAAGAAATAGAGGCAAGGGTGACACATCACCAAGACCCGCGCTTGAAGTCACCTCCGGACTCTTCTTACGGGCTATTCAAGTGTAATCAAGAATATAATGAGCACAAATCTTATTTGCCTCAACATAATGCCTGCCTGAAGCTGCACCATTACGTTCACTCTATTACACTTAGTTTTCATTTCATTCAGCTAATCGACTTTCATCACTCAACAAGTGATGCCTCATAGCGCGTGATCTGGACGGCATGAATTGTTAAGGAAGGACATTTAACCTTATTAAAGCATTCTGTGTATTTGCAAGCGAGGTATGCTCACTGCTCCTGGTAGTACCTAACCTAGCGCACCACGCCCGCACCCAAGGTTTTGATCCAACATGCAAGCCATCAATACCTCAGATTATGTCAATCTCGGTTGCCGTGGTAGTTGCTTATGGCTGTTGTGAAACTGAGTAGCCGCCGTGCTGTGTGACATGTATTACCCCCCTGAGCAGTCTCCACGGTCAACCCTGTGCTGTGTATGGCTGGTCATGGCCGGCAACTAGCGATGTCTTATACGTAGCCGCATTGGTTGCTTTTGCAGCTTTTGCAAGTCCCATCGACCTCTGTAGCCGGTTGGTAATATTCATGAACAGGGTAATGGGAGCAAACGCCGTGGGCGTTGTCAACAAGGTCTAGCCCCTCAGGATCGACTTTGGCGTTGGTGTTTGACGGCATTGCCACAGTTTCAAATCAGCCAATTGTCTGGTATTAAACTCTTTGCGGTTTGTCAAAAGTTGCACCGTCGTGGGCCTCTTGATAGGGTAACTTTCGGCCTATAAGATGCGCATGACAATTTGGTTGGAGGCAATAGATTTTGAGGTAGAGATGAAGATAGAGCTGGAGTGTTGCCCCGGATTGCGCTGAACAATGATAATTTATAGTTAAATCCTGACTTAACAGTAGACTTGTCTACTATGTAGCTGATATTCACGTTAGTGTAGTGGGTATTGATGCGAGTGCTGGTCATCCAATATGCATCTTCATGACGTGTCATAGGGTGTCCCAGTCTCGTATGAGCATCTGCCACTTGGAAGTGGCGGCCCTCTTCGCCTGCAAGCCCGGTGTTTGTTAGCCTCCAGAAATATTGTACTTTTTACGGCCCGAAGATATCATTATAAGACATATTAGCCACATGCGTTTCGGTGCCTCTTATTACGGCCGATCGGGACCACGGCAAGTCCAACATCATCAGATCAACAATAGGACCACTGCCAGATGTGCACAACGATAGGTGACAACACCAGCTCAAGAGGTTTTAGGCGTTTCAGCCGGCATGTCAGTATCTACAGGATCTACAAATCGCAAAGAAAGACACGAGGCGAAGTCGTAAGGACGAATGTGTCTAGAAGTCGCAAGGTAACAGTTACATTGGTCCAGCATGCAGCAGAGCTCAACCGGATAACTGTACAATCTGAGGCCAGAGTTAGCACGCCCCGTCGTCAGCCGATGGGGATGGGTTCCGGTATGCAGGTTGAGCGTCGATATGCTTAATCTTGGTCCAAGGCTCTTAGCTCCACCTTTCCGCTTGCTTCCATCTTTCAAAGACGAGACAGCCTCCGTGCTGCCGAAAGTACAACTGACCATCGACCTGACCTCACACTCGCCTGACATGACTCTTGAAATATTGATGTATTATGCCCCCGTACTGCGGACTGTACCTGTCAATCTAGTTACTACTATACTCTCGGTATACCTAGATGTTCATGTCATGTGTGCCTCCTTGGCAGTTGTTTGGGGGCCACCCAATCTCAATCGGCGAGTGGGTGCGAGCAAGAAAGCCAGAAAGCTACCTCCACGTGTCAGATCTTTTGTAACTTGTCACCGCTAAGTTCAGTTTCATCCAACATAGCCTTGGCTAATAACTGCCTGGAACATTTGCCGGCATAGTATACCTCAGCTGTATTCATGATTGTAGTTGCAGCATGTTGATAGGCAACACCTGATTTACTGATATCGGGAGACGAATTGAGACAGAGTCTTAGTTGATTATAGCAAGTAATAGTCACAATAGATACAAAAGTCATGATAGAGATCGTATCGCGATACCCTTTGTTGATAACTTCATCGATTCTGCGGGTTCTGAATTGCTGAATTAAAGAACATTCCCAGACTCAGATTTCATTGTAAGGAGTCTCGATAAAATCTAAAATCTCTTCCCTACTCATATTTGACGCCAGGAGGAATGGCATAATCATCATAAGATCCCGATCAGTCCAGTCACCTGCTGGTACTACTCCATCAATTCTTCCTTTCATGTTGAAAGAGAAGCCATAAGGGACTGCAGCCACAATAACATCCGGCTGGTTCATCAGCTTGTTAAGTCCTCGCATCAATGGTTGTGGCCAATATCCATCCTCAAATACCCCTAAAACCGCACCCTTGACCCCTTCTTTCGTAGCGATATCGAAATCCCTCTCTTCACTCATAGAGGGAAAATACTTGGACTTAGTCTTAGTCTTGTTATATACCTGATCCTCGTCAAACTGGAACGTCTTGGGGCTGTTGCTTGGCCGATGTATCATCTCGGGTCCAAAGTCAACGATCCTCCCCAAGAGTGACCTGTCCCCTGAGAATAGCACATTGTTTTGTTTGTAGCTACGCCTTGCGAGCGTGATAAGATCATTAAAAACGATGAGAATTCGGTTGTCATGAGATGCCACCGACACCTTTGTGGCCGAGAGTATGCTACCAGGCCCTTCTGCGCCATGCGCCGTAAGTGGCTTTGGAGCAGCAGTCAGACAAACGGACTTATTGAAGTAGTCAAGCGCTATTGTATGCTCTAAGAACCTAGCCACGAGAGTTAACTTGCTGGATCCGAGAACGAGAACCACTCCGGATATTTCTGGCCGTCGGAGGTATTTCATAACAGTATGTAGGATGATGATTAGTTGTTCCGTGCCAATGTCGATGCTATCGATAGAAAGGATTTGTTCTGTGACAATATGCGCAATTCCTTCCAGATCTGGCAGAATAGAAACAACCGCATCGTTGATGTTATAAGCGCCGGATACGTAATGCGAGGTATCGGTTGGGGAGTTCCCCTTCCCTAAAGCAGGCCCTCCGGTAGCTATAATGGCAACGGTGGGTAGCGGAAGAGTACTTGGCCCCGGAGATGTAACAGTTGGTGGTCTTGTCAGAACATCATAGGGCCCAATGAAGAATGTCAAAACGAGGATCGCCGCGACGATGACCAGCTTCCAGCCTGCTAAAGAATTCATGTCGATGCTGGAAGTGCGAATGTTCTCCTGACTGGATCTAATGCGTTCGATGGGGTTCGGTATTGGTCTGGCGAGCAACGTGAGAATCCGTACGAGTTAGAGAACGTGAAGCCTCGCCTGGACATGACAGTTAGTTAGATTCGGTTTTAGACAACTCTCAACTTACGCAGTATCCCGAAGGCTGTTTAAACAACTGAGAATTGGAGCAAGTGCTGGCTGAGAAGTGCAAAGAATCCTGGGAGGAGATGCCAACCGACACGATCAGTCAGGGCGGGAACCATGGGGGGTAATTGGTGGCCAAGGAGAACAACACTGGCTGTCTCAACTTCCTGGTGCTTCAATTGTTCCAACCATTGCTGCCACACATAAATCCCATTATCTTTGTGCAACCTTACAGCAAGTAACGCTGGTAGACTACTGCCTGCAATGCGACTCAGTTTGTGTCTCCACAGAAAGTGGAGATGAGAAGCCGCACCAGGGATGTCCTACGCTAACCTTTTTAAGGTACATTATCTGTTGATATCTGTTTCGGGTCATGGCCCCTCTCGGAAATGCTTTTCAGGTCCAATAAAAAGTCACGCCTCAGAAGCGCTACAGCACGGTCTTGACGTAGGTGCCATTGTACTTCCTTTCACAATGCACAGCTTACTATCGTACAAGGCGCCAAATTGAGCCTCATGCAGTGTGATATTGGGTAAGGATATGCCTGTCTGGGGACAATGTGACTTTTGGTGTTGGCCAGCCTTAATTTCATGTTTATCTTGTGATGCGTGCTATTGGCTTATTGTTTGACGCTATGCTAGAAGCGTGCCGAATTTCTATTAAGCCCTTATCTGGGTAAGGCATGCCGGAGAGGCCGATTAATAGAACATATACAGAGAACCTTACTACTTATCCCCCTGCTCTTATAAAAATATACTAATTTCTTTTATATAAGAGTAAGAATAATATAAGATTAACTATCTAATTATAAGTAAATAGCCTTTAATATAGCTAGAGTAAGGACTTTATAGCTAGTTCTAGGTTATAATAAGCTAACCTAGGCCCCTTATAGCTATAATAAAGATATCTTAGTAAAGCTATAAGAATTAATTCCCTAGAATAAGACTTAGTAGTAATAGGCCTAATATCTTTATAGTTATACAGTATTGTACATGTGTACCTTCCTCTTCGCAATAACATCCTCTTTATCTCTTTGAGCGGCATAAGACTGCCACGGGGTCACGACCAGGGTGGGGAGCCAATCAAAATGACCGTGACAGCCGGTACTTCTACCCACACCTAAAATGGCGTGTGATATAAGTACCAACAGTCAGCATTGTTACAAATAGCTACATCACATACTTTGCAGCCGTACCTAGTCTGTGACCGCTGCTGATTTCCTGATATTGGCTGTAGATAGCCTCCTTTTCTTCGCTTTTTTGGCCGAGGCTGCCCCTGCCGGAGGCCTTTGCAAGCCAAGCAAGGAGAGGAGCTTTTTCTGCCTCTGTAGACATGATTGATATCTCTTTGTAGGTGAATTTGCCGTGCTTCAAGATCCTCGCTGTCTTCTTCCTTCCCTGTACGGTATCTCTTCCTTATGCCACTATCGGTGCCGTACTTGTTGAAAATGGCGTTATAAATAGCCTCTTTCCAGTCTCGAAGCGTGCTATAGGGCTTCCAATGAGGGTGCCGGGTCTTCTTCTGCAAAATGAAGCTATTCGCAAGTGTAACATCAAGGAGGAAAGACCAAAGCAACGCCTGCCAAGGACCGCGCCGGAAACGATGCTGATATGAGGAATAGGATCTTATCTGATCACCGCGATCCACGTGATTCATTTCATCGTTATACTGAGCGGCAACAGAAGGAATAGGGATTATCCTAGCCTGATCTCCATTGAAGACCTCCTTTAGGCGCCGTGCCTCTGCCTTTGTGCCTCTTTTAGCGGGCAATTTCCTCTCTTTTGGTGTGCGGTTAAGAGGGGCTGCGCTGTGCATAGTTGAAAGGAAGAGCACCACAGAGCTATCTTTCCAAGCGATTTGAAGGACCTAGAGGGAAGGAAAAGAGACAGGTTAGTAAGGGAAATACAGCTAAAAGTTATCTGTACCTGTTTATCCTTTGTCGGGATTAAATATACCTCATTAAATAACAACGGCTTGCCATCAGGAAGCTTCCCGGTCTCTTTTATCTGCTTTATCTCGGTGGTGATGCCGCAATTAGGGCGTGCCGTGCCTGTAGCCCCGTATCCAAGCTGCCGAAGTAGGCGGAAGAGCTGCGGTGACGAGAAGAGGTTATCTGTAAAGACGTGATGTGTCTGTATTAATAGCCTTTTTAGTAGGTGAACTACGACGCTCTGTGTATTGCTAAGAGGGATCTCGGTCCGTAGCTTCCCCTTCTTGCCGTACGGCATCGGTGCATCTTCTACCTTGACCGTTACAGCCGTAATTGGTGATGCCTTCACATGCCAAAGCCACTGCAGAAAGTAGCCCTGTTGCGCAATAACCCAGATTTTGAAGCCTACCGGCGTGGGCTTTCCCTTGACGAGCGTTGTCTCTTTTGATCTGCCTGTAAAAGGGACCATGCACTCATCTACAGTCAGATTAGTCCCTGGACGATAGAGCTCGATAGACACCCTTTGTATGTGTTCAGACCACTCTTCAGCCGCTTGGAAGGTCTTTGGAAGATCCTTCTCGTCGCTCACATCGAGATTGGTGTGATCAAAAGTGCGGAAATACCGTGTGATCAGCTCGAACTTCCGTAACGGCATGAACTTCGTAAATGGATGAAGGGGGCGCTGATCTCCTAGGCTAGGGGCCTTCCAATGGTCTGCAAGGGATATTTCCCTATGAATTCCTAGGTAAATAAGGATACCAAGCCATACATAAGCCGTTGAAGTGGAGATGCCTTCCCAAGCATGCAAGCGCGAGTGGTCGGAAAGGGGGGTATTCCAGCTATCTTTGATGCCGTTATTAGCGCAGAAAAAAGCCCAGTCTTCGGTATATCCGACCCATGACTGTACAAGGGAAATAGGTATGAAAAGCTGGAATAATTCAAGTGGTAGCTGGGGCAGAGGGTTGATCTGAAAATCACGATATTCTATATTGAAAGGTTGAAAATCATCACCGCGGCCCTCTTCGGGCGGAATATTAGTTGCGCCGGTGGGGTCATTAGTAGCTGCCGTAAAAGGCGGGCTATCAAAGCTATGATCATCTAATATATGTATCTCTTGGGAGCTCATTGTTTTAATCGAGACTCGTTAAGGTCAATTTGTATGAGGATTTTGATGATTTTGGTGGTGTTGAAAGAAGAAGCTGTCTGACGGGAACTTTACGTACCCTGCAGGTACCTGCAAAAAAGCGGGGTAAGTGACCTGTGGCAGTCTTATGCCGCTCAAAGAGATAAGCAAAGTTCAACCCATCGCCCAGAAGAATGATGTTTGTGCGCCGAATCGTTCTTGAGTCATTTCCGGTCAATTCGAAATTTACCACAAACTTGGAACGACCACACAGTAAAGTAAAACTTGTTCCCATTGTTCACTTTCAGCACCAATGTGTCATTTTCACATTAATAAATGCAACGAATGCAACGTCGATGTTGTTGAATGTGACACAGAATGTCGTGCCTCAGAGGAACGGAAACAGCTTTGCTCTGTGAACGAGGCTACTTCCACAACTAAAAGGAAAACAAGGCGCTGCACGGATTGTGTCGAGATTACATCGCCCGCAGCCTGCAAGTTTCTCAACTTACTGCATAGAAGGTTCATGCGGCTGACCACGTAATAGCGGAGTTAAACGACAGCGAAAGCGGAAGCGATAACTACAGCACCAGCGATATAATTAGTTGAGTGACATTTGTGTCATTGCAGAGGAAATGGTCATTACAATGGAGAAGCTAGCAGAGAAAGCTATCTTAGGCACAAACAGCAGGCTCCAGAACGCAGGAAATATTATTAGACGTCACCTCAGATTACCAACACCCATAAGATCCATGCAAAGTGTAACATTACAGTATTAATTACAAGAGCTTCAAGCATATTCAAAAGATCTAGACTATTACTGGTATTACAGGAATTGAAATAATGTCTCCTTTCCCTCCGCGTCAATTTACACACAAGGAGCTTCGCTCCACTGTCCTTTTCTAATTTCATCATCCCCCCTTCAGTTCCGCATCAGTCTCTCTTCTCTGAGCCGTCCGAGCTTGTGACATAAATAGAGTGACCAAGGTTGAATCCTCCGATAAAAGAGTGTCAATTTGCAAATTCGATAGGCCGATATGAAGTTTGCTAGGTGGATTGATGTACGTAGTCTTTGGTGATCCCATCTGAGTCGTTCTCGATGTTCTTGTCACCACAGTACTCGGTGGACGCTTCCGAACAGTCGTCGGTGAATGGCTCTGAGGCCTCTGATTGGTCGACAGAATATTGATTATCAAGTTCACCTTGCTTGTCTTGAGGTCTTTGTATTTTAAGGCGTTTTCCGGAAGATCGCTCTCCGTGTCTTGTTCGTCTCTTTGTGCGGAGGATGGCACGCGGCGTATGTGGTTCAATCTCGTCTGGTTGAGAACTGGGGAGCTGTGCAGGCTGGAAGGATTCATTTTTGGCATTCGAGAGATCAGGGATAATTCTCTGAGTGAAACCCCACATCAACTTGTTTCCGTCAGCTTCTGGTGTAGTGGACTCGCTGATATGATCGAGATCGGTGGTCGTGTGTTCAGTAGCCAACTGGGTGTCATCCTTTGACGGCGTGGTATCTTCTGCCAGTTGATTCATGCCTATGGATTTGTTGAGCCACTCTTGACTAAGGCTAGGGCCAAGGTTTTGACACAACTGGATGAAGAGCATTTTATCCATGTTCTCAAGTCTTTCTGCACAAGCAGTAGCAGCTCGTCGTTCTTCCGCCTGCTGGAGCATCTTATCAAGTACGGTTATGTTCAAGGGTTCCGCTTTACATTCGGACAGTATAGCCTTAAATGCATTTCGAAGATCGGTAAATTCTTGAGTCGATGAAAGGTCAACGTCCGCATTGCTGGTCATCCACACATTGATAGAGGCCTTGATTTTGTAATGTCGACGCGAAATTGCCTCTGAATTCTTGGTAGACATATCTAAGAGCTAGCGGAGTGTTGGCGATAAGATGCTTGGGAAGTTATGAATGAGAAAATGCTATCCGGGAAGAAGTTGAAGAAGGAGGAAATTGAAGAGTTGACCCACCCGTTAAAGGTTTGTCTTTCAATTCCTGAGGGCCTGGGTTACACCTGAATTTAGGCAGCCTGATTAGATAGGTAGTGACCAAATTGAAAAGGGGGCTTCTGCCTAATTCATCATGAAACCAAGACCTATTGCCTTCTCAATCAATTTTAATGGATTCGAGGGTTGCTGATGGATGAGGTGCACGGAACGTCCAATGTTAATTAAAACCTCATTAAACGCCTGTCGCCAGAGACAAAGTGTTGGTGGCTGTTCACCGCCCGCCACTGCTGCCTTGGTAGTGGTGCGCTGTGTCGCTACCAACCAACAGAGAGGATACGCGACCAAGGAAACAAATGCCCCAGTACTGCGTGACCTCCCAAGACATTGCATTCAATACATGACTCACCAAGCCACACTCACAGACTACCCTTGCAAATCTTATATATCACACTGAAAGTTGCGCCCAGTTCCAGGTCAAGTCCAATGTACGCACAGAAACACCCCAAGGTACTGGCATCATGCCGCCGAACCATTCAAGCACGGAACGACTCTGCCAATCGGAAGGTCTGGTACAGCTTCCAAAACCGGGATACTGCGTTAAGAATAGGGCAGCCATGTGTGACGTGGTCGCGGTAAGCTTGGACCGAGGGGGGAAACTGCACCTTGAGCACGAGCTTTTGAAGGGCGACACCAATAGCACGAACCATGTGGCCCAGACCACGGCAAAGACACGACGAAACATAGTGGCCTACCCAGGGCGATAGAAGGGAGAAGTCAGAGCTCAGATATCGCGAATACGCTGACTTATGCCAAGCCAAGAGATGTGGAGGTCGCAAGGAGGTACCGGGTGACGAGTTCACTGCGGGGTGAAGAATAGGGTGTGGCTCAGAGAATGGCCGGCATTCCCGAACCTCAAGTTAGGAAAGTCTGAGCGTCTAAATATACCCGTGCCCCTGTGGCACAACGTTCGCTCAGAGCTTCACCGACTTCGGGTACTCCGATTGTGAGGAGTTGGTAAGCAAAGAGATTCGCTTTCGGTATTTGCAAGGTTCCGAAATATCACATGTGAAAGTTGACACCTGCAATGCTCAAATTACATGTCACCAGGTTCCTCAGAAACCAGTCGCTCGACTCTTTCAGCCTTTGCCTGCTGGCAATCGATCCATTGATACTGGGGAAATCTTTAAATAGAATCACCCTGAAGCCCTGATTCCGGCATGTCGGGCCGGATGATATGGCGGGCGCCGATGATCATTGCGTAGCCATTGAAGCAGTCGAAGACCACCTCGGGGACCAATTTTGGAAGTACCGCTTCTCTTTTCCAGCCGCACCAGCCTGGACGGGAGCCTAATGGACTGTTCAAGCCCAAGGTGAATTAGCAAGCTTTCAATATACACTGGGGGAGACCATGATGAGTGTAGAGCAATTTCGCATTGCCAGAAGGATTAACCCGGCTCGATGAAACTTGAAGCTCATCTCTCTGATACGCCCAATCCGTGCGTATTAGACTCCACGGACACATTAACCTCGCCCTCACGGCAGGGTGGGAATAAATCAAAGGGTTCGGAAAGCAGCGAGATATTCTTCGTTAGGACAAGGCCCTCGTACTTACAAGTGGATTCTCCGTTTGCCTAGTATTGCACATGAAGCTCAGAGGGTGATAATCGGTACCCAGTATATTATAAGAATGGTTCTATGAAAAATACGGTATCTGGTGCCATACGTGGAAGCGGACATCCAGGAAGTTTTGATTACCTCCTATCAACAAGAGAATTTGAGCTAGTGTGGGAACATCAACTTGATCTCTTCTTGAGAGTACAACCCTTTCCCTGGCAAATTGAACCACATACGCTTGGAGTATGTTTTCCATCCTCCATCTTTTCCTTTTCCATTAACCCATTCGCCCTCTTCATTTACGGTCTCCCAGCCATATTCTGAAATCATATTATTAATATATATCTCCCCGTGTGCCTGAACTGGTATGCCAGTGACTTCTGCGTTACACCTAGGTTTATCACAGTTGGAGCCAGGCTTGCGGCTGTCCACAATATGTTTATGCGAAGACTTGTTCTACTTAGCAGATGAAGTCTGTGAGCAAATAGGCTGAGTAGGACTTACGCAAGCATATCCAACTTTCTTAAAATCGCGTTGGAAGCGATCGAGCGCTTCTTGAATTTCTTTGGGATATTCTTCACGACTCATTGTCTCATACAAAGAATGGTTGCTCGAGAGTTGTTAAAAAAGTAGAATGATCTAAAAGAATCGTGTCATAACCACGTACCCGCCTCTCTACCTCAGCTGAAGTTCTGATGCCTTTTATACGTGGAATGGTTCTGGGTGAAAGGTGGCATCGATAAGAAGATTATATTAGTCAAGCAAAATAAGCGCGGAGTCATACCGCCTTGTTTCATAGCCAGTCATATAACCCTCCCTGATTCTCGAATGGCCAAGTTTTGTCAAGGTTATGTTGGTTGATGTCGAGGATCCACTCGTTTCTGTGTCAAGATTCGTCACCAACTGTTTCTTCTCACTGCAGCTAGAGTCAGCTAATTCCTGACGGTGGCACCGAAAATAGAGATACAATCAGTCGGTGAACTGAGACTTTGAATGCCCCTGGAACGCCCCTGGCTCTTGGCCAGCAGGGATGGAGCTTTAGTCCAGTAGTCAGGCGGCCGAACCTCGTGGGGAGGGCTGCATATCGCTGTGAAGTGCGAACACACCCAAGTGATAAGGCTGGCGGAAGGGAGCTGGCGTGTGCATCCACGGGCCCCACGCATAAGAACGTAACCTAATAATTGTGGTACCCTCTGCTGGTGGCTGAAGTAGGCGCATTATCACCTGCGCGTACATCATGACCTGTCAGTTGCAAACGGGAGGCTGGCCAATAACGAATGACTGTGCGCACGAAGTTTGCTGCTTGATCCTCCGGTCAAGGCGAAGCGCAAGCCACGGTGAGTCTCCACCAGTAGCCCATATGATTTACGAAGTACGCGCTGCGTGATAGGCAATCATGTACACAAGTTCTGAGACATGGTGGTCAGTGATTTGTACCGCTGAACAAGGAGAGTCAGAGGCTGTCAGGGGTTGCGTACGGCTGAAATCTATGCCGTTATTCGGATAAGGGGGGAAGAGATATCAGAGAAGATTGAGCCCCTCATACAGGGGTGCATGGTATTTGCGAACTCCAGAGTGGTGCGGCTTGACCCAGCTGGTACTGCGGTCAGACATTTTGTGAACTTTGGGGCCCGATACTGAGCTGTGACTATCTTTACAGGCGCATACGCGAGACCTGAACCCTTGCTGGAAACTTCCATATCTATACAACGCATCATACAAGCGCCTTCTTGTATGTGATTGAGGCGAGAGTCCAGGATCGCGGCGTGTACCACACAATGAGCCTCGGTAGTCACTACGTCTGGCTACTACGCTAAGCTTTGTCAAATCAGCTTGGTTGTCCTTGAAGTCAGGCCGGTTTTCCATACCAAGTTGCTCGTCATAGGCCAAAAGGGGCTTCGAAAAGAAATAGGTAGGAAACTCAATGACCCGGTGCGAACTTAGGCCAAACAATACTTGAGTTACCATTCCGTTCACTAAGGTCAGTGCTGCGCTCTGAGACGCAATGTTGTGTTTGCTGTCTTACGCGAAACAAAGCTAGATTCAGGTTGGGATAGTAGCCAACCGGTGAACAATATCCAATCAAATGATAGCTTGAATCAGCCGTTCAGTTTATGTCCAGATCGACCGGGAGTTGGCAGGACGATCTTTCTGTACCTCGCAATACAGACATCAGCTCGCCGAGGTACTCCTTGGAAGAGGCGGTGTGATAGAATGTATTGATGACAAGAATGGAGTTGACGGCATCCTCATTTGCTCTCCTGATAACGGCAATAGCCCATGTGCTGTGCATGTCGGTTGGATAGGGGAGACGCATGCGTCGAAGGGAATTCAGCCACGTTTCCAAAGTTCCGAATCAACATGGATTCAGCAACTGGCCTCATCGCTCACCCGCAACCACCAGATATCACCGTCAGAGCGTGCGGTCAGATCTTGGCTCACCGCTTGTAGATGCGGGCTTCCTTTGAAATGTCCAGTCTGAGTTTGAATAGCTATCCATATAGCACGTGTCGCACCGCTTTGTAAGTGGTTGACACGGCTGCCTGGCGGACGTAGTGATAACGAGTTGGCGGTCAATTCCATGTGGCAGAAAGTATAAAAGACAGCTAAAGCCTATGATATCTTGTAGGTGCCTTATACTGCCCTCCGAATACAGCACCATTCATCTCACTCTTCGATCACAAGTCTCGAGTAACTGCAAAAATGGAAACTCGTCTCCTTCTTCCTGATGGCCGTGGAATGAAGCCACAAATATTTGGTGAGGGCGGCTCCATATTGGGCTCCATGGCATTTGGTCCTACTCATATAAATTATGGAAAAGAAGTGGTTCAAAAGGGTGATAGTATGAGTCGATGAACAGAAATTTAGGTCTATTCACTAAGATCTACCAGAAATGGTTGTTTGCAGGGGATCGAACCAAAGCACCAGGGGAGCTCCCCAGTCTAACTACCTTTGTATAAATGGAAAGGCAGTGGCGATGAACCTCAACATACCAAAAGGTTTTGCATCAGTTCTTTCTGTTTACACCGGCTATTTTCACCTAGCGATTTGGTGTGTGGTTGATGCACCTGTTTGCGTTGCCGTATTCAAGATTACACATGGCGACCCAAGCAGTCAGAATTCTATAGAACATCGTCGTCCTACATTGACCTATAACGTCGAGCTGGAAGAAGCTTGTTCTGCAGATGACGCTAAGAAACGTCAAGTGGTCACTCACAAGGTCGACCCCAGCCAAGAAAAGGTTTGTGTTGTGACATATCGTTCTTCTACCCTCGCTTACCTATGTAGATTACACTGGTCTCCGAAGTTGTTGGCAGGCATACTGAAGAGACTTTGGATGGTACAATCTTCCAGTCAGCTGGAGGATGCTACGTATGGATCCACAACGATAACCTGGAGCGATTCGATACATGTCTATCGGAGGACATAATGGTTGATCTCGACATCCAGCACATGGAAGAGCGAGTACGCACTTTGGCCAATATCTTCAAATGAACCCAAGTAGCTATGACAGTGGCATTCATGTACTGCCCTCTTTGTGAAGGTTCGTTGTTCAGGAATTTATCAAGAACAGTTGACGGTGACGGATTGGAAACATATTGTACTAAGCTGGGAGCTGTTCAGTTTACTCAAGGCATTAAAGGAAGCCCTTAATGGCAATCACTCAACTCCGATCAAGACATCAACATCCAGTTTACTGGCTTTCTGTGAAATCTTCAGGATCCCTACGCCTCAGTGATGTCAAATCCACGTTTACAAGTCGTTGACCTACAATTCGAGATAGCTTGGGATGTAGTGGGCTGCCGAATTGAGCCGCATGTCAACTCCAGATACTGCTTTGCAACCCGGCCTGCTCGTGAAACCGTGCTTAGGGGTCACTGCAGCACTTCTCCATCGTTGCAAAACATCTCTCCTGAGCAACGATTGAGAGGACGTCAGAGATTGCCGCAATTAACGGCTCGTATTGAACGAGTTAGCGCCCATAGTGCATCCTTACTGACTGCTAAAAGCGTCGATTTCGGCTCATAGAAAGAAAATGGCGGTACGACCAAGACCATAATTCGGAGACAAACCTCTTTATTGACTTCATTCTCGGTCTAGTTTCATGCCATACAATTACATCAATAAAACAACGAGATTTTTCGCGGCCGATACCTACTTCTATATATGAAAGCTAGTCAAGCCTATTACATACCGGCCTGTTACAGTGGGGCTATTGACATCAAGCTCTATTGATGCAGTGAATCTTCGGGTCTGCATAGGAAGGGGGGGAGACCAAAGATAGGATGTCAGATACCGTATATGTGCATATACGCGCCTAGATATCTTATTTCAGCTGCTTAGTGACTTAGCACAACAGACAGAGGATAACGCTCACAGCTCATTTTGGCTTGTATTGGAGTGCCAAGAATAAGAGTCTATGTTAGTCCTTATTAAGGTACCGGGACGGATGGAGGATAAAAGTTGGCTAAAAGTGGTCAGTCTTGAATAAGTTCGGTTGGTTGCCTACAGTTGAACTTGTAGTCCCTTTAAGTCATAGGATGGACTTTTCATTGTCTCGCCGAGTCCTAGCATAAGCTTGTCAGTGCGTACATTGATCGCTCGTCCCAAGTGAATGTGTTGCTTCCCCCTCGACATCCTCGCGTCATCGGGCGGACAAAATGAGCACAGGTACACTACAACAACCGATAATGTACATCTCTCGGAGAACGCGGAATATGTCGCCAAGTCTAGACTGTACGTCGCGAGATTCTAGTTATCCCAGTCCGCTGTGCCGATGCGGAACCAAGGTATCATACCCAGTAGGCATACACACTCTGGCGTCCTCTACATATCGGTGGTTCACACTTCACCATAAGAGTGATATGACCTAGGCCACCGGGAAACGAACATAGAAGCAAGCACCCTCACCTCTTAACGTGGCAGGACCGCGGGACGAAGGCTGAGCAAACCAACCGCTTGTCTGACGAATCAATGAGTACCTTGCTGACCCCGATCTCTTCAAGCCCAATGTAAGGATCAAATGCAGGTGTTGTATTTTCCCTCTCCCGGATCGCTGGTAAAAGCCGATTTCTGGGTTACATCATCTTGCTCCCATTACCCCGCATGGCCCCGCGTCATGTCTTTTGTTGGAACAAGGTTCTGAGATGCAGCAGTGATCCTTTCGAAGCAGAAGACGAAAAGTCGTGGGTACGAGTGTCTAGCATACAGCTTGAGAAATCTTTAAAATAAAGCTGATCCAAGCGACGGAGCGTAGCATTTCATGGCGGCGTTTCTCTTCAGCTTGACGGACATTGACCAGTATACACATTTTGCAGTTGCGTTTTAGGTGTAAACTCGTGAGGCTGAATAAGTAAATGGGGCTCTGCGTGGTGCGATTCCTAATCCTGTTTCTTGCTAACTTTAATAGGGATTAATAAACTGCACTATAGTATAGATGGCCTGTTTGTTTCGAAGGATGCCTAAAGGTTGAAGGTTTCTACAAAATCTGGTTCTAGTTCTAGTATTAAATAACAGTAATGCCTATTCCTAAACAAATGGTTGATTTAGTTGCTGTGCAGTGTGATACAATAGGCTTATAAATGTATCATGTAGGAACAGCGTTACATTAAACAGTATTCGTAAGAATTTCCTATGCCTCTCTCCCAAGCACGAACCACGAAAACACAGACCTTGTCGCTGACTCGGCGTCTCCATTGCTAAGGCGTTCCCAGGTGTCCTCGTCGTCATCACTGTTCATGGCCCTCGGCCGCGCTAGGACCTTACTCCATCTCTCCAGAGCTCGATAGCCTTGAAACGGTTCTGCACTCTTGGCAAATTGTCGAGCATCTCCTTGCTCAGCTGAACCGTGGCCTGCGGTTCAGTGGCTGTCTTTTCGGCGACTACTGTGGAGGCTACGGCTGTGTCCGGATCTGTGTTGCTGCCCTTTGTATCTTTCGAGTCTTTCACGCCCCGCATTGGGAGCACCGCCTCCACCTTGGTCTCAGTATGCTCAGTCCCATGGATACTCAATAGCTCATCAGCAGCTGTGGTGGATGTCCCAAAACGGGTGGCCGTATCCAGCTGCGTATTGAGAGCCGAAATCAGATCACTATCGCCGTCGTCTGATACCATGACGGATGCCACAGCCGTGGCGTCTGGTGCCTCGTGGCTGATCGGCTTCTCGGAGTGTGCAAGTTGCTGTTCAGTCGCGTCAGTAGTTAAGCTCGCTTCAGGGATGTTTTTGGCTGTAATGACCATTTCCGCATCGCCCTCGGCCTTCTCGTGGACATATGTAATTGTGAACACGTCCGTATTAGTCTTGGCTTCCTCCTTTTCTTTCTGCCTCCTCTTTTCCCTTGCTATTCTCTTCATCTCCCTCTCTATCTCGGCAGCATGGAAGGACGGATGGACATAAACGACTCTGGCGCCCCCGTCTCGCTCGATGATTTCCGGCATCTTCTTGTTTGGGTCAGGCTTTGGTATGGATGAGGCTCCAGGAACGCCGGTCCAATGACGTCCCTCCTCGTCGATTTCAAAGACAAAGAAGTGCCCTTTCAGCTGATAAGCTAAGCACAAAATCTGGATTGATCGATCGTAATGCATCTCGGCGCTTTGGACATAGTTGTGAACCTGCATTTCGTGGTAGTCGTATTTCGAGTTCTTGAACCAGTCTCCGAGGAAGAGAGGGGGGTCACGAAGCCGCCCTTCCAAGTTTCTCACTTCTGCCTCTTCAGCTTCTTTCTTCTTCCTCGCCTCTTCTGCAAGTCGCGCCTTCTCGGCTTCTCTCGGCTTCTGCTTGGCTCCCTCTTCTGCCTTCTTGGCTTCTACCTCTTTGGTCAGGGCGTCTTGCTGTCGCGTATCCTCGTTTTGGCTCTCCTTCCTCTCCACTTCTTCCAGTGATACATCCACTGCTTCTGCCTCCTTCACTTGAACTTCTGCTGGCGGTGCCTCTAATGCTTTTCTCTTCATCTGCCTACCCTTTTGTGCTTTGCCCTCCGACTCAGGGACCGCCAGAAATTCATGTTCCCTTTCATTGTCTGGCTCAGAATATGTTCGAGATACCTTATGAGCTTGATCAACGATTGTTTCTTCGACAGCCTGTACGGTCGCTGGGGTGGGTTCGGGGGCTGGTGGGCAGGCAACGGCTAAGGCGTTTTCGGTGGGGTTCTCCTGGGATTTGTCACGGGGTTCAAGCCCAGCCTGTCTGGCAAAGAAGTGGCCGACAAGCAAGTTGTGTTCCGGCAGTACGTTGGCGTACCCCCGTTCCGAGTCTCTATCATGTGTGGTGTCAATGGCCATAGCCTCTTCCACGGTGGTCTCTCCGCCCGGGGCCGTACACTCCTCTTTTGCGCACAAGAACTTTTTGATGCTGTCTTCGGTACTGAATCCGTACTTGTCCGGCTTTTTTCTCTCGTTAAGCGGCGACCAAATTGTAACGAGTTCCGAATGGGATGCGCTCTTTGAGGCAGCGTCGCCGCGAGTCTCGTCTTCACGCAAAAGCATGTTGAGGAAGGATGCCAGAACGTGCGGATGGAATGCCGAGCCGAGCCATTCCAGCAAACTGGGTCGTGTCTTCATGGAGCGCATGAAGACCAGGATTACGTAGATGAATCCCCACACCTTTAAGTCACGCGTATCTACATCCTCCAAGAGGCAAGGAATCATGGTGTGGATCAGCTCGACCGTAACATCGTGAACATCCCTCGCGTTGGCCATTGCGTCAGAATCAGCGCGGTCCTCGGCCGTCACAAGGCCGGGGGCCCACGCCGTCATCATGGGGCTCCATCTTTGATCGACAAGTGGGATTCCCAGAAGCAACTGGCACAGCAAGAGGCCGAGTTGGGGGCTTGAAGTGATTAATTAGAGACGGAGCAAATTTAGCCATAGGGCCAGCACATACCTTGGAGAAATTCTGGATGTCTTGGCCGTTGCACCAATCTTGATATTCTCTAGTGCCGTATATACAGCCTGGACATGATCGTTCCTCCTCTCCTTATAGCCATTTCCTCTGAGAGTCTCGGGTTCCAGAGAAGCGAGAATCAGGTGAGAAACAGCGGTAAGGAAGTGGTCTTTGTCGGTCTGGGGGACGCCCTCCTCATTTCGGGTAACAATCGGTTGGATAACGCTCAACAGAGATCGTCGCCCGGCGAAATACGGAGTTTTTACCATGAGGGACTTGGTGTGGTAGAAAAGCTGTGACACAGCGGCATCGAAGGCTTCGTCAGGTGAAAGCCGAATCTGGGGCCGCGCCATCATGGCCAGCTGGTAGTAGATACGACCGTCCACGGGGTTCTCGCTCTGGACCTGAGTGTAATGCTCTTTAGGAATGTCGTGCCAGTGCTGGGTAGCTTGACGGTCATCACTTTGGGTGACCATTCTACGCCCGAGGTATCAGTGTCTGTAAGCACATCTGTCTATAGACAAATAGACCTAGCAGGGGCAGCGAGCCTACTTACCCATATCGGGCCAAATCCGCCTTGCATTCGACCCAAGTGTTATGGAAGCGCGGGACAGTCTCTTGCAGTAATGACATCATACTGTATGCCTCGATGATATAACCATCCATAAATTCCTTAGACTCGACAAGTCGTGTGCAAAAGATCTCGAGAAGGGGGCATACGGCGTGCCTCCACATTCTTGCCGGCATGGCATACTTCGCTGCGAGCATTTTAAGCTCTTCCGTCGCGCTGGGGTGCTGAGATACTAGGAAAAAGGCATAGTATTCGTGTAATAGTGTGCGATGAACCGCAAAGAGAGCTGACATCTTCTCCCCATTGAGACTGCGGATCCATTGGCTACCAGCGAACACATAGTAATCCCTGCCAAACCTTTTGTACAAACTCTGGTCACTCAGCCGCCTAAACTCAACTAAGGTTGGCAGTTCGGTCTTGGGTCTCTTATCTGGAGCCGAAGAAGACGATAAGGACTCTAACCCCGAACTTGAGGCGACGCCGATCACTGTGGATGCGGCCTTCTTCTCTGCTTTCTCCTTGGCGAACTGGAGGTCTCTTAAGATTTGCTCGACCAACTCGTGTCCGATGATGAGGAAGCGTTTTTCTTCTATCACCTTCTGGCGTCCTTCTTCGCCAATTTCTGCCGTCGTGACCGCAGCTATTCCCTCATACTCAGACCATCCATGCTTCATGGCACACTGCTCTAGAGCCACCATGAATCCATGCAGAAGATCCTCGGAGCTGCCAACTTGAGAAGCAGTCTTTTCTGACACGTGGGGATGGTCACGGGCCTCCTCCGAGGCCGCGGGGCTGTCTGTAGTGTTCATAGACCGGGTATCTGCGGCCGTGGACGAGTCATCGCAAGTCGCAGGGAAATTCCTGGTCGATTCAATAGTCAACGGCTTCTTATCTCCATCTGTCGCATCTTTGTGAGCCTTGATGTACCAAGTGCGAATTGTATCATCTAGCCTCGTTTGGATATTCTGAAGCAGCATCAACATGGAATTCGGAAGTATCGAAAGGTACCTAGTGATATCCAGCAGGCCATCCCTTGGGTGCATCTCAGCTAAGTCCAGTTCTTCGCATTGGTCTTGGACGACCGATAGCTTGGCGTAGATGTCCTTCAATTTGGCCAGAAGTTGATCGTTGGAAGGCGTAAGGGCGTTGACCTGCTTGATGGGTTCGACCATCGCTTGCGATTCAAGCGGTAGGTCCTGGTTGTTGGCTTTTACGGACTGGGCATCCGGCTTGGCAGTATCGTTGGTATCATGTTCGCGGTCGGTGGAAGTAGCTGTCCCATCATCCGATTCATCTGCTTTGGTGCCCTCGTGGCTTTCACTACGCCCATTGTCACGCAGCAATGATGGACCGTCGAGTTGTGTTGCGACCGCCACCTCAGAATTGCCTTGAACCATGGAGTCGGTCGTAAGGTAGCTATTGTGTTACACCTCGTCAGCGTAACGCCTGTCGCGTTGATGAAATCAATATGGACGTACTAAGCAGGAGGATTTTTGGATGCATCAGAACCCATGGTACAGATGAAAGGATCCTACCGGAAGAGCGATAAAGCTGCTGTGGCTGAGGTCAAAATCGGAGATAAAGACTTGACTGGTAAGTGGTCAGAGGGGACTAAATGAGTAGTGGGAATGCACAAAAAGAGAAACAAGTCGAGAACAGTCAGGAAAAATAAGAAAGAGCACGTAGGGAACATACCAAGGGTCATATAGGGTGCAAAAAATGAAAAAAAGTCTGGAAAACGGGGTCATACGCGCTCATGCCGTCGCCCATTCGCTTTTATGCTATAAACAAATACGGAATGCAGTCGAATTTTAGGACCCTTCCGATAAACATGTCAGCATATCAGTTACCTCAGCAGCTGGCCTCCACAACCGTCTTGCAGGGGGGTTGAAAGCTGACAAGACCGGGGTCTGAACTAACGCAGGGGCGCCCAATATAAGCCGATCTCTCATGATTGATCGACACTTACTCATTTAGCTTATCTATACCCCTTAATTCCCGTCTCAGCCACTGCTGGCGGCGCTAAGCTGGGTCTACAACAGTCCCTTTTCTCTTCTTTTCTTCTCATTTCTACAAATTCCTTTTCTCTTCTTTTCTTCTTAATTCTACAAATTTGCTACACCTTCAAGACAAAATTATTTTATCTTCCTCAACCTCCAATTCTTTAATCGACGCTGCATATGTACCAAATCATAATACTCAACACTTTACCCAAATTGTTTTAAAATCTCAACACTTGACATTGTCGCCATAGCAGAGATACAGCTCAGAGCGTAACGTTTACAACCAGGTTCTGAGATGAGCAGGAGGGGGAAATATCTCTGTCTAGAGACTCAATCGTCATCGACGTCTCACTTTTTCGCCGGGCAGGTACAAGACAATGCCGGGTCCTTTAGTCACCTGCCGCCTGAGATTCGTCAATACATCTATGAAGAGCTTTTTGGCAACCAACAGGTTCATGTCCTGTACTACAACCCAGGGGGGATAGGAAAATCGCTCTCAGGCGCTGAAAAGATGCGTAAGGGCAAGATTCCACGCTGGGGCCATTTCATTTGTTGTTCCACGCCGCATAAAGGACCACATGACCATGATGAGTATACGCATAAGTGGTGCCATCTCTCTGCTTCTCTTATCTTTACCTGTAAGAAAATGTAAATTTCAGACCCATGGGACTTAACGAAATGCTCCTTCTAACTTAGAGATGGCCGCAGCTTCATCGAAGGAGTCCCTGTACTATACAACTCCAACAGATTTATGTTCGATGCCCCAAAACATTTTCTATCTTTTCGATTAGTCACTACGGACGCTATCTAAGAAAGCTGAGCCTGGTCGTTGCTGTACGGCAATTCCCCGAAATACATGAAGAAATCCTTATGCTAGCTGAAGAGCAACCGAAATTGGATATCGAAATCATGCTATTAGAGCAAAAAATGTCCAGGAAAGAATTTCGCCACGCTATCATTAAACCGCTTCGGGACATTGACGAGGAATTGAATCCTGAGAATATGGAGGATGGTCAAGTTCGAGTAATCAATCTAAAGTTCTTCCTTGGAAACAAGACCTTTCCCTATAGAGGTAGTCCCCAATCGAAGCGCGCTGCTTCAATCATCTCAGTCTCTATGGCGCCAGAGTCAGAGACGGCCAGTCATTCATAGAGCACATATGGTTTAAGCGAAGGCGAGCCGAATTGTTCTGGGGAGATGGACTTTGCGACGGCGGTGCATGCATAAACTGCATTTCGATTGATTGATGTGAAACTGCAAGCCTGAAAGTCAAAGCGAGGACACCCAGCCCGACCCCAGCCAACTCTCTCCTAGTTCGAGGTGCTGAGCTCGACTCTTGGATGTGAAGAGAGTTATAGACTAACAAAACAATATATAGAGTAACAGGTGTCTCTGAAGACTTATGATACTATACACCGCCATATACCTGAAGATACTTCACAGTCATAGGTGCTCGCATGTCCAATGGCCTTGGCTACCCTGCAGCTTAGTATCAACCTCCGAAAACCCCAAACCCCAACACCCCAAGGATCGATCATGCATTGAATCTGAACCCCAGCCTATTGTAATCCAGCACATAAAGCGATGTGTGAACCATCTATCTCATGGTATGACCATCAAGAGTCTGATATTGTTGCCAGATGATAAGCCGGCCGACCTAGACGGCCTCTAGGAGCAAATGTAGCTGCTACAGTGGACTGGAAAGCTCAATGCCGTCTGCTTTGATTCCAAGATGACAAGATCGGGCTTGCCAGTCAGCAACATGAGCCAAAAGGGCAACTTACTCTGTTTTTCTTGGTCTTGACGGTTGTTTGTGCAAAGTCAAAGTTTGACAGCTTGACGTAGCGCTGTACCTTATGTAGTTGACCTTGACGGTTACTTAGTGTGCATGATCCATGTTACGTGTGAGGCGCCAAGCTGGATCAGGTCGATGATATGCTTAAGAATAAGCACCAGACCCTGAAGTAGGTAAGAAGCAGTACTCAACGACGAACCGCATTACGGAGTTCCTGGGAACCAGACGCAGATATGCGAACCGTCGGTCTCCCACCACCAAAGAGCTTCATGCTCTTCTGTAGACTGACTGTCATGATATTGAAGTTTCAGTCTCTCCAAAATACAATTCTTGGAGGTCCCAAAGTACACATAGATGTATCATCTGTAAGCCATCTATCTCAACTTCCGACCTTCAAAGAGATATGCATCACTAAGTCGTGTCTGCGGATTGACTGCGGAAGTAGGCATATCAGGGCAACAGAAGGAAGAAACCTTTTGGTCTCGGAAGCGACGCTCATCCATATGAATTTTGCAGCAAATAGTAAAGTTATATCACGGCGCTGCGATGTAGGTAGCCGATACAACAACAGGGTCCTTTTTTCTCAAGCGAAGGAATCTAGTTGCAGCTCCCTTGCTATGCAGGGACAGCTAGATATTACTATCCAGTCTATCTGGGATCTATTAGAAAGAGAATAGACCACTGACAAAGGAAATACTCTTGTTACTGAGAGGTTAGGACGGGAAGATAATTAATACAGTCAGGCCTATGTCACCAAGGTTGTTTGCTATACTTGGGAGGTTGGCATTAATGATATTCTATTTACTTGGAGAAAGAATAACGAAGCTTTCAAGCTTTCGATGAGGATCAAATCAATCTGTAATATGACATGATAGATCGCTGGCAGCTTTGACTCCTTTTACCATGCGTATGACTTTTGTCCTAAAATGCAGCACCGAGTCCTTTTATTTGTTGTCTGGTGTAGCTCGCTGACCTCATAGCTACCTATTTGGGTATAGTTCATCCGATAAGATCGATCTTGATGTGATAGCGCGCATCAGCAGGGGTTAGCCCTCTGAAAGCCCACTGGAGCCCACTGGAGCCCACTGAGCGGCCATCACAATGGAATAGAATTGATGGTTACAACTTCAAATTAAAGTCATCTTTTGTAATTAAAATTCAAGTCAAAGCCTTTCTCTTTCTCTTCATTTTGATGCGTGATGCACGGTGGTGCGATGACCCTGCTCAATTCAATCGATGAAAGTCCCCGATGGCTCGGAGTTTGCGCCGGATTCATGAGAAGTGGGGCCGATCCGTCGAGATCACGGCGGTCTGTTGTATATGTCTCTCTCCTCTCAAATCATCACTGATCGTATCATTTCCTGGAACCTTTTGACCTTTAAAGTCTGATCGACTATAAGAGCACCCTGTCGCAGCCGGATACGGTACCATGATGCGCATCGCAAACTCCATTCTGTCAAGTTGAAGGGACAGATGTTAATGATGCACACCTCGGCCAATTCAAGCTCATTCCATAGCTAAGGGTTTTGAATGAATTCTGGTATCGATTTGCTATATAGCAATGTCTTGTGAGATATGCAGTCACAATCCGCGCTAGGTCCATGTCTCTCAACAACATGTTCGCTCACAAGCTCTGGGATGCGCCCAGTCCAAAAGCTTCATATGGGCAAAGGTCAACAAGATCCGCGTCAATAAATCGCGCAACTTGACGCAAAGCAATGGAGTCCAGTTTCATCATGATTTTCATGGTTATATAATTTATGCGCGACATGTAAGAATCGTTGATCTCAATGCCCATCCAAGACCATCCCGAAACATCATCACCATGTTCTCCCAGGCTAAAAGGCATCTCTACAAAGAAGTCGCCAGATTGAAAGCAAACTCAATTCCATTCCCATGTGTCAGTTCCTTTCACGCGACAAATTAATGGCGTGCGCGCATCCCATTATGCTCTCCATACTAGACTTGTCAATGGTGTGGCTGCCGACTGACATGGAGGCTGAGTCCCAGTGGCTGTGCGCGCAATCACAATGCTAGAGGGGAAGGTGGCAGGGTACAGTCCTCTCATTGGCCCGTACCCTCTTTACCAATACGGAAGGGGACAAAGTACAGACCAGTTTTTGGTCTGTACCCTGTCGCCTTCCCTTTTTGAGAGCGATCTTGGCCCCAACAAGACTCTTATCAGCTTATCGCACTTTCAATCACGTCGTCGTCTGCTACCATGTCAGTTTCACGATCCTCGCTCTTTTGTGAATTGCACAATGGCCTCCTCCGATAGCGAGGAGCCAACCAAGGCTCCGCCAATTGGCGAAACCACCAAACCTTTCGTATGTCGCACATGTGCCGCTGCGTGTTGTGATTGCTCATTGAAATTCTTTTACAGTCCCAGCATCTCCTTCACAACGTCCTCGAGAATGCGCCGGCGCCCGGTCCCCCGTTGAGCAGATTTGTTCAGACAACACTACGACAGTACCCCCGACAAGGCCGCCAACAAGCCATGACTGAATTGGTAGAGCAAAGCCCTTCTATTCGATCATCGATATCGCAGCTCCGCCGTATGCAGCGCTCATCGCAGAGGAACTATCGGGCAGACAATCAGACTCGCACCGACGTTGCGATAGCCTACCTTGATGAGCAATGGGGTGGTCGACGCAATTGGTTACCGCCATGGCCAAAGGGCCCAAGCGACAACAATCTCACTTTCCAAGAACTCGCGGCGCCAGACATATTCTACCTCGCATCAATCTCCAAGATTGCCGTCACAAACTCGGTTGACCTCCCGTCGCTCTACTAGCCCAATGGACTCATCTACAATGCTGCCATGAAGCATATTGGTCAAGGCCAAACTCTGCGATAGCGTCGTCAAGTTGGCAAAGAAGCATTGGCCTCAGCAAATCGGGCTTGGCCACCCATTCAACAACCTCCTCCTCAGAACAAAGAGCCTGGCTCTGGCGTTGAATCACCTGAGCCCTTTCGCCATGACCATCATGGCCTATCCTTCCTGGATGACGACGCTGGTTACTACCCTGAAGATCGATCGTCACCTGTCCCTGGCTCAGACCTTGGGCAAGTCGAATTACCTACCCTGAGTCCTGGAGACGAAGAACAAGTTGCCATGGCGTGTTCGCTCAAGCGCAAGGCTGAAGACAGCCTTGGTCCAATTCAACTTGGCTCCTCGCCCGCCCGTCAGCCCTGGTACGATGAGGCAATCAAAGCCCGTGGTCAATTGAACGAGAACGCATGGTTGAGCGATGACAGCATGGATTTGCTCATCAAGCTTATCGTGAGCGAAGCTCCCGACGCAAACCGCAATAGCTGTCATATCGTCGATACCCAGCTTATCAAGGTCGGCGAACCTCTTCCTCCATTCCCAGCAAATAAGGCAGCTGGCGTCGATGTGGTGTTGATACCACTGTATTTCCCTCGTCACTGGACCCTTGCCGCTGTGGACTTGACGTCTTCCACGGTCTTGTTCTACGATCCCATGGCTAAAGATGGAGGAGATGAACGCCTCCCACATGTCCATCGGCTCTGCCATTGGGTTAGTCCCCAAGGAGAGGCATTTGGATTTCGCACAATGGTAGGTTCAATTGCCGCAATGCTTGTCTCACCCAGATACAACTAACATGGTGCTTTAGGATGGACCTCAACAAGTTAACAGCCACAGCTGTGGTTACTTCGTTCTCAACGCTATCCGATGGTTACTGGGGTCTCCGCTCCCAGCTTCCCTACCAGCTCACTTCGACCAGCCAAAAGAACAGCTGTTGTCGCTCCTCGATACTGCACGCAAGGCGCCAGCCGCTTCTCCTATCGCCCAGACCTCTGGTCACCAGCCCAGCTCTCGTCAGACTGGCGTCGCTTTGCTGAATGCCAAAGCCCGTGAGATCAGAGAGTGCCTCGCCCGTCAACTCGCCGAGTTCCCCCGTGAGAATCTCGATAGCCTCAAATCCCGTCTTATACAAGCACAAGACTCCCTCCGACTGTACGAAGAGGAGTTGGCGGGTATTGCACGCCGGTTGGAGAATGCTCGGCGATGCTCAGCATTGCAGAAGTGGCTTTCCGCGACGTTGAACAGCAACCCTTCACATCCGGCTTTGCCTGACGATGAACAGCTCGCTGAGGCTGCCCAAAGCTTTAAATATATGTGCGAAAGCACCCTATCACGATACCCCGATGACAAAGATGAGCATAGCTTGATGGAAAGGCAGGAGGAGTTAACTGGTTTGGTACACGAGGGACAGAAGGTAGTGGATGGCTTGGTGGAGAGAGTTGAGAATGAGCAAGGGATGATGGAGTTTGACTATGAGATGGCAGAGATCAATCGGCTTCGAGCTGGCGACTGATGGTGGTATTCGGCAATTGTCTGAAATGATTTATCGCGGAGGAAACGGGTAGTGCTAAAGACACGCAGGTGGCCAGCCTGCGTCTCCAGTTCAGGGCGGAAAGGCTGGGATATAGAATGTGGAAAAACGACAAGGGCTTGTTGAGGGGTGCAAGGTTAGACGTCCTGTGGAAATACAAGATACAATAATCAACTCTCCTCCTTTCTTCGTCTTGTCCTTCAACCTATCCATATATGTGGAAATGGGACGGTTGCAACTCAATTTCGTTGTTTGAAATGGTAGTGCGAGACCAGTCTGCTGATCGATAAGGCATGGTAGTCGTGCACAGCCTCATGATAAATCCCAATACTTAGGAGACGATGGGTTTTTATCTGTAAGAGCTAGTCTTTCTCTCGGACTTCTAGTGACTTATATCGGACGCCAGCATCATGGCTTCGAGGTGTTGATATCTCAATCAGGTTGGGGCTGATAAAAGACGCAGCGGTACATCATTGTCCCGGCATGCTTGTATCATTATCGTAGTGTCTCCAGATACCCGGCAGCTATTGACATTGCAAGTGTTTACCGAGAGTGTTGAGAGTGGTATAATGTGTTGAGTGGCTGTCTATAGCTGGAGACTGGCTTCGCATGGAAATCTGCGTTGTGGAGGAAGAGTGTTTCTTTCTGATGTTGCATGCATGCTTGAAAAACAATAGTGTCAAGACAAGCTTCACGGGGTATGGGTCGGCCCTTTTTGTATATTGGTCTGTTGTCGGGCCATGTACTTCCGTCCTCAAGCTCAGGAATGTCTTGTAGGTTTGTTGCAGTCGGTCAGATATTGCAGTTTTCTTTTGAGTCAATGTCTTTTTCAACCGGAATTGTGGCTAATACAATCTGTTTCTGAGACAAACTGCTTGGTAATCGATGGTAGTTCAATGTGAAGGCTGTACTGCGCGGCTCTTGATGAAGATGCCTTGAGGCCGAGAACAAGAGACAGCAAATCGCGATGATAATCTTGAAAGGTGTTAGAAACTGGCGTTGGACTTGGACAATCAGAAAGGACTTGCCAGCTTATTTGATGTGTAGTCTCTCAATGATGGGAGTGGTAGCTCAGAACCTTCCAAAGAAGTGGCCATCGTTGAGGAGGCGTTCCACCTGGTCCAGATACCATACAGACATGATGCGAATGAAAAAGCATATTATTAAAAGCTTGAGTGAAGATGCTATGTGAGAAGTTTGAGGAAGGTGAAAGAGAAACAGAGTTTAGGATAGAATTGGCGGATGAGATGGGCTACCTACCTCTTCAGATCCCATTCGCAATAAGACGACTTTAGAAAGCTCTAGCTTGAGGCCATCCTCAAGACTGATGTAAAGCACATGCAGTTTGCTTAAGAGCCACGCCAGCACTCGGCTGGACGTCAGATCTACGGACATGCACGCATTCTATTACAAAAAGTCGGTTGGTTACGATACAAGCGCATGTTTCTAATCTCGTCTATTAAATGTAACAGAAGCATCAACTGCTGTCTTCATCATGGCTGTATTAAGCCCTGGCACCTCGGTTCGAACCTAAAATGATCCCAGATCCCATCGGATCGAAACTTTGAAAGATGATGGCAGAACAAACCACGTCTCGTTTTCTTGAAAAGGCGGTAAGATGGGTGTTGATCTTCAAGCTGATCCCAGAAATCAAGCCAATGTCGGAGGATGTCAGCCCGGAACTATCACATCCCAGGGCCACTATCGTTTTGCCATATTCAAATTCTTTGATACACGATGTTGCATTCATGGTTTTATGTTTTCGCTCTCTCTCATATCATTATAGGGCTTCACAGTGGTACCCCTTGATGCTCTCTGTGAAGACACCTTTGCCGGCCTTGATGCTGATCCCGTTGTCCTTGATGACCCTGCTCCCTCTCACCGGGTCAATATGATCAGCTATAGACTTGGGGTCAAGTTACTTGATACTTTGGCCGTCAAGACCTTTGAATACTACAGCCCCTGGCAGCAAGGATCTGCTGGATCTACCGGGAAACCTTCTGACCTGATCGATAGTCTCACCGGCAGCACCAACCGCAACAAACACAAATTTAGCAATCCAAACCAAGCGGCATCTGCAAGCAAAAGGAATAAAGATAATCCAGAAGAACGCGAATCAAAGTCCAGGTTTGTCGGAAGCTAAGGGACCATATCCTGAGTCGCAGGCGGTCCCAGATGGTTTTATTTACTAGACGAATATTTCAAGGTGCACAATTCTATAGGCACTAGCTTAACGTGGGGTAAAACACATGGCTCAGCCATTGCTTTAGTATCGGTTTGGTGTATGCTTGTTAATAGGGGTGTGGTTAAGACAGCGAGAAGCCAACAAGAGAAGAATACTCCCTGATAGCCTTTATAGGATATGTGACGAAGGGAAGCGTTTATGTCTCTTGATGGATATGGGTTGACTTGAATTGTTTTGAGAGACGACTCCGTACTTCACAAACACCAAGCGAATAAGTAGAGAAATAATACAGACATCTAGTCATTTTTGCACCTGCTCTATTGGTATCGGTTATCCCCGTTAATCCCCAAGCGTATCAAACTAGATCAAATCCCGCAATCACTGAAAATCGTATAAAAGCCATTCTCAAGACTTCAGACAAGCCTCACTAGCACTGCCCCAAACTATCACATCTTTCGTAAAGGCTTGTGATACACCCTGTACCATTCATACCACTCCTGCGGAGGCTTTGAACGTCTACCTCGATTATATGAAGCCTATGTTTACGGAGATTGTGTCTAGTTGGTCCCGTAGGCTCTCCATGCGTACCAGCATCAATCTGCGTTGATGGAGAAATATCAGCGGGAGCGGGAATGCTCGAATTTACATCGAAAGAGGTCGAGAAATTGCTCTTCAGACTTGTGCCTGAACTCTAGGGGAGCTTGCTGGCATTCGCGGATGGTATTGGAGATAAAGTCGGCACTGAGGCGCCCTAGATTGTGGTATTAACAGTAGGCGGCGTATTGATGGGTTGCTATGCAGATGCCGCAATGTCTGGCCCAGGATGAACTCTCTGATCTGTTCCTGGTACTAAGGATGTCAGAGACTCTGGTGCGGTAGAAAGCACTCCGCTCAAGCGCTCGGTGATGTGAGAAATTGAGATCTCACTGACTGCTGGGGCTGGAGATAGATCAAAGGACTGGTGGTCTTTGGGCGTTGGTGCTGTAGACATATTAACAGAATCCGATAACTTATAAAGAGCAGTTAATGATTTGGGACGATGATTAATAAGTATATCTTGAGAGTCTCCCGTGCTGATAGAAGAGGGAGACTGGTCTATGTCCGCCTGAGCGTCTACAGTTTGGTGGGGCAATGCTTGGAAATAATTGCGCGCTTCCTCCCACTCTGTGAGAAGTTTGTTCAACTCGGGGCTCTCTATCGTGGCGGGATCTCTGTTGTTGAGATATCGGAGCGTCGGCTGGTGAGCGTAGTCTGTGGCGGCGCGGCTTGGACTCATCGGAGGAGGGGAGAGCATGATATGGCGACGGGACGGAGTAGCAGTGGTTGGCATATGAGAGACTGAGACTAGGGATAGCGTTTGGCAGACCTGTCATAGGGTGGACATCGGCAGCGGTAGACGTGGCACTGTTCTCTGCAAGCGCAGTGTTGAAGGAATCTCCTCCTGCTGCTGCTCTTGATATTGAAGTTGAGTTGAGATACAATTACTTGCGCTCTGCCAGGTCTTGAATATCTAGTGGTAAGCACCTCAAGCCAGCTGCGTAGACACGTCAGACAGCATATATATCAGCCCGTTGGCTCAGAAGCGCTGTGGACGAGACGACGGAGCTCTTATCACCAGCGACGGCTGTCTGTGCAATATCAGGGTATTTATCGACCAGCACTTTGATCGAGGCTTGGCGCTCACTGCTCAGGTCTTTCCAGTCAATCCCATCCATGATGAGGTTGAGAGACCTTTGTTCATCTTCAGTGAGGGGGTAACAGCTCGACCACATTTTGCCAGATACAAATAACTAGTTATTGATGGTTATTGTTTTGTAAATGAATGATAAGAAGAGACATTTTTTGGCAAGAAATGAAAGTAGAAAAGAGAAATTGACACCACCTGCGATTAATCAGTGGGCAGGGGATTGTGGAGTTTGTGTTACAATAACAAAGAGTCAAAGCTGATAAGTAATATGCCAAGTTGTTGCGCACTGAGAATTTCAGAAGCATGTCCAACTCTACGACAGAGGCGAGAAAGTTCCAAATAGCATGGCAGTTGTTTAACCCAGCTCTTGTGCAGTTTTTTTGTTCTCCGTATCTGTGGTTTGAACACCGCCGACCTAGGCATCGTCTAATGATAACTACGAGCCTCCAGCGGCGTTTCTCTTAGGACCAGGAAGCGCAAGGTGTGAATGCATTTTCGGCCAACTTCATCAATCCAACATGTTCTCTGCTAATTTATGTCTTTCCAGGCCCATCGTAGCCGCCCAAATGCTTCGCCCTCTTCCCGTTCATCCGAAAAGTCCCTGTCCGAAGCAATCTTGCCCATCGCAAGACACGCTCCCCAAGATAATACAGGTGCTGAGGATGAGACAATCCCTGATAATAGGGCTGAAACGACCGTCCCCGTCCTTGGAGACATACAGCTATACTTATAACAACTATACATCATCTGCCGGATCTGGATCTGGATCTGGATCTGGCGGTAGATGGAGAAACCCCCTGTTTTACCTTTCTTCCTATGCTGCGGCCCTCCCCTGATCATCACGCTGCTTCTGATCGTGATCTTTGTTGCGGCGGCACTTCAAGGCCTGACAAGGGCATATAATAACGTGGTGAGCGCTGTCCAATGTGGATTGACCAGCGTAGAGTCCATTGTAAGCTTCGGTTACTTATTCTCACAACAACCCTTGAATCAACAGCCCAAGTTGCCCACATCTTCTGTCACCATCGTCCCAACCACGATCGAGATAAAGCCGTCTTCCATTGTGTCCACTCCTAATGGTATCACCAAGGCTTTCCAAGATACCAACGCCTAGATAGATCTGCTGAAGGCCCATCCTAGAGTTGCCGTCTACCACAACAACACGAGCTTTTTGGTTGATGGGAGAGAAAACTTGGGTCAGTTGTGGACAATCGTCTCTGAGGACATAGCCCACGTTGAAAAGGAGCTGCGCCGCACCTTTGGACCTCTCCACCAGGAAGCAGTACACGGATCAGCCCAGCGGGTGGGAGGCTGTTTGGTGTTGGCTCACTTGGTCTCGGCCTTGAAAGCCCATTCAAGTAGCCCACGATAGTTTGGAGATTCTAGGGGCGCTCCTTTCCCACGCCGAGAAAGCCCAACATGTCATTCCCGTCAGTGACCTCAAGGGTCTCAACAAACGTCTAGGAGCGCTCGCTGATAAATCATGCCAGCTACGCAACTTGATTGAGGGCGCGAGTGCAGAGATGGCGCGTAGGGAAGAGTTCAGCAGTGACATGGCCAACGCGGTGAGCCGGGCCAACGTGCTATGCAAGACGCTTCTGCGTATTAATACAGTCCATTCTCTCCTCCTCCTCCTCCCCCCCCCCTCCGTGATCGAGAACAGCCGAGAGGTTGTCGACAAACCGACCCATACAGGAACGAGTACCTGTCGTGGATATATCCGGTGATGAAGAAGATTTTGCGCCCATCGAGGGCCGCATGGACTGGCAGGTTGATCATGGGATACAGCTGGACCCCCAGCGACAAGACGTGAATGAAGATGGCTTTTATAAGCAGGATATCAATGAGGCTGTTCAAAGAAGCCTCCAGGATCGATGGCCTAAGCGTTCAACCTGGCAGCAGCCGCAGCAACAACAACATCGTCCAGTGTCACTGACCATAATACCTTTTCCCACCATGAACAGCTGGGGGCAGCCCTGGTCGACTCCAGATCCTGAACCTGAGATGCAACCAAACCCGCAGTCACAGTTGCATCCCCAGATGTAGATGCAGATGCAGATGCAGATGCAGACTCAGACGCACCAACAAACATAATCAGACGAAATGACAGTCGTCTAGATGCCAAACCCCGTCCAGATCGCTTTAAACATATCAAGCGAGATCCAAACCGCCATAGCCGATGTCAATGGACGCAAGCACCTCGAATTCATCGAGAAAAGCCTAGCCACAGCGCAAAGGGATCTCAACAACAGCATGCAAAGCCACCAGCAGCACATAAGGGAATTCGACATACAGCTACAAGCAGTGGGGGAAAAGCGGCAGACAGACAAGACATGAGCGGATGCGAAGCGGCAGGTACTTGGGGATCGTGAAACCGCTTTGGGGGTGTCTGAAGAGAAAGTAAATATCAAGGCCAGGCTGCTTTCTAAAGAGAAGCAGACTTGATGTAAGAGAGGAAGCTATCAAGATGGCAGAGAAAAATCTTCAGAACAAAGAGATGGGGGAGAGACAGAGACCAATGGAGCTTGAAGCGTCGATGCAGCGGATACAGGTCATGCAGCAGCATCTGGTAGACCTTCAACAGCAGCAAGAGCCCTAAAGGAGATTCCGAGTCCCTTGTAAAAGCGAGTTCGATCTGTAGTCGGAGCATGACTGGCCCGGAGACGAGGATAGAGTACTCCACGTCAGCTATCAGCCACTCGGGTCCAGGAATGGGTTGAGTTGGAGTCCGAGCCTTTCCTACAGCCCCAAAAGCCTACTCAACGACGTCTCTTCACCTCACGACAACATAGCCCACCAGCAGCTATCATCAATCCGACCGACACTTATACGCGAACGCACAGAATGCGACAACCGGTGGATATTGCCATGGAGTGTCTCCGGGGTTGTGATCTTGCACCTGATTGGCGTGAAAGAAGGATAGCAGATCTAGCTTGTATGAGCCACCGAGTTGGGCTCGCCTTCGATCCAAAGGCTGGAGTACTGGAGTTGTTGATTCATGGATATTTGCCGTGTGTGTAGGTAAGCAGAGAAGGAGGATGGTTAGCGATTGTCGAGCAGTTAATGTGGAAGGAGGTCAGGAAAGGAAAAGAGAGAAGAAGAAGAGGAAAATGGGGGTAGCACCGAGAGGGTAACACGGTTTGGTTGTGAAGCAGTTGTGTGTCTCGGGACTCTGGAGCAGGGTTCACAAGGGAGCGTGCATAACGAAAGGTAGCAACATTGGTATTTGGTCACACAATATTGCCTGGCCTGGTACAAAAGCACTGACACGCTACTGAGGCGCTTCGTCCACAGTCTTACCATCGTTGATCTGGGATGTGTCGATATTCTTCCTGACGATCCGCGCTTTCTGGCGCTCCTCGAGGAACACATTCACCGTGAAGATAAAGAGGACATTAAGCGCCGTCGAAAGCAACACGAGCATCATCATTTTTCATTCTCATCACAAATACTCAGTGTGCCCTCTCCAAGGTTTCACCCCTGTCATCTACGTTTACACCACTACACAGTCAGCCCCATCATCGCCGCCTCCACTCAACGACGACCAAAAATCCAGGACCATGTCTCGGAGGTTGAAGATGATCTGACTACCATGAGTAGAGCAAATGCTTTCCAGGTGCCACTGCGTGCCAAATATGAGTCGTTGTCGATGTAAAAGTCATATCAGCGCTTTTTTAGGCATTCTCCCAGGGTCGCATAGCAATACAATAACTTGAAGCTCTGACGGGACATCTGTAGGCGGGTTGGTCAGGACTTCATATTCAAAGTTGCACAAGATAAACAACCTACCTTCAACATCCAGTACCAGACTGTTATACCTCATACCATTGAACTGCTGTGGCAGAGCACTGAGGGTCCCAGCGTCTTTGTGCTGGGTCGGGCAGATTCATCTGTGCTTAATGTTGGCTTATAAATAATATTCGCCTCAAACGTGGTGCCGATACCCTGGTGACAAGACGAATGATCATGATGGGGATTTTGGCCTCTCTTCTTATTTATGCATGACATTTCGCTACTCTATCACTACTGTCTGTGGAAGAGAGCTGACAGTTGAGTTCTTGAGCTCAGGCAAATTCCTCTTATACCAAGGCCAAAGCATCTCCAGTGTCCAAGCCCTCAGTTTCTGCAACCCAGCAATAACCTGAAATACACCAATAGTTGAATCCGTCCTTCCAAATTCAATACTTGGCAAGACCGTCTATAACAAAATCAGCTGATATTCTTCAAACTCGGATAAGAAACTTACAGTTGTAGCTTGACTTCTCGTTGTGATGACAAGTGACCATGAATGTCCCTGAACCACTATGCCAGGGAGAAATCCGAGTTGGGAGACTGATGCATCACCCGCTCGGGCTATGAGGAATTCCCACTGGGCGGCGTGCCAGATTGCCAGTTGTTGTTCTCCTTTAGCTATGTCGCCGCCGTGACGCTTAGTCTCAATGCTTATGCCTAGAGGATACTGCTGTAGTATTTTGTCACTTGTCCAGTTGAAGCATAGCGCTGCATATTGTACTGCTTGTTGTGTCTGCAAAATTTGCTGAGGTCGTTGTTGTGGTTGAGCTATTAATATGTTCTCAGTGTTCACAGTTGGGTCGCGTTTAGGACGAATTCGGAAGATGTAGTCAACACGACTTGAACTCTCAGCAAATCTGTGGTATGTCGAGTCGATGTTCGTCGTAGTACTGTATTTGTCAACATCGTATAAGAGTGAGTGATGAAAGTATTTGACTTACCAGGGCATAAAGTCCAAAATAGCATACGCCGGGATATCTCCCATCTCAGAGACTAGTATCTCCAATAATGGTGTATGCACCAGATTATTCCAAGCTGCCTCATCGCTAAGCATGCTAGCACAATCACCAGACCGTTCGGCAATGCGAGACGCCCGACGAACCAGTTCCTCAGCACGAGCTCTATCTGTCAATTCCTTGCCTTCAATGCTGCCATCATCGTAGAACATGTAATCCAACAATGGCTCAACTGAATAAACCACCTCGGGAAGCTTCTCAATTTGTGATTTGCACCTCCTTGGCATGATTTCATGCTGTAGAAATACGCGTTTCATCTGTCGAATGAGATGCCGAAGTGTTGCAGATGAAGCACCTTGGTTTATCATACTGTTCAGTGAACCTCGCGTCAGACGACGTCCTTCGGGTCCATACAAGGGAAAGTTCTTTGTTGGTGATTGAGATCGTTTCGAACGTTTGCTGGTCCGTGACGAGGTCTCGCTTTGACTCTCAGAGTGAAAACTGGCTGCGTTGCTCCGAAGGTCTTTTCCGCTTGTTGTGCTGGCTCGTGGTGTTTCGTCATTGTCGGTTGCGTCATGTGCTGTTCTCTTGACTGGTGATTTACTTGGTGTAGAGGGTTGCATGACTTGAGATTTAGATGATACAGATACTGTTGATGACGACTTCGAATGTCCTGCTCCTGACTTTGGGGGAGAAATGGGACGATGTCGTTTGCGAGAGTCGTCGAGTTTGGATGATCTTTGTCGCTTGAGATTGCGCTGGTAAGAGTCTGCACAAGGAAATGCGGTAGAGTCGAATGGGAGCGTGTCAAGCCAGCATATGACCTGACCTTGGGACATGTCAAAGGCGATAGATGGCATTTGTCTCGACTATGGATGTACACCAGCTCAATAGTGAATGACCTCTTTGATAATGTTGTTGTTGATGGTCTTGCATTTACGACCATGGTCCAAGCATGGTTAGGGTAATGGTTGGCGGGGTGAGACACGGAAAATAATTACTGCGGAGTTGTCTGTCAGCCAAATCCAGCCAATCATTTGAGCCGCACTGTCCATACACATATCTTATCAGCCTTATCGTTATCTCGGTAGCCGTCGCTCCATCTCAATTTTCCATTTCCTTTTTCAGCATTCATTCTCTTACCCTACGTTTTCATGGAAAAGACAACAGAAGATAGCAATGCATTATTTGGAGCTAATCTTGGCTGAGAGCTGGACCTTATCGCGTCATCTAGATAATAAGAAACGTGATATAAGTGAGCAATAATTGCCATTATTTACTTATATTTATTTGACATTGCAATATGCAGTGTGGTTTCCGAATGGAGAAACGGTACTGCTGTGTATTAAAAAGAACCAAATCTGTTTCCAAACATCAACGCACCACGGTCTCAGCACACAACAAAAGACAAAAACCCTTAGAATATTCTAGCTCAGCCCTAAAATGTAGTCTTTCATCACCAAGCGTCAACCAGACTGCCTAAACCCTGTAATATATCATATTATTAAGGGTGAATAAACACGTACCTTGGTCCTAACCATGCTACTAATTCTGAGCCCTGTTCTTACTGTCTAGTGTCTTTGGCTGCATTATTAGCGTATATCACTACAAAGCCATGAGAAAATTGACTCAGAAACTGAGTCACCATCACTGATGGCTGGAATTCGTGCAGAATCCGACCCTGGAGACAAAGACAAGACTGCCTCACGTTGACCGCTACGACAAGTAACAGGGATCTTACAACATCTTCTACGTTGCGAAAAGAGCACTTCTTTGTGCGCTGTACGTTGAAGCGTGGGTCTCTATTGCAATAGTAATGTTTTTATAGTGTCTTCTTTGTTGCCGTATGTCACAAACAGTGAAAAGGTTGAGTATACTAAGATGGAATCACAACATATAAGCCGTCGTGTTTCTCGCTATTGAGAATGCTCATACAGACATCTTGGTCATTGTCGCAGAAACCGCTAATTGCGCTGGTCACCGTATCTCTCATATTGCTCGTATTGCCAGGGCTGCTACCTTTACTGTAAGTTGCCCATCTGACAAAGAACCGTTACTGTTCCTTACGCTCTTAACAGCAGGATTCCGATCTACTTCAAGGTCTTTGACCCTCCAGGCATACAATATGGAGCCAGAATTTAACCCGTTGCGCTACGTGCTCCAAGCATCCCTCGCGTTCCACCAAATTATCATAGAACGTCTTCCCAACGATCATCAACTCATCACCAGGCTTTACGCAACAGACTATCTCATAAATCTTGAGATTGAGGCTCAAACATCTACTCCCAGCAACGCTGAACACAAGCGTACCAAGGATGGAGGTGCACCGCCGCCTGAGAATCTCCCCCTATCAACTCTGTCGCTGCAATCTCAAAGTCGCGGAGACAATCTTGAAGGTTCACTTTTCGTTTCTTCACCCGTGCGAGAGACCGCCATGTCAAAGGATGCGCGCTGGAACGAGAACAAGAAGAGAAAGGCTCCTGAACTGGAACCTAAGGCGCTGAAAAAGAGAAAGGTTGAAAAGCCTACTTAAATAGTATAGAAGTTTAGAATAAAATGTTAAGAGAATAATAAAAGACCTAGAGGATTTTTAAATACTTATATTAGTTTATATTAATATTAAATAGATATATTTATAATTATTAAAGTTATTAGTTTTTATGTAATAAAATATAATTTTTATTATTATAAATTTAAATAAAATTTAAAATAAAATTATTAAATTTATAATAATTAAAATATAAAGTTTAAATTTTCTTTAAATTATATAAAATAATATTATATTTACTTATTAATTATATTATTTTATTTAATATTATATTATATTTTACTTATTTATTTAATAATTAAGGTTTTTTTGATTTTTTTATTAATATATTTAATTAGCTTTTTTAATTTATATATTAATTTTTAATTTATATTAATTATTTTATTAATTATTTTATTATATTATATGTATTTTTTTTAAAAAAGAACATTTAATTTAAAATTATATAATTAATTATATAATTTATTTAAATTATCTAAAAAACATTTAAAATATATATTAATTAAACTTTTATATATAAAATATAATATTTATTTTTAAATTAAATTAATTTTAATTTAATAAATTTTTTAATTTAAAAGTTTTTATAAAATATAATAAATTAGGTTTTAAATAAGTAAATTAATTTATATTAAGTTTATATTTATAGAGTTAAAATAAAAAATTAAGTAAGTTATAAAATAAATTACAAAATTAATTAAATAAAACAATTATATACCAATATATTATTAATATAAATAAAAAATTATAAACTTATATATTTTTTTATTCTTTTAAAATTATAAATAATTACTTATTACATATTAATAAAACTTTATTAAGTTAAATTATTATAATTAGCTATTTTAATTGCAACTTAAACCTAATTATATATATATTAGTTAAAAAGCCTTACTTATTAACTAGCTTAACCTTCTTCTTATAACTTATTTAAAAGGTTTTTTATTTACTTTTATGATATATTATACTTTAATGATTTATTATATAATAAGTTATTTAAATTAACTTTTTATTATAATTATTAATAATATTTATTTGATAAAGCCTATAACTACCTAAGCCTAATAAGCCTTATATTATATAAAAATATAATATAATCCGTATAGTAAAAAAGGTTTTTTTAAAAAGCTAAATAAAATAATTATAATATACTTTATATAATAGCTATTAAAATTATAAAAGCCTAGGAAATAAAAAATAATTATTATTATATTAAATAAGCTTTTTTTAATTATAAGGTCGTTTATTTTATATAATATTTTATTAATAACCCTTTAATTAATAAAGCTGCCCTTAATACTAGGAAATAAAGATTTTAAATTTTAAGATAAGTATTAAATAGAAGGTAGTTAAAAAGGAGGTAAAATAACTTCCTTAAGGCCTTTTATAATAGCTTATATGATAAATAGCTTTATAATATTAGGAAGTGGGTCATAAAGGTATTATTATTATAATAAAGAATTAATAACTTATAAAATATAAATTAGGCTAATTATAATTTTAAATTATAAGAGTATAAATATAAAAAAATAATATATTATAATTTAAGATAAAAGTAAGGTAATTATAAGGTTTAAAGGAAAATATACTAAGTTTTATATAAGTTTAAGTTACTTAAAGTTAAAAACCTAAAGTTATAAATTTAATACTAATAATAAAAAGAGGATTAAAAAGTTATAAAATAAATTATATAATTATATAAGTAAATTAATTATAATATTATTATATTATTTATATAAATAGATAAGAAAAAAAGTAATATATATTATATATAATAATTAAAGTTATTAAAATAAACTTTTTATTTAAAAGAATTTTAATTTAATAAAAATTACTTTTTTTTAATTATTATTTAATTTAATTAATTACATATATTAAAAAAAAGTAATGTAATAATTATATATAAAGTAATATAATAATATTTTTTTTTAATATAAATATAATATAAGGTATTATATATTATAATAAAAAATATTAGTTTATTATAAGTCCTTATTTTTTTTAATACCTTCTTAGCCTATTATTAAATATCTTTAAGCTACTTATTATATAAGCTGCCTAGGCTAAGAGCCTTAAGGAACTTTTTTTTTTACTTAGCTATAACCCTTTATAAAGCTTTCTTTTTAAATCCTTAAGGCTTTAATTCTTAATATTTAAAAGGCTTTATTAATTAAAAGGTTTTTTATATAAAAAAAATATATAAATAAGGGGATCTTATAATTAAAAATTATTAAATTCATATAATTAATATTTTTTTGTTTTATTAAATTAGGCCTGTTTAATATTTATAATTATTATATAAAATATATTATTTTTACTTTTTTTATTTTACTTAAGAGCTTTTTTAATTTTAGGGATTATATTATAGCCTTTAGTTAAATAAAGCTTATTAGACCTAGGTGATTATAGGCTTTTTTAAAGTATTATAATAATATAATTATAATACTATTAGTAGCTATAGCTAGAAGTTAAGTTAAATAATTTATTATAAAAGTATAATAAATAATTAAAGTATAATTATAAGAATTAATAAAAAACCTTTAAAATAAATTAAAAGAAAAAGATTAAGGCTAGTTAATAAGTAGGGCTTTTAATATTGTAATCCTAATAGTTATATTATATATATCTTATAAAATTCTATTAATTATATATAATTATTATAAATTAAATTATTTTACTTATAAGTATTAAGATTTAATTATAATAAATAAACCTAAGTTATTAATAATTAATATAAATCATTAATAATTCTCAGAATTATAATATAATTATATTATATATATAAATTATATTTATTAGCACTTTTATTAAACTTAGCTTATTAGCTACTAATATAATACTTTTATATTAATAAGCCTTATATATATTACTTAATTATTAAAAAATATAATAATAAAATAACTATTTAATATAATATTTTATATTTTTATAAATATAAATTTAATATAAATTAGTTTATTTATTTAAAAACCTAGTTATTATATATTAATAGTATTTATTTAAAATATATTATATAATACTAAGTAATACTGATATAATAATACTTATCCCCTGTTTATATTAATAGTGTACTAATATTATAGCTAATTTGCTTATTTGGTCACATGATCTATCTTATAACTCATTTAATCTTCTTTTCACCGCTAACGCCAAATGTCTTTAACTTTAGGCAATTAAATTTACATAAAACTTAATATATTTCTTTTATTTTCCTAGTCTGACCCTGCGATTACCCCGCTTCCATCCCAGACATCGCAGTACGCCGTCCCCCCTATCTTCGCGCTCTCTTAGTCCAAGACCATAACCAGCCTATCACAGGTCCTTGGTCTTCTTTAATACCTCCTTAGCCTGCCACCAGATATCTTTAAGCTACTTATTATATAAGCCGCCGCTAAGGGCCCTAAGGAACTTCCTCTTCCTCCTACTTAGCTATAACCCTCTATATAGCTTCCCTGCTAGGTCCTTAAGGCTTTATATCTCGGCATTAAGAAAGGCTTTATTAATCAGAGGGTCCTTTATATAAAAAAGATATATAAGTAAGAGGATCTTATAACTAAAGATTACTAGCCTAATATAGCTAGTATAATCCTTATTAAACCAGGCCTCTCTAATATCTATAGCTATTATATAAAGCATATTACCCTTACCCTTCTTATCTCGCCTAAGAGCTTTTTCAATCTTAGGGATTACATTATAGCCTTTAGTCAGATAAGGCTTATTAGGCCTGGGTAGCTATAGGCTTCTTTAGAGCATTATAACAATGCAGCTGTAATGCTATTAGGAGTTGCAGCCAGAAGGGAAAGTCAGGTCAGATAACTTACTGCATAATAGATAATTAAAGCATAATATCCTTTAAAGTAGGTTAAAGGAAGAAGGTTAGGGCCAGCTAATGGGCAGGTAAGGCTTTCTAGCTGGCATATATGCAGCTAGGTTCAGGCTATAATTAAGGCAGCTAATTATAATAATTTAACTTAATAAAGCTTTACTAGCTATAAGGGCAATAAATATTTAAACTATATCAGACTCTAGAGATACTTAGATATACCTTTTAAGACTAACTTATAAACTTAAAAAAAAAAATAAAAAAAAAAAGAATTAATAATGCTGATAACTTTAAGTTAAGCCTTAACTTTTAGTTATAGCAAATAATTAGCCTAACTTAAAATACCTCATAAAATTAAAAAGATTCTTATAAATAATAATAAACAAAAGTAAAAAATATTATCTTAGCTTATTTAAATACTTATAAAAATAAAATAAAGAAACTTAAATAAAAGGTTAAGGACTTAATTAAGTATATAATATAATATATTATTAGAAGGTATTAAACAATATACTAAGGCTAACGTGTTTGATAAGCGAGCGACGCAGTCAAGCGAGCGACGCACTGCACGGTACAGCTAAAAATATAGAAAAAGCATTTTTAGTAATAGTATAGTAATAGCTATATTATATATTTTTCCTAGATTTTTAAAGAAATTCCTTTATAAAGAAAAGCTTAATTATACAGTGTACTTTACAGTGTAAATAGATTTTAAAGTTTATAGCTATATAGGATTTTCTTAGATTTTTTAAAAACATAAAATATCTTATTTTAAGACTTATATATATGCTATTAAGATTATAGCTATTTTAGGCTTAGCTTGGAGTTTTAAAGAGTTTTTTAAGAACCGGATTTAAGGTGCATAGGGTAGTGCGTCGCTCGCTTGACTGCGTCGCTCGCTTATCAAACACGTTATATAAATTAAAATTAAAAAATTAAAAAAAATAAGTAAAAAGGCTTTTAATTTATATTAAAGAAATTAATTATGAAACAAAGAAAAATTAAATATTTTACTAAGAATATATTAAATATATATGTTTACTTATTATAATTAAAAGGAATTTAAAAGAAATCCTTAAGTTATATTAGCTAAACCCTTATAATAAGGATTTTGATAAGCTATAAAAATTCTTAATTAGCTTATAAAGTTATTATTTATATAACTTAACTTAATTTATTATAAATAAACTTAAAATATAATATATAATAAAATACCTCTTATTTATCTTAATAATATATTAATATTATAGCTATTTTACTTATTTAATTATATAATTTATTTTATAACTTATTTAATCCTCTTTTTACTATTAATATTAAATATCTGTAATTTTAAATAACTTAAACTTATATAAAACTTAATATATTTTCCTTTATAAAACCTTACTTTTATTCTAATTATATTCTTTTAATTTAAGATTATAACTAGCCTAATCTTTATAAGTCCTTAATCTTCTTTAATACCTTCTTAGCCTATTACTAGACATCTTTAAACTACTTATTATATAAGCTACTACTAAGGGCCCTAAGGAACTTTCTTTTTTATTTATTTATTTATAATTCTTTATATAATTTCCCTTTTAAATCCTGAAAGCTTTATATCTTAATATTAAAAAAGGCTTTATTAATTAAAAAGTCTTTTATATAAATAAAATATATAAATAAAAGAATCTTATAATTAAAAATTATTAACTTAATATAGCTAATATTATTCTTATTAAATTAGGCTTTTTTAATATTTATAATTATTATATAAAATATATTACTTTTATTTTTCTTATTTTACTTAAATGCTTTTTTAATTTTAAGGATTATATTATAACTTTTAATTAAATAAGGCTTATTAGGCCTAGGTAGCTATAGGCTCTTTCAAATAATAAGTATTATAATAATATAACTATAATACTATTAGTAATTATAGCTAAAAAAAGGAAAATTAGGTTAAATAACTTATTATAAAAGTAAAATAAATAATTAAAATATAATATATTATAGAGGTTAATAAAAGAGTAGCCTTTAAAGTAAGTTAAAGGAAGAAGGTTAAGGCTAGCTAATAAGTAAGTAAGGCTTTTTAGCTAGTATATATATAGCTAGCTAGGTTTAGGATATAATTAAGATAGCTAATTATAATAATTTAACTTAATAAAGCTTTATTAGCTATAAAGGTAATAAATATTTAAATTATATTAAACTTTAAAAATACGTAGATATATCTTTTAAAGCTAATTTATAAACTTAAAAAAACAAGATTTAATAAAATACTTTAAATATAAAGCCTTATAATAATTTAAACTTATCTTATAAGACTATATTACTAAGTTATATTATAAATAAATAAAAATAACTTAATATATATTAAGAATAATATAAAGTAAATATAGTATAATTTTTTCCCCTTGCTTTTAACCTTATAAGAGGCTATTTAGCTTTTTAGCTTTGTTATTAATAGCTTAAATAAGAAGACTTTTATAATAGGCTATTATAATAAAAGTTAATATTAAATAAGATTTATTTACTTTTATAATATAATTACTACCTTGGCTAAGTAATATAAATACTAACTTTTAGTAATTAAATTAACTTTCTTTCTTTAACCTACCTAAAGGAATACTATGCCTAATTTATTTATTATAAAGTATATTACCTAATCTAATTATTAGTAATATTCATTAATATTAATTATAATTATTATTATAATATTTAATTATAATAGCTTATAGCTTAAATAAGGCTTTTTTTTAATTAATTATAATCTTATGAATATAATTAAATTAATCTTAAAAAAAGCTATAAGCAGAGATTATTATATATTATATATAATAGATATAACTATTAAGAGATTATTATATATTATATATAATAGATATAACTATTAAAAAGAACTTCTTATTAAAAGTATAATAATTAAATTCTAAATTATAAAACTAGGCTAGTCTAGGTTTTTATTTATAAATTATATAAGGTATAAACTAAGTATTATTAAAGTATTATATCTCTTAATAGTAAACTTAATATATATTAGGCTTAATTAAGATAAAGAAGTTTTATTAATAGCTAGTAAACTAAGATTTATAAAAGTGCTAATAAATATATTTTATATACTTATAGTAACTTACTATAATAAGTTAGTATTTATATATAAGCTATACGTTTAATTATGAGTCTTATTAAGTAGCTTATAATAGAAGTAAAAAGAAAGTGTAAGTTATTATTTAATTAAAGTAATTTTATATGGTTTATCTAATATGACTACTAGGATTATAATATAATATCTCCCCTCTATTAAGTCTTATCCCAAAGACTTATATAACTCTTATTTTTATTATCTTTTTTCTAATATATTTAACTTAAACTTATAATGATTCTTTTAATATTATATTAATAAGATATTAGAGTTAAAAGCTATTCATAATTAGAAAATATAAGTAAATTTAATTAATAATACTAGTTTTCTTATTATACCTTATTAATTATTAAAAACCTCAAAATTTAAAATATTAGGCTAAGGAAGGTTATAAATATTACATATAACATACTTATTATAATTATAAATATAATAATAAGGGTATTATTATTCTTAAAGGTTTATAGATTTTAATATATAATTTTATGGCTAATTTGCCTATAGCTAATTATTTTATTACTAAGAAGTATTAATTAGAATATGAAAAGGAGTTAGATAAGATTAAATTAATAAGCTTATAATAGTAAGTAAATAAATATTTAAATTATCTAATATATCTTTAGTATTAAAAAAGGCAGTTATAAGAGTATAATAAAGAGATATTTTATTATAATATTAAAACTATAAATAACTTAGAAGTAATAAATAATATTAAGTTATTTATTATAATTAAAGCTTAGTTAGCAGAGGCTTCTAATATTATTAATTAAGGTAAGATTTTCCCTATTAATATTATTAGTAAAAGTTCCTTAGGAGTTATTAGGTATTATTAAGATATTTTAATAATTCTTATATATTTTCACTTTTTAAGTAGTTTTTCTACTTAATAAGATATTTTATTTTTTATTAACTTTTCTTATTTTTCTAATTACTTCTGCTTTATAGGCTTTTAATCTTAGAATTTTTTCTAGTTTATTACTAATTTTAACTTATAATATATTAGCTACTAATTTAAGTAATAAAATATAAAAGATTAAATAAAGCTTAACCTTTAATAATAAGTCTAGTTTATAATTATTTTCTAAAATTTTCTTACTAATTTTATATAATCTAATATATTTATAATCTAATCTATAACTTAGTTAATTTGTTTTAATATTTTTTATAGCTAGATAGATTATATTTCCCTCTGAAACGGTTAATTTCTTTATATTTTAAGTTATAATAGTTATTTATATATTTTCTACTATATTTAAGTTTTATTTTTATTTCTTTATATAGATTTTAAAGTTATTATTTTTAAATATAGTTACTAACTTAACTAAATTTTCTTATTATATATTATAATAAGTATCTAATATATATTTAAAGTTTATATAGGCTAATATATAGTTAATACTTTCATTATATATAATATTATAAGTAAGCTAGGCTATTAGTAATTTCTTAACCTAATTATTTTACTTATAGTTAATATAATACTATAAATACTATTTAAATACTTAGTTTATTTATTTAGTTTATTAATTTAGTTTATTTAATAGCTTATAGTTTTTATAAATAACTTATACTTAATAATAATATATTAATTAAAAATATAAGAAAATTCTTTTATATTTATAGCTTTTTTATAAGGTAAGTAATAGAAAGTTTTTATAAATTAGTTAATTATAATTATAATATTATTATAAAAGATTCTTATTAAGGGTTCTTTTAATAAAGGTAACTTAATTATAAAATCTATTATAATTAAACTTTATAATTCTTTTATTACTAATAATA